ATAGTTTACCGTTTTTCTTTAGTATAAACAGGATCGGGTATCCTGCCGGTGATTATAATACTCTAATATAGCCTTTTACTAGTATCTCTTCGAGATATTCTTCTAAGGTATCTAATTCCTTTTAATTTAGCCCGTAAATTAGAAAGAATTTTAGGTGTGTCCCTTCCTTAAGGGGTATCTCGTGATCGTAATATCGATATTTCGGTAATCCAGTCTCTAGATTCTTAGTAAATAGCTTTCCGTACTTACGGTATTCTAGTAATACCTTAGCGAGTCTATCGTGATCGCCTTCTACGAGTCCTCTCTCTGCTTAGATAATCTAATAGATTCCTTTAATAATATTTATTACGTGTCGGTTATTATGCTGTTACTGCTATCTTAAAGTCTTTCGTACTTCCTTCGCCTTAGTCCCTGACTTTTAACGGCTATCTAAGTCTCCCCGAGGCTCCTTTATCGGATCGGGTAAGGTTTCCTTTATAGTCTCTTACTTACTCTTTAATCTCTACTAGAGCTAGCTAAGCTTTTAGTCTATATCTGGATTCTATTTATTAAACTATAGTTTACTAAGGATAATATCCTTATAACCTATATCGTATATATCGAATTATATTATTTTAGTCTTATTCTGAATTTCGACTTAGAGGTATATAGTCTCCTGGTTAATCATAACTTTTTCGTAGGACTAGTTCTTTCCCGTATATAGAGTAATCTCGTACTCGTCTTCTAGGTATTTCCTAACCCAGGGGATAAAAAACTTTCTCACGGCTACTAGTAAGATAAAGTTTCCTACTACGCCTATATCTAATAGTGCGTTTATCTTATATTTATCGAGTCGTATTCTAATATAGTAGTACCCTATACTATTAAGTGTTATAGAGTATATCTATTAAATGCCTCTCGCGTGCTTCTTATAATAGTATACTCCTAGTTTTTTACCCGTTTAGCTAGGTATTCGAGGGATATCTCTTTATCCAGGAACCCGTACTAGATTAAAAGCCGTTCTATTTATTATAGGCGCTTATTAAGGGCCTAGACGCGTAATTCGTAAGCTTCCTAGTCTTATTCTAGTTATCGGATTTTCTTAGTAGTATATACTATATAGCTAGTAGTATTATATTCGCCTAACCGGTATTCGTAGTAGTTATACCTTGGTAATTAGAGGCGAATCTCGCGTTTAGTCTATTTACGTTCTATTTATCCTTTCTTACACGTTTAGTACTTAGGTAGTTAATCGTCCGATTCTTATAGGCTTATTATTAGGCCGGTAAGAGTATCTTGGTTTTCCTAAGTATAGTAAGGTCGTTAATATATAGTTTATTACTATTCTTCGCTAGTATTTATAGGTACTCTGCGGTAGGCGTTATTAAAGCTAAGTTTAGTGGAACGGACTTAGTAGGCTTATTTAAGAGGTTTTTCCGTGAGCTGGTTAAGTATCCGTAGCTAGATAGTTTCTTCCTCGATTAGGTCGGCCGCTTCTATAAGTTAGTATTAGAAGTTCGTGTTATTATCCGGAACTCCGTCTAACTCCGTTTCCTAATCTTACTCTTCGAGTTTAACGATTTCCTCTTATATATAACGTGTATAATCTTCTTTCTTAAGTTAGTATTTCTCTTCGGGAGTGAGTCCTACTTCCTGGAGGGTGCTAAAACTTCTACTGCTACTATTCGTATAGACTTCTTATTTCTTCTGGATCTCTAAGATCTACTTCTGTCTTTTAGCTTTTTCTTTTATTTATCCGTATTTTTAAAGGATTTCTATGATAATTTATAAAGCTAGTCTATTCTTATCCTAGTCGGGGATTTTAAGGCTATAATCGTTATTATACTCGTTATTAGATACTATAGCGAGTATCTTCTAGGGTCTCTTAGGGTAGTATCTAGCTCCGTCTTTCTCTAATTAGTATACTAAATAATAGTTATTATAGTAGGTTATCTAATAAAGGCTAACGTGTAGTGTTTTATCACTATAAATTTCCAGGTATCTAATAGCATTAATTTCCTTCTAGGGTTTGTCTCTTCCGATCGTATTAGACTATTATTATAATCGTTCCTTTTTAGGCTTATAATAGTCGTGTACGTAATAACCCGGCTTATTATAGTTATAATACTTAACTTTCTTTATATCCCTTTCACCCTGCTTATCGCTTTATCGGTTAATATTATCGAGCTTTATAGGTCTATTATAGTACTTATATAAGATGTTTCCAAATTAGCATAGATATAGCTATTTCTTCTTCGAATTAGCCGTGTAAACTAGGACGCTTATTTAATACTTCTTCTAATAGCGTTATTTATAGTTCCGGTTATCGATACGAATTACTATTACGGTATATTCGCTAAATATCTTAGGTTAGTCTAATCGGTATAGTTTATCCTTTACTTCTTCCTTAAGTCCTTAGTAGTACCGATCTATAAGGGGTTTATCCGGGTAGCTAAGCTTTAACGAGATTTACTAGAATCTTATAGTATAGTCTGTAACTAACTTAGTCTAATATAGCTAGCTTAGTCGTTTAGCCGCGACTTATTCCTTATCGGGCTAGCTAAAGATAGCGTTAAGTTTTTCGATAAATATATCGAAGTCCTCGAAGATTACCGTGGTCCCGGGCTTCCTTAGGATTTCTATTCCTATATTCTCTAGGTAGTCTTTATAGATAGATTCGAACTATTTATGCGTATCTTCTATAAGGAGTGCCGTAGTATAGAGTACTTTAGTTTCTTCTATACGGATATTATCCTAGTAGAATAGGAGATAGCCTCTAAGCTAGGTAAAAAAGCTCTAAAGCTATCCTTAAGTTCCGTTATACTTAGGGGATATAGGGTACTTATACTTAGCCCTAATCCTAGGATAGTTTAACTAAGCTCTTAGGGTTATATTCTCTCCCTAAAGCTGGGTGATTATATTACGAATCTGCTAAAGGTCGTTACCCCTTTTAGCGGCGGTGGTAGGCGTTATAGCGCTCGTAGTGCTCGCGGTACGGTTATTATTATTCGATATATTAGAAGAGTGATTGCTGGCTACTTCGTCGTCTTGTTAAGGTTATTCTAGTCCTTCCTCTTCGTCGGAGGAACTAGATTCTTCAGACGATGATTCTTCTTCAGATAAAGTGACTTCATCTTCCTTAGGCGAAGTAGCTTCTGCTTCGGGCGTACTGCTTATTAGCTATTAAGGTTAGCTTACCGAACAGGATCGATTAAAATATTACGACGGCTTCCGGTCCTCTATAGTTATAGCGGACGATAGAGGACTAGCGTCGAGGTTTTAGTTTAAAATAAGGAGAGGATATTAACTAAAGAGCAGTAACTATTATTCGTAGTGTCTAGTCGTAGTTACGTCGTAAAGACTAGACGTCTTCTTTATAAGGTAGGTTTAAGCGTAGAATAGTAGTCCAGGTAAAGACTTAGATTAATCGATATCTTGTTCTCTAGTAGAAGTAAGACCTAGAATACTCTAGTATATATAGTAATGCTATCTATTACTTCCTTTAGCTATATATTCTTGGATCGTTAGGAGCGTTAAAGAGTTGTGGTTCCGGACGCTCCCTTGTTCCTGGAACGCGGGAGCGTTCCGAGTCCCACGCTCCGTCGTTCCACCCTGGTCTTTTTGGTCACGTGAGTCCCCACGTGATTTCCAGTGTTTCTGTCGGGGTTTTCCTGCGTATTGGGCTCGTCGGCCGTAATAATTAAATACTTCGGTTATACTTGATTTTCTAGAATTAACCACTCTCGATTTTATAGAATCTTATACTACCGATATACTATTACTAGAGAACTCCACGACTCCTAGCTCTAAGTATTAGTTACTAGTAGACACTATAGAGGAAATCTGCTATACCCTTTCTAGCTTTACTATATTAGTTATAGCATTTAAGATAGCCTTACTGATTATAGACGTAAGCCTCTCGCGGTTAACGTAGAGTGCCTTTATCGAAATCTTACGGACTTCCCCTATAGAAGAGCTTTATACCTTACTAAAGGAAAAAGATACTCTTATAAGGTAGTTTAAATCCTAAATCCCACTCTGTACGATTCGGAAAAAAACTATTACTCTTAATATATCTAAATTACCGACCCGGGCGCTATATATCGAAGATTTACTAGCCTTCGACTTAAAGTATATACTAGAGACGATACTTAGTTCCCTATTAATTCATTAACTAATATACTAAGGTATAAAGCCTTACTTTAATTCCGCGATACCTAATAAGTTAGCTAACTTATTATAAAGACATAGCTCGCCTTAACCCCTCGGGAAAAGAGATATAGGACACGAAGGTCTAGGGCGAGTCCCTTTATATAATATCTAGTTAATTTTACCGCTATACCGATAACACGCCGATCTTCCTATCCGACTTCGTAAGGTATCGCTACTACGATAAACGGTGTTATCCTAAAGATACTATACCTAAACACACTAGACGCGTTACCTAGGCCGGGCTGGATTACTCCGATAAAGCGAAAAGTCGTGGTATTTTAGGGAACCCTATTGTCTTTATCGAGCCGCTATTCACACTATAAACCTTGCCTCTAAATAGCAGGGAAGCTTTTAACTAACTGCCTCCTTTTACGCTAAGCACCCCTAACTAGTGTGAAGTTATCCTTAGTAAGAAAATAGCGATAAGGCTACCTGCTAATATTATCATCGAGAGGATAGAGCCGTTTCTTTTTTACGAATATAATCTAAAGAGACCTAGAATACACTAACCCCTACCGACCGTATATAATATAATTCGATATATCCTGGATAGAAATACTCTGTAGTTTAGGGCTATAATAATTTTAAACCCTTACCGCGGCGAACTCGAGATCCGTATATATAGGCGTGACTAGTTTACGAACTAGTTTAACGGTTAACCGGTCCTATTATTACTATAGAAGCTTTTCTGCGACGCTTTTAGCGTCTATAGAAATATATATAGATTTATCCTTAGCGTATACGGGCTTCTTGTATTCTTACCTAATAGTATAGGTACCCAACGGGCTTATATTATACCTATTACCCTTATGCCTTTTAGTGCAGACCACGCCGACGCCCTCTGGAGTTTAATATAGCTAGCCTAACTAGACTAGGGTTATTATATTAGGATTACTAGCAGAGACTAGTTTATATACGCCTTTCCCCTATACTTTCTTAAGGATATGGTCTAGTAATAGGAACTCTCTAGTTATCTATTATAGCGAGTATTAGTTCTTCATCGAGAGTGCCTAATTATAACGGAATAACAGTCTAACCTTTCCTTCGATATCACCCTTAATAGTCGGTTTTACTATTATATATAACGTACCCGTAATAAATCTAAGGATATTCTACGGGTTAAGGTAATATATAATGCATTTAAAGCAGTAGGTTTATAAGAGGACGATAATCTATAATATGCTATTACCTTATAGACGCTAGCCCTTAACCCGTTTAGAACGCGCGTGGTAGACGTAGCGTATTCTGAATTAATAAGCCTAATAAAGATAACGTATCGAATTCTCCTCTCGTATATTATTCGACCCTAATACTATAGGGACTATTTACGGTGGTTTTAATAGTTTCTACTCCCTTTAGAGTATAAACGTATTTAGTCCCCCCTTGCCTATACGGAGTCCTGGAGAATAATAGAATATAGTATAGCTTCTATTATAATACCTATCATATTACAGTATTTCCTATCTTCTTACTATATCCAGATAGATTTTACTAACGCTATTATATTAAAAGCACGGAATTTCTTACTAGACGAGCCGTTAATTTTAGGATCTATATTAACTATTATTATTCGGTGTTTCTGGAATATTATAAAGTCTAACCTTTAGGTCTATAGTCGTTATCCTCCCCTACTTAACCGTGTCTATTTTATATATATTATCCTTTCTAGTCGTAAATCCTTCTAGCTTCTAGTATAGGCTCCCGCTAGAAGCGTTCGATTATAAGGCATAAGAGGAAAATAGAGAGGCGTAGCCTTAGGAGGCGGTTAAGAAGGTGAGTTAGTGAATATCTATTTTAACTTTAGAGCGCTTATACTAATATACCTAGCTTAGTCCAGTTTCCCGATAACCTGACTTAGATTACCTAAGCTATAGCTACTACTACCTTCACGAATCTGGATTTAAATAAAGCTCTAGATTCTGAAAAGTTAACTGGGTCTAAGAAGGTAGTAGCGTATTACCGTATACAAGGTTTACTAAATATTTATATCGGTCTATATCTCTAGGATATCGCCGGCACTTACGGGATATACCGTAATATCTTTACTCTACTCGGCGAAGATAAGTATCGGTATATATAAGAGAAAATAGACTATAGCGATGTAAATTTCTAACCTTACTAATTATTAAGGCTAATATAATATCTATTATCTTCCAGGGAATATAAGAAGGATATTATAAAAACGAATTATTGAAACGCAGCCTCTACCTTAATATTTCGTGAAAGACTTAGAAAAGCGATATAATTTAGGCTTACCAGCTCCTATAAGACTTCCTATCCCGAAATCTATAACGCGTTTTATCTTTTCCGTCGGGATTATAAAGTCCTATCCGCTAGGATTAAGGATTAAATATAAATTAGGTCTATCGACGATAACGCTGACTTATAGACTCTAATATAGGCTTCCGAGGTCTAAGATAATCCAGAGCATCGAAGACTAAGGCAAAGCCGCCTTCTAAAATAGTTATAAGTATAATAGTAATAAGATCTATTACTACGAGTTCTAAATATCTCTAAAGAGCCTTAGAACGGTGAATTCTGGTAGTTACTTCGAAGAGTATATAAAGATAACTATAATTTAACGAATATACCGACCACGAGGGGCGATCTTCTACGATAGAGTAGGAAGATTACTTTTAAAATAAGGTATAAGTCTTCTTTTTAACTTACTCGGGGTCTAGATATAAGCTACTTTACCACTTAGTAAGAATAAAGATATCTACTTTAGTTACGGGGACTTTATCTAGGCACGGAACCCTCGGGACCTTGCTCGTGTTGACGGTATATTTACGCACCGGATATCCTCTTTATACCGTATCTTCCTTATCCTTACCTTTATAGATTTATATATAATAGAATAGCCGCTAGATAGAGTTATTAGATGCCTAGTATATAAGCTAATAGACTTCCGCCTAATTACTAGGCTTCTGGTAATTTATCCTAGCCGTGAATAGGTTATTCTATAAGAGGATAGGACGCTACTAAACCCGCCCTTTAATATTTATACTATCTAATTTATAGATCTTTATAGTAGTATATAAATAAGATAGCGAGAAGTAAAGAACTAGACTTTAGCTGCTTTACTACTAAGGAGATTATATTTAAGCTCCCGAGTCTATATATTTAATATACACTAATTAGGTATACTAACTTATATATTTATTCTAGTCTACCTATTTTAGGTACTAACCTAGCTTAAGATAACCTCGAATTAAGTGCCTTTACGAACCTAGAACCACCTTCTACCGGTAAAGTAAACGCGTGGCCGCGTGGCCGCGTGATTATATTTTACTAGCTGCCCTAATAGAAGCTCCTTTTACTTTTCTTCTAATTTCTCTCTCTCTCTTCTAATTCTATCTTCCTAGTAAGTTAGATCACCGTTTTAACTACTCTGCCTACCTTCTATAATCCGAGAATACTATTATCTATCTATCTTTACGATTATTATAACAAGACTAAGGTATAGTCGCTTTTACTAATACCGTCGTAGGCTAGGTGATTCTAACTACTCCTTTAAGCACCATCACGTCTCCAGGAAAACGAAGTTATAGCTTCTAATATAAATAATCCGATAACCCCTATTTATAAACGTAAGGCCACGGTAAGTTCTCCTACTCTCCTAATACCTTTATACAATTTCCCTTAATTAACGAATTATTACCCGCTAAATAGGACGATTCCACTACTATATCCTAGCCCTTATCCGATTATACTATTATAGGCGTCGATAATTATAATTTCCCTTTTCTTCGCGATACCACGATCGCGTATAGACGGGCTATCGAAGACTCTAAGAAATATAATAAGAAATATAGCCAGGCACTAATTAACCGCGCCCGTCATATCTCCGGAGGTCCTACTTATATCGAGCTCGTTAGGCTCTTCTCCGAGATAGTTAAGGCGGTATCGGACGCCCTAGAGAAGACGGAGGCGCTTATCGAGGCGTATATAATAGTCTAGGAGAGGACTCGCCGTTTACTCGTATCTTTTATCGAAGAGAAAATTTAGGAGGAATTCTATAATAACCACGATAAGGAAAACGTCGAGGACGAGGAGGAGAATTAGTAGTATAACTACTATACCTATAGTGAAATCTAAACGAAGTATAAGGTACGACCTTAGGCACGTTCACGAACAAAGAGCTTAGTTCCTTAATAGCTTTCCTCGGTGGCTTATAACTATAATTAAAATTATTACCCGGTACCTGATATTTATAGTGGACTTAATAGTTTAAAGTTAAAGCTTATAAATCTATATCACGTGGTATAACGTATACGTCTTACCCCGCTTAGCTTCCTTACTTCTATTCGTTATTAACGTAGGCGCTTAATCCTTCTTCGTAAACCACTACTAAACTACTATATACACTATTATCACCGCTGCCACTTGAAAGACATAGACCCTTATCGGTTATTATATCCTTCTTATCGTTTTTATTTATATACGTTCAGCTTTATTTACCGTTTATAGTAGCTATACTAAATCACTAGCCACCCGCCGCTATCTATATTCTATAGATAGCGTCTTCTACACGTTTTACTTATTCTAAACCTATTATCTTCTGTATATCTACTATCTTTTATATATCAGGAATTTACACCTCCTTACCTTATCTTACTAAGGTAGGCAGGTATAGTCCTGTTATTAGTATCTCGGACCTTATATTTTATATATCCGACTTTCGTATCTACGTTTTTTTATATCTATTATATTTTATATCTACTATTTTGTTATATAGTTTTTCCTATATCTTAGGCATATTCGCTAATCACTAGATTACCTTACCTACCTTACCTAAGGTAAGGTGCCCTACCTTATATAATCTCCTTATAATTAAATAGTCTTACTTACCTTAGGTATATACTAACGATAGATAGCCGTGACTTATTCCCTATCCCGTTTACTCTGATTATATTTACTAATGTTACTACTAGGCCGAGGCGATTTAAGGTAGGATATCCGTTTAGTGCTACCGTTTATACTACTAACCTAGTATTTAAGGTAAGTAATACTAGTTAGTGGTTTTAAAGCTATTCAGAATCTATAAGATACTAATAAACGGGTAATATATTCTAGTTTACTAATACAGCGCTTCGACTATACCTTAGGGAGATATTATCTATAAGTTTTCGAAATAGTATATCCAGAAGTTTAACCTTTTCTAATTATTTATTTACTAACTTCGTCGCGCTTTATCTAGTACCGCCGTCTTCGAGGACTATTCTAGTAGGTGCTAATATCTAACGATAATTTTCTTAGAGGTATACTAACTATTTTCACGATAATTCCTAGATATTATTTTCTTCTCCGACGCGTTAATTCACGGAAACCGTCTTTATTACTTTACTATATACTATTCGATTCCTATTCGATTCCTGCTCCTTACTGTCGTTATCCCCGAATTCGGAATACTTAGATAATCATCCCGTCTAGGTAAATCATCCTATATCCAGGCCAGCTCTATACTAAATATACTAGCTATTTACTAACCCCCGTATAATCCAGTATAATTAAGCTATATACCGGCACGTATTTTAGACAGGTAAGTATCGTTTTAGGGTTATATATTATTACTAAGACTAATAGTATTACTAGATAATAGGATATCGATAATATCGATATTCGGGCCGAGGGAAAAACTGCTAACTACACTATATACCTTCACGATTAAGATCCGATATTTAATTCTACCTACTCGTGGCACGATTTCCTATCTTCACTAAATCTAAATTATCTAGAGTCTAGGCTATTCGGAGCTACTAGAGACTATCTTAGGTAGGTATAAAGTTATAGACTTATAGATAGTAAGTTTATCTAAAGTTTAGCTAAGGCTAGCTATCGTAATATTCACCACCTAAGCTATTATCGCTAATCTATTAACCTAGAACACCACGAAAACGATCGCGATAACTTAGCAGTTAGAACTAGTAAGCTGGCTAAGTGCGAGGAAGGTATACGTGAACCTATAGTAGCCTTAACTTCTTTCACTAATAGAAATATAACCTACGATTATTTATTTCTACTAATAGAAATAAAGCTTACTATCCTATATTATACTAATAAGAAATATATTATGGTTTTATTTTCGACTAATAAGAATAGAAGGTTTCGCCCCTAATATATCGCTTAACCAGAGAAAATTTTATTAGCCTATCCTCCACGGTTATATATCGAAGCTTAGTTAGCTATCCCGTAAAATATCTATCGATATATAATAGCTATTCGTCTCTTATAATATAGTAGTCGATATTTTAAATCGTAATCGTATACTAGCTAATAAAGGTTATCTTACTAATATAACTAGCTAGTCTAGGTTAATTAGTTAGTTAACGAAACTATATAGCACTACAGCGATATATACTATATAACCCTTCTATTAATACGATTTATATTAAAGCTAACACTCTATTATATTATACGGATAAGTAACTATATTAATAATCCTACCGTAGTTATAATTACATAATAATAATATAGTCTAGGCTTTACTATATATCGGGCAGAACATTCGGATTAGACACATTAATATAATCTACTAACCATATAACTAGACAGCGTCATATCGCTGTATTATATTTATATACATTTCGGTAAGATATAAACGTGTACATCTTTTTTTAGTACAAGGAAGTTCTAAGAATGCTGGTACGGGCACTATGACCAGCCCTATCACAGTGTCGACAGAATAGCCAGCCTCTATCCTACACCCCCCCCCTCCCGGGTAGGTAACTAGGTACCTTAGGTACCTACCTTACCTAGGTAGGTAGAGGAAAAGTCCTATCTGCAGTGAGCTAGCCATTATGAAGAATTCCAGCTTTAATATCCGATTTCGAATACTGGACTTCTGAAAGTCAATGTTGGGGAGCGGGGTAATAATAAAATACCCTTGCGGCACAACGTTTTTCGTACGTACGAAGTACGTAGTGACTGAGGTACCTCAAATCTGCAATCGCTGCAATCGACTTGTTGTGTCTCTCCTCCTGATCCATCATCCATCACAATCACGCCCATCACCAACCACCTGCCAGCACAACATACCAAGCGTCCATTTGAGGGCGGTGCACCATATCACTGGGCCATGCATCAAGTCATTATCTCTGCCGGTCGAGGAGATATGCGCATACTCTCCCAATTCCAGTCCCAGGGAGCCACCTCGTTGGCAGGACTGACCTAATATGGGCTTGTTAGGTGCTCCCTCATCAGTTGCCCCCACCCACCACTTCCATCTTGCAGTAAGAACAAAAACGGTTAGCGTTCCTATTTCTGCGACTCAATCGCCGACGATCATGGATCTTATCCACTCTGTCGGATAAACCGTGGGCAATATCAGGATGTCAATGGATTGCCCTGAAGTCTTCGGCCAGCTATTGACTTCGACCGATCGGGTCCAGGGGATGACGCGATCGTCAACGGCCGTCTTCCCCTCACCGCGACTTCTACTTCGTAATTCCCCTTTCAAGTAGGTAGGCATTCCTAGTCCTACCCGTCCAGTTAACCCCTAAAGACGCTAGCCTCGTCCATCGGTCGTCGAGCAGCTGAGACACGCTGTGAGCGAACAGGGAACACTCTAAACCCCCAGCGTCGTGGCGTTCTCCTTCGTGATTCCGGCAGGCGTTCAAAAATACCTTTCCCACTAAGGTAGTCAGTTAAGAACTCGCACTGATTTCTTGTTCGGCTGTTTCGCTTGTTGTCCCTCGGTCAAGCAATCCGAAAAGAAAAGAAGAAGAAATGGAAAGAAAAGGAATTCTCCCTTTCTGCTAGACACGGGTATCTGTTTGTGCCCTTGCCTGCCGCGTGAGGCGCCACCTCTATGGAAATAGGTACCTACCTTAGGTAATGGGGAACGAGGTGCCCACCTCATTTCGTTTGGACCTTGTTTAAAGCTTGGAGCAAAAGGAATACACCATGGCTCCACCCCATTTGATGGAGCCACAACCCCATGAAATCCAGACCTTCTCCGACATTGCGGCAGTCCGTGTCCCATCAACTCGGCTGACGGACGTGGGATCTATCGTGCCAGAAAGGAAACAACACGGAAAGCACCGAGATAGGCTTTTGCAGGACTCATCTGGCAAGTTCGTCTTTCTTTTCTCGGTTTGGCTTCCCGTCCTCGATCGCCCCCCTAGACCGGTCCATCTAGGAACCACGGTCTGTGAAATGAACTGGGACAATGACCAAGACTCTCCGCGGCGCACCCTGGCCGATCAGAGCTCGATTTGCCGATTGACCGGGTCGAATCACTCGTTGCGCATCGGCAACAGATTGTCTCCCCAAACATTCAGCTTAAGTCTGTCTTGGCGGCTGATACTCCGGTTCTCGCGTCTTTTACTTGAGTCAATTTCTTTTCCGAGCGGTGACCTGACGGTAAATACATCAGACACCTTCCACGATCACCTTCTACCGAGATTTGAGGGCATGATAGCTGTACACCCCTCGACTGGATCCCCCTTGATTTTTTTTTTCGCTTTTACCCAGCGGTCTCGCTCCAGCATGGGGGGGGGGGGGTCCTACAAAGGCTGCAGGCGTTTGCTGCGAATTTTTTGTTTAGGGCCATTGTTTATCAGCCCTGGATTTCGGCCAATGTGGTATGGAAGAAGTCTCGTCTCAGCACAGGACACAGAAGGGCGTGGCCGGCCTAGGACACATCATCACTGCGTAGGTAGATTAGCGACTCTCAAGCTTGGTCCATCCTGCATATCCAGCATGTTGTCCAAGTTCGCTTCTCCCTACACCACATCTTTTTTTGCGCCGGGCTGAACCCAGCCGCCCGCCATAGAATGCTTCATGAAGCCGGGGGGGGGGAGACTATGTATTATATCGGCCATCATCACCCCATGTCAACCCTGTCACATATCACCCTTGTTAATGAACCACCGTGTCGGTAACGCCTAAACTGCGGAGGCTCACAACACAAAGTCGCCTATGTGTTCGTTTGTCATGGGGGGAGGATGGGTGTTCGGCGGAGATCCGTTATCATGTGTCGTTGGCGCATCTTCTCTGTTCTCGGTCTACCCAGGGTTTCTCTCTTGGGCATCGATCGGAAACGCAGTGTCGAGACATTCTGTTTCAAGGGAGCGGCTGTTACCAGTTGACCAGCTGACATGTCTCGTCCGGCCGGGCTTCCAGTGTACCTACCTCGTACGGCCCGTTCTCCCTTGGTACCCTTTCGACGGCCGGCTTCCCATTCATTTCGTTTAGAAGTGCGACGGATATTAATAAACGGCTCGCGACTCGGTGTGAATTAGAATCATGACTGCTGGTGGTGGTGGAGTCGGGTGTTCTCGGCCCATGTGCAAACGCACCGACCATATCGCAGCATCTCTCGGTATGACTCCGTACCTCGTACATGCAAGCTCATCCCTAGCACCAGCTCACCAAGTGACCGGACCAATAATTATTAGGGTTCTGCTCCCGTCTTGGGGACCCAGTAAGAAGTGTCGGTATTTTGTTTGCCTATTGCTCTGGTCTCACATTCCTATCACCTGTACGAAGTACCCAACTTCATCGTTCCAAAGACTGGGAGATGCTACGTCGGCTCCACCTCTTTTTCTCCCGTTGTTTTCTTGATACAGTGTCGCTATCGTCGTCGCCATTCGTTTGTATAGCGTCGTCACTGTTTGTCGCTGCCAATAGTTGCGTGCCTGACAAGGAAGACCTCGGTACGAGCCTCAACGACTCGGTGTGCTCATTGAGAAACACATATTATTGGTTTTCCCTTGCAGAACAGATGCCAGCCGTATTACCTTGCACTGTACAATAATGTACATACGCTTTGCCACATATACTCCCACATGAACCCCCCATTCCAAGTAATCGGACCAGTGGTCTGTCTGTGTCCCGTCAACCCAAAAGCATACCCAAGTCAAGATGGGTGTCTACACAATACCTGACCCTGAACAAGTCGAGTCAAAAATCAAGCAAAGGAAAAGCCAATCTCAAGGAGCCCTCATGCCGGCGAGGTCCTTTACTAAGGTACCCTTGAAAACTCCGTCCCCAACGCCGCTCTTGATGATAACAAAACTAAAGGAATATAGGAATGTAGCTGAGAATGAGTAGCCGAAGTGCCCCATCAGGAAGGCAAGCCCTCTTGCCGTAAGACTTTATTGATCCGCACGAGGAGCTTCCCGTGCTTGAGGGGCCGGCCTTTTCTATCGAGGAGTCGGATGTAGCGGTAACCAGGGCGTAACCTGTCAAGACGGATGCAGGCCCAAGATAGGAGCTGGTCTCGGCCAATGCGCGAATCATCCTCGATCCTGAATCTATTGTTGTCCAGACCGTCAGCAAATAAAGCAACTCAATAAAAACTACTTGAGGAAAGCGCAGAAAAGACGAGAGAGGCTGGTGAGTTGTGGATGGGAAGTAGCTAATCCTGTCCGCCCTCGTGCTTGTGCAGTTCCCCTGACCTGTCAAGGTCAAGCGGGTCGCAAGGTAAGGATATGCAAGGCCGTACGTGCAACGAGCACCAATCTCGGTGGATGAAATCAGCTCAACGTGCGATTGCCTGACAGGCCGGTCACACATAGACTACGGAGACTGCCGCTGTGTCGCCTGCACGAAGGGCCATCGAGCCATTCGTCAGTATTGTGAGGTACGAGACGGCAGCCGGCATATTGCACTAATGGTACACACAGCTGCCCCTTGCGCACTGTCCAACAATGTCGGTGAGAGTATGGACATTGGCAGTGAATCAACTCTCGGCCATGACTTTGCGCAGGGAGTTGGAGCACAGGGTTGGTTGCGGTATCTCATGATTCACTCGAGTGTAACAGTGAGACGCTTTCCTGATCCTGATTGGAGATGCGGAGGAAAGGAGCAATGGGACCTCAGGCCAGGAGAGAAGAGAAAAAAAAAAAGGGGGGGGGGGGGGGTATGAAAAAAAAAAAGAAAAAAAAGGGGACGAGAAAGAGAAAAGGGGCCGGGAGGGGAACGAAGCCAACGAAAAAGAGAAAAGAAACCTGATTGATGCACTTGGAGGGGGCCTTACCTGACAAAGCTAAGCTCCTGAACCACGTTGGGCACGAGGGGGAAACTGAGGAGATCGCCTCTGTCGCCCCAGTCCGGGTGGTCTGTCCTCCTGGCGCTCGTCGCGAGTTTGAACTTAGCTTGTGCTTGAGCGTTCGCCACTTGATCGCCGGTCTTGTTGAAGCTGCCTCCCATAATCTCGGGTTTCTCGACGTGAAGCTCGCACTTGACGACTGGACGCAGTTGGCTCCCGCTACGGCTGGCGTCAATTTCGGATGAACTTGGCACCCAGACGTGCTGGCCCGACAACACCGCAATGGAGAGCATGAGGGTTCCGGCGGGGGGTACATCGGCCTGCGTAAAGCAATCCCTATCGGAGCTGCGGTAGCCGGGAGGTTTGAGGACCCAGCCCTGTTCGCCGGCGAACATGCCCTCGTTCAGCATCATTCCTTCGTCGAGGTATTGCCAGTTCAGCGCGACTAGTTGGACGCCTTTGCGCCAGAAGGGGCTGGGGTCCGGATTGGAGCTGTCAACACGCGCGCCGTTAGGAAACGCGCGCATGAAGTAATTCTTATTATGGGTGAACATCTCCCGAGGGTGGGTTTCGTGCAGCTCGAGGATGCGGCTCTCAGAAATCGAATACATGTGGCTCGGTTTCTTGGACACCACGTCAAAGGACTTGAAGCGTTCGCTGTGGGTGTAAATGGCGAGGTCGCCCAGCTTCGTACAGATGGGTACGATGGGAGGTTTGCGCGGTTTCCCTGGGCTGCCCAGCGGCGGGGTTTTTCCAGGTGCGGCGCCCGGAGGTGCCAGACGGTTGAGCTGCTGCTCATCAGTCTCCTCGTCGGAAGCCGAACCGGCTTCATCCTGAGCCAGGGAAGCCGATGGGGCGAGCGCACTGTCGGGTGCATCGATCACTTTGGGCGGCTTCTTGACCTTTATGAGGATTTTCCGTCTAAGCTCGCCCAAAGTGGGGACCCGGAATCGCTGATCTACCCCATCGAACGGCTTGTCGACGAGCAAGTCCCCCCACTCCTCCTTCATAATGTCAACCATGAGCTCCTGCTGTTGGTGGTCGGCATGAACCTCGAGGCTGACGATGACGGGAAGGTCGTTGGTCTGGAAGGCAGACTCGCGGATGGCTACACACACCTCGCGGAAGCCGCAGGGGGTGGTCAACGTCCAGCCGTGAGTAACGATAGGCTCGTTCTTGGGGTACCCCTGCCGGAACCTAGCGGACGGAGGTCTAGGTGATTGCGCGGGTGTTGTTGTTGCGCCGGCAGAACCGGCGGAGTTGGTGAAATCCTTCGGGTTCGCGTTGGATAACTTCGGCGTGTTGTCTGGGCCAGAGAAGGTTGCTTTGCTTTGGGTGCTAGGGCTTCGGCTGTGGACAGAGGAACGGTCGCCCATGACAGTCCCGATGACCTGAGCGGCGACGTTAGGCAGAGAGGAACCCGAGAGGCTGCGACTATGCTCCCGCTTCACCTTGCCGGTACTAATGACCTCCTCCTGGGCCGGGGTGAAAGTGTCGCCATCCCAAACGTCTATCTCGATGCACCGGCACCCGCGAGACAAGACGGCAGTGTAAGCCTCCGGCGAGCTACGCGAGGCCAGCTGGTTTCCTTCGAGGTAGGTGTTATGGCTGCTGCTAATGTAGTAGTTGGTGATGGGGCGGCTCGTGTCCTTGTCGGTCGACCGGACTGACCTCTCAGCATCCCAGCCAAAACGCATGACCCAAGCTTCAAGGAATTCGCCCTGGATAAAGCGGTCTTTGTCCTTTGGCAAGAATCGTTCGATATCTTGGGGGGACTCTCCTTGGATATGCTCCAGCCAGGCGGCGAACTGTGCCCTGGAGATGGCGTCGTCACGCAATATGAGAGAGCGGCGCTTGGGGATATCGTCGAAGGCGCAGTCTAACTTGGCCATGCAGGCAAGAGTCAGGTCGACATTGCCAGAAATACGGCCCTCAAATCCAGGCACAGAAGTACGCCCTAGGACGGGGGATATGATTTGGTCAATGTCGGGGGCGGAGTTGACACCGTTGATGCCTTTGACATTGAGTCGGGGAAGGGCCCTCGTAAGCGCGGATTGAGAGGGGAATTCTGGCGTGCGAGTAGAAGATCTCGTCGGCCCGGCAAGGGTAGATATGTTGACAAGAGTGCGAATTGCCGGATAGGTTTCCTTGTTGGTCCGAGAGAAGATGGGCATGGTCAGACTTCGGCCGATGGGTTTCGCGTCGTCGTCACCATCATGGCGTCGGCGCCGGAGCTATGCAAATGTCTGTGTAAGCATGTTTAGGATAAGAAAGGGTCATATAATAAAGAGGAAAGTCGAATGGCCGAGCGATTGAGTCGTAAATGCCGGGAGTGGCTGGAGACGTACCCAGACGAAGCACATAGCTGACAGCGTCGTAGTTGAGGGGCGCCGACGCCGCCTGGTGAATAGGACTCCACCTCAGCGCCTTATAGTTCGCCAATCGCCAAGAATCAACAACGAGCCGGTTTTGTCTGCCAAATATGTAGGCCGAGTTCCGGCGGGGACGAGGAGTGAGCGTGGACGGGGCAAAGAAAGCGCGACAGGTATATGTATATCAGAAACTTAGGGCCCAAGAGAAGAAGGAGACAAGAGAGCGTTCTTAAAGCTTGCGTTGCTGTATGAGATCAAACAACGGAGGCCTGGAGGTCTATTCGTAGGTTGAAGCAGAGGAACGGCGTGAGGTTGAGGGAGAGAATCGAGGTGTCAGCAAATCGAGTCGAAGGTTAGCAAGACCGAAGCAGACGGGGGCGAGTTACGAGTAGGTAACCAAGGTATGGAAGATGGAAGCCCCTACCCACCCGCGAGTAATAAGCGGGGCGGGCACTGATCAACCACTGAAATCTCAACTCAAAACCGCATATCAGGGGGTTTAAGGTACAACGGTTACAGACGTTGAAATCGGACCTCTTGAAGTACTACCCACTAAAGAGCGGGTACGGTCTGACCCAGGTAGTGGGGCAGGTACAAAAACGATACTGGCCGGGGGGGAGGTCCAAAACCGAGTACCTCTAGAAGTCACGATTGCCTTGCCTTTTTAGGTTAAGGGCCCGCTAATAACGCTGTTCCCGATTGGCTCCCCTAATAAGCGGGTTATTTGCTGGCAGGGGCCCTATAAGGTAATAAGAAGTCACTGTTTTAGCGCGTATTAGCTCGGTACAGGAGAGAGTCCGATTTTTACCTATATGTACTGTACTCTTACCTACACTTAAGGTAAGGTACTGTATGTATTCCTCAGCCCTGCGAGACCGTGCATGCAGGAACTGGGGAACGGGTCGAAGATATCCAGTCGATAAACGTGGATAAGAAATTGCTGACCTGTGTGGGTCGTCATGCTGCGGTGCCCTGTCAATTTGGTCTGAAATAGCAGCGGTTCCGTCTTCCCTAGGCCATGCCTGCATGTGCTTCGTACTCGTATCAAAAAGTAAATGAGAAACAAAAAAGAAAAGAAAAGAACCCCCCCTCAATTCTCTGGCTACCTATTGGTAATAGTTCTAGACCAAAGCGAAAGTGAGATGCTGTGATGAAGCTAGTGTCTTTCACCATTATCTCTCGCCTCTTTGCACCCAACGAAAGGGACGAATACAGCTGGGCCGTAGGCTTATGTCGTATTTCTGTCGCGAGACGTGAGACACATGGACCAAGATCAAGTTGGTCGTCGAAGAATGTTATCCGGCTCTGAATCCTGGAATCGAGGATGTGTTCCCAGTTTACGCTGGCGTAGTGGCAGAAGTACTCTGTTCAAACAACTGCACTTGTAGGTCCGAAGGGCTTGGTTTTTGGCTGAAGAAAATGAGTTGAGGTGATGGAGATGTGAGAGAAGAGATCCGTACATGGATCGAGTCGGCTGCTCGAGTTTCGCACTACCTACAACGTAGACTGATCTTTGTTGTTCGCTTCGCTTTTAGCGCAGCGGTTCGGTCCGGTCAGGGACCTATGATACGGAATACCTTAGGTAAGGTTGTATGTAGTGTACATGTAGTTCCTCGTATACTCCGCTGACTAAGGTAACCACAAACTGCTAATTTCTCTGTTCTTCCTGTTCGAAGCTGCCCAAACGGCCCTTTCCTTGGCCGTCAGGCGTATAAGGACAGGCCCTCGGCTGTCATCACGCTTTGCAAAGTCTTTGACCACATAATCAGTCCTAGTCTCTTCATGCCTAGAGACACTGCTATAGTCGACCCCATAGTGCCTTAGCCGTGATTTCGAGATTATTTAGACGTGGACTATCGTTGACCCGCTGCATTACCCCTCCCACCACGGGGACACCGAGACGCTCAAGAGCGTACCCAATTGACACCCACGATTCTGTGTCTTGGTACCTACTGAGAGGCTGTGTTTTAGTAATCCCCTAATGCTGGAGTAAGTAGTTGTATGGACGTGGCTAGGTTGTGGCTATGTGAACAAATACTACACTAAAACAACGCTCCTGTGCGGTGATTAGTGAGATACACTAGGTACCTACCGTGGTGGAGATACTATAAGCCCTAGTGGCACCAAGGTGCACTAAAGGTAGGTGGCTAATAATAATACGTTGTACCTCACACCGTCCAATCGTTTGGATGATGCCTTATTCGCACACGTGTGGAGGGAGCTGGTGGTCATGGAGCTTATCCTCCGAAGCGCATATCCACCAGGCCCGAGCTCAGCGGCATGTTTTACCTACCTAAGATAAGGTACCTTACCTTATTAGGTAGGCGAGCTGAATGACGTCGTCATTCTTTATCCTGAACCGTCTCCACCACCAATTACACTGTTGGTGAGATACTGAATCCCGAGCATCTCTTTATGATGTCGACACGCTGTGCAATACCCGACTGATTGTCCCAACACTTCACTACCCGACGCAGCAAGACATACCCATACGTGAAGATACTTTTCTTCTTCTTTCCCCTTCCGAAAGGAGAGGTAAAAGACAAAAAAGACGACACGGCATCATGCCTCATACTCATAATGAGAAGCTCGACCCCGAAGCCGAAGTTCGTTCTTGGGGCTTCAATGTCGTATACACTTGGTCCGACAGCCCGTAAGCATAAAAAGCCGCTGGATTCAGCAAGAAGATTAAGGGACAGAAAGATATCGCTAAGAAAAGGGACGGGCGACAGAAACTATCATTATAAACCCCATTCTCACCGTGGCCTTACCACCCACCTCATCACAAAGGGTAGCCTCACTATCTCTTACCCGGAAGACAGAAATCCAACCAAGGAAACCCATGGTATTGGCGCACGCGTCGATGTCCCAGCTGGACGCACCCACGAGGTTTGGATTGGGACCGAGGGGTGTACCTATGTAATTGGAGAGTGACCACAGTGAGCGACCACCACTGACCGAGCGAACGAATTCCCTTCTGCCTTAACGGGAGGTCCCGAGTCATCTTCGCGTACTCTGTACAGACGGAAAGTGGTTGCAGATAAACTGATGTTGAACTCGGAGGCTGAGCTGAGGGTAGGTGTGGGTCCGAGTGGGGCGAAAAGTTGAGCTGAGGGTTGCTGTGGGGCTATGTACTAAGGTCATGTGACTAGATATCTTAGGTAACCACCCTTATAATAGGTAGGCAAGGGATACTATAGGGCTATATATTAAGGTCACGTGACTAAATATCTCAGGTAACTACCCTTATAATATATATAGGTAGGTAAGGGTTATTATAAGGCTATTTATTAAGGTCACGTGACTATATATCTTAGGTAACTACCCTTATAATAAGTAGCTAATATTTATTATAAGACTATTTATTAAGGTTATATAACTAAATAAATTATGTAACTACTCTTATACTTAGTAAAAGACTTTATAATAATATAATAACCCTTAGTAGAAATAATCCTTATAATACCTTAAGGTATTTAACGCGATCGCGAAATAGTTCGACCAATTAATTAAAGGCGTAAAGCCCCGTACCTACCCTCAGCTCAACTTTTTTATCAGCCACGCCCCACATCTACCCTCAGCCCAGCCACCGAGTTCAACATCAGTTTACATGTAACCTCGACGGAAAGGACCGCTGAGTTGAGAATCACATCGCTCTTATCCGAATACAAATACAAAGCATTGCGAAAGCTTGGTGTACTTGCGGATCCGAATGAACCAAGAATATCACGATAATAAGTGGAGTAGATTACAACTAGATATATATTTTTCAATATAAAATATAGGGGCTTACATAGATATACTTAATCGGGGGATATAGTATCCTGGCAAACCACCTTATAACTCCCTAATAAGTAAAGTCGATATAGTACCTAAGTGTTGTTAGTGGAGGTACGTTCCTCGAACCTTCTTGAATTTCCTAAAAGAGTAAATTACGAATGTACTTTAAAACACACAATTAAACAGGGGTTGTATGGTATGTATCACACTGCAGAGAGTCAACAAACGAGGACTAAGTACACCTCTACCAGGATCTAGTATGTTAGCGCATATACAAACTAATATGACTGGCTAGGGACAACAGGGGGGCCCACTAGGTAGAAGTACATCCAAACACATATAAAATATAGACAATCTTAAGTATATAGACCTATATAAACCAAAAGTAGTCTTACTACTATTATAGCTATCACGATAATTAAAAATCAGTATCTCCCCTATCCCTCTTAATAACCTAATATAGGCGGGCTAGTTAGTACGGCGTTAATAGTGGTTATATTATAAAGGACTGCTTCTGTAGAATCTGAAAATAGCTTTAAAATACGGATCATAAAGAAAGTAGTAAAGTTACGAGGACCGTAGTTAGTAGACTCTTTATCGGTAAAATAGTGATAGCTTCACTTAAAGATGCCTTCGTGACGTTAGGTCCACGATCGTCATCTCTCTTTATGCCTGCCCATATAAAATAGGAGGAAAAGTACGGATCAGCAGACTAATCCAATGAGCGATTGGGATGTGGGGCGAATTCCCACGCTAACATACTAGATCCTGGTAGAGGTGTACCTCGGCATCTGTCATATCTTGGTAAGGCAAGAATCGTCAGAGTGACGTCGTCCGTGGAGTTCCAAATTACGGATAGCTAAGGCATCGGACAGGCATATACGGTATCAATGGAGCACTTGGTGTGGCCCGTGCATCCGCGGCCCTCTTTTCCTACGAATAGCCACTTGGGGAAAAGGCATCAGGTTTCAGATTTGGAGTCCAGCCGGAGGATATGAAATGAATGAGCAGGTATATCTCCTTATGTTTTCTCAGCCGTGTTAGATTTCATGTCACTCGTCGAATGCATTGAAAGTCACCCATCTGAAGGGATGAAACCCGAAAGCAACAAGTGTCTGTTTGAGAGACGTTTGGATTGAGTACATGAGTGATTAATAATTCTCGGTCGTTTATTGTTGCATGTATCTAACCTTAAACGCCACAAATACCCACATAATCAATACTGCACGACCAAGTCGTTGCGGGCATCATCATGCCGCTTCTCCGGATAATAGGATAATAATGATGCAAAAGTACGGATACCATTGGTAGGTCCGCATTACCGCTGTTTACTCCAGCCCTGTTTCCCCACGGCCAGTTGATAGTGCTGGTCTGTCCAAGCTTGGCATATATGGCCTCTCTCGCTGGAGAAGGAGGCTCAGGACAGCCAAGATATTGTAGTTGGTACCTCACTGGGAAATGTGTGATACCTTGGAGTAATACACATCCAGGGTCTGAGACACAAGCTAAGGTGCGTGGTCAAAATAAGAATCCCATAAAACCCCCATCGAGGAAAGAGCAAGTAACAGTTCCCGTCGAATAACTCTGGCTAGGAGAATGCCCCTTACCTGATAGGAACTGGTTTCTGGAAGAAATTCGTACTTCGTAAATCGATGATGCCTTCGAGAAGGAGGTTTCCATAGGAATGCGGAGACTGATGGTACCCCATAGGTAAGTTTGAGGTACTGCTACGTACCCTATACCTTCCTCGTACCTGGGAGCTTGAGTGACTTTAGACCTGATCCTCCAACCACGAGACGTTGAACCAAGGCAACTCTGGAAGTCTGCGACGCGTCAACAGTCAACCATTCATCCTGCTCCCAGCTTCTTTTTTGTCTCCCAAATCGAGATTGAGATTGAGATCGCCGGGCCATGGTTTGGTCTGTGCTAGCAAGGTTGTAAGCGATTAGTTCCTGGGCCCCCCGCAGTCCAAGATGCAGTTGTGGTCGAATATGATTCAATGATTCAATTCATCTCTCCTCTCCTTCCTCCGTCGTACTTGTGTTTCTTGGGACTTGGTCGTGGGTTCCTTGCTTTCTCGACCTTAACAGGGGCTCGTGTTAGTTAGGTCTCACTTCCTTCTGTTCCCTCGGAACCTATCCTCCAATTCACTCTTCTTTCATGTTACCTTTTTCCTCTGGATTTATTCTTTTGCTGCATCTCTTAGTCGTTCGTTTAGCCAGCCGTTGTCCCTTTCGCTCTTGGTTTCCTTTCTCCTTCATCATCATCTTTCGTCTGGTTTGGTTTATCTGCCACTTTGTCTCTTTGTGCGTTGTCCGTCACCGTCAATCGCTGCGTCGCCGCATCGCCGATCTTGTCGCCGAGACGTGGTCATTCCACCTTCCAAGCATATCGACCAAGCCAACCAAAATCATCGACAATTAGTCTTTCCATGCTTCTGGAGAGGACCCCAGATTCTCATTGAACGGCGGAAACTTATCCGAGGTCTGTGGTCTCGGTAGTTGTGACGAAGCATTGATTATTCTGCGGCATGGAAGTTTCAACATCGTTTATGCACCGCCATCACCATTGCTAGCCCTTGAGCCCTTGGTCTCCAGTGCCTGTCGGTCAAGCTGAGCTGGGCCTCGCATTTCCCTAGTTTCACCATCCATTGCCATTATCGCCTCCTCTTACACCATCGTTCTCCTATCTCAACAATCTTTCAATCAGCCTTCAACCGGTCCTACTACAAGGCAGTGGCAGATCATAAAAAAAGAGAAGGAAGAAAGACAAAAAGAAAGCGACTTGGTTGGAGGAGGCCTTACTCCGCATTTGCAATGGGAAACGTCTCGTCTGTCGAGACGCTGACGTCTCACGATCCCACTTCTCGCCATGTCGTCACATCGAAGCCGACCAAGAGACAGCCCCAGAAGCTCTCCAAGCCGCGTGTTGGCAACCACGTTGCATCTCGCAACCAGAGCTCCTTCATTGCTGTCTCCCCCTCGTCCAGCGCCTCTCAGTTGCCCACGAATCCCAACGTGGGCCCTCTGGCGACCCGTCCTCATTCAGCCGTGCTCATTCCTTCTTCTTCTTCCTCGCCGATGCACTCGCCAGCCCCCCCCAGCCTAGTCTCACCGGCCGCAATGCCTGGGTCGGAGGCGGGATATGGAGCCTCCACTACGCCTCAGGACCGGGAGATTTCATCGGGCTTGTTTCGCTCCAAAAGTACTTCAGCGAACCGTCCTACGAGGAGGAGCACATGGTCAACACCCTTATCAGGTGTCACACCGAAGCGGGCCAACACTATGGATTGTCAAATGTCCGAAGCTACTTTGGAGCGCCTGCAGCCTCAGGACTCACCCAGCCCGCCGATCCCCCGTGTGCATTCGGTCGCGTCTCTTCACGCCCCTGTGCGCCGCCGTAGCATTTTACGGACTCCTGGACTAGCTACTCGAGCTGCAACCGAAGAGACAATGCCCCGAAAATTCAGCTTCAGGCAGAGCCATCCTGCCACGCCAGCCAGTACTCGCTCGAGGTGCGACTCCGTGGTCTCGACCCCGAATTATTTGTCTTTGCCTTCGCCCTGTCTCAATCCACGTGTCCAGGTGGACATCGTGCAGACCCCTTCCGAGGCGGAATACAAGCAATTGGGAGCTATGCAGTTTGGCTCCTTAAGAATCACCAACGGAACGGCCAGCCCTGCCCCAAGCACCGAGGGTGAGGCCGTGGATAAAGGTCAAAGCCAGGGTGTGACAATGAAGCCGGGACAGGTCCAGAGCGCAGGCCACGCCGAGAATCAGATGGAGGGCTTGGCCCTTATGCAACCCGAGCCATCCAAAGATGCCTTGCCTCTAGTTGTCTCGGAAGTTGAAATGAGCGAATACGGACACGCTAATGTCTGGTCAGAGTCGGAAGGTTTCTCCAACGAGGTGCCTGAGATTCGACAAGATTCAACACCAAGTCCCATCGTACGGGAACAACGCGACAAGTCGGACAAAAGGGCGCATCTCGATTTCCCCCAGGCTGACAGCGGCATTGTCGCTAATCCGACGGATTATGTACCAGGGGTTCTTTCTAAGACAGACTCCGGATACAGCTCCGCTACGTCTTTGAGGTCGCTGCGCTCCAAGTCCAGCAAAAAGGGAAATGGTCTTGGTGCCCAAGAAACGCACAAAGCTGAATCTGAAGTGTCGGATGGTTCGTCGTCCACTGCTGAGGGCAGAATGTCGACCATCTTAGCAGATTGGAAGTCTCCAGGCTTAGCGGCGGCGGAAATGCCTCCCTCCGAACAGCCACGAGATGGTCACGCGTCTGTTACCGGTCATAAAAACACCGGAGTCGTCCCCCATCCCCAAGGACATGGTGCCTCTCAGCCAAGGAAACTGCGTCGCAAGAGCCAGTCTCTGTTGCTTACTGCTAGCCATGGGCGACCAGGACTTCTGTCTTCCCAGTCTGAACATCCGGGGTCTCTGGGCTTGGACGATTCAAGCCCGATCTTGAATGTAGAACCAGGCCCCAGCAAGAAATACAGATTCCAGTGGTTGATGGGTGGCCCCAAAGCGAACGGGCACCCCGCTCTACAACCCATGCCGGGGAACAGGAAGACAATGGTTTCAGTTCTCCAAGACTCGGGTCCCAATTATTCAAAGCACGGCGACCAGCTCTCAATAATTGACAGACGTGCCACTCTACATTCCCCACGGAGCCGAGACACACTCCAGACGATCTTGAGCGATGGGAGCGCAGGACTTCTGGGAGACACATCCGTGTCCAGGGCAAAACCGCAGCCTAGCACCCGTGAAGGATCGAAAGTGCTCCGCCGTCACTCCTCCCAATCATCGTCGACCACGCCGCTGTCACTATCCTTGACTCCAAAGCCGAGCATCCGTCGAAAGCCTTGGTCATGGGGACAAAAGTCAAAGGCGGAGGAGGTCCAGCTACTTGATGGAGGTGACTGGGTCAAGAACAGCTTCGAATCCAGCGTTACTAGCATCGACTCGATCAGCAGCAGTGTGGGGAAGAGCGCTTTCGACCAGGCTTTTGCGGCCATGTCTGACAAGTCCAACGATGAGTTGCCGCCTTCAAAGCTATCATCCATGACGATGCCTGTCCCGACTGAGCGAATCCTGAATTTGAGGAGGAAATCGTCATCAGGATCCAGGTCTCCCGGTCGCATCTACGTCTCGTCTTCTCGAAGCTCACCAATCCCCGAAGTCCCCGGCATGCCGCCGCAGAATGTCACCAAAGCAAAGACGCCTCCTCCCGTCAGCTTGCGGCGGCACAACTCCAAGGCATTTCGGCTGCCACGACGACCGCAATCCACTCCTGCCGACCCAACTCACAGAAACTCTGATCGGCCTTCCAGTCGAGGCAGTTCCAACAACGAGAAGGGACCAGCGCCACCACCAGTACCTCCAATGCCCTCGAAGAAACCGGCTCAGTATCCAGAGCTTCAGCACCTCAAAACGTCTGCCAACCCGGACTACGATGCATGGCGTCCAAAACAGCTTAGTCGCCGGCACTCGGTAGGGGACAATGCCGGTGCCGCCCCCGAACTCCGCCGACCTGCGAGCGCGGATCATGGTGCAGGGCTGGGCCGGCCAACCGGCCCGCGTCAACGTGCCAGTTACGATGGTCTGGGCAAGGACCGTCAGCGTTGTCAATATGATCCACCGCAAACCAGGCACAATCCGGTGTCGCAGAATCCGACGCAAAGCGGCAGCTACTATCAGAATCAACTCTTGCGAATTGAGCGAAATTCGTTGGGCGATGAGCCATGGAGGCAGCAGAGGCACTCGTTCGGCGGCCGGGCCAGACACTCTCGTGCCGGGGTACAGGGGACCCAGGGGCCCTACCGGATCCTTCACAGCTATAATTCACCGGCATACCGTAATGTTCCAATCTGGGGTTGAATAATTCACCGGCATACCGTAATGTTCCAATCTGGGGTTGAAAACCCGAAATAGTTGACTTGAGAGACTGTTCTTGGCACCATTGACCTTGACTTGCGTCAACGAGTACATTCTGTCTCTCGCCTGCCTCTCCTTTTCTCTCTCTCTCTCTCTCTCGCGTTTCCCCCCCCTTGTTTTTCGTTTGTTAGCATGTCTTATTTGTCTCGCAGGTTAGTGAGAACTGCGTCATTCCTTTCCACATGGGCTGCTGGCGCCCTTGGACTTCATTTCTGTCACCACTGTTCCAGCAATCCTTACAATCATATACGGTACCATCCTTCGCATTATAGTGCAAACATATTCAGAAGCGGTGCGACATAGTGCGGCGGGTCCTAATATTTTAAGCAATGGTGCCGGTTTCAATTTTTTGTCGTCGCATTTCTACATTAGTTTTGTCTCTTCCAGTCGGGAATTCCGATAACATGAGCAACGATTTCGATACCAATATACGCGCAAATTCTTGGGTTTTACCTTTTGATTTCGGATGAGGTGTCGCTAAACCCCATCGACTGTCTCTCCTTTTCTGGTGTGAACCGGCTCCTTGATGAGGTCTGGGTCAGGAAACTGTGTGGTGATACGTAATCAAGATGTGATAGAATTTGGGCAACTTGAGAAGCATGGAAACCTGGAGCTATGAGAGTTCAGTGGAAACTGGTCGCTAATACGATGATCGCGATTATATTTATACAGCCCTCCTAGGGATCTGGAAACACACGAAAACGAAAAAAAAAAAGAAACCCGCCCCGCCCCAACCCGGCCAGCTATGCGCGAGCAGGATGAGAATGTGACCGAAGAAAACCCTCAGCCAATATCTCATACCGTCGATGATCGATCGTAGCCCCATCCTTGGCAAAAACAAACAACCATGACGCCGTCTAAATGCTCTTTTACTAGTCGTACAACCCATATATACGAGGTCCATTTGTTTTCCTGTGTGAAGACAAGCTCGCACCTCTGGAGAGCCCCCCTACAACCCCTCTCTCTCGTCCACAGCACTTCTGTTACGAGACCCGGGTTACTTGGACGGCTTGAGCTGTTCCGCGAGCTTCTTCTGCTGCTGCTTCCGATACTCCTCGTTTTCAGCCTCGCGCCAGTCTTTGGGCGCGGTTTCGTTGCCGTCGGTCTCCCCGCGGCCGCCGGCGAAGGCGGGACGGCCGGCGTACAGCTGGTAGCCCTTATTTGTCCGGTCGGCATCCGAGACGGTCTGGTAGGTGACGGGGAGGTTGCCGCGGAAGCGCTTGCGCATGTCGACCATGCCGCGCTTGCATTCGCCGAGGCCTTTCTTCAGCTGCTGGCACTTGGTCGGGAGGGTTTCGAGGAGCGGGGAGCGGAGGCAGTCGGCTGCGCTGTTGCGATCGACCATGACGCAGTCTGATTCTTGGAGGCATTGGGCTAGCGCCTCACCTGTGGAAGAGGGGCATATTGTCAGTGGGGTGGCCGTCTTTGGTTGCCGATTAATAGGTGAGTGAGGGGGTGCAGGTTCTTGCTGTGGTGTCTGGGATAGAGGGATGGACGTACGTAATTCTTTGCATGAGCTGGGCATTTTAGGTTCCTCTGAGCTTCTTCCCTTTCCTCCCTTTTGAATTCAAAGAGTGTGTGGGTTTAGGAAGATAATGATGTGCGCGTGCGTGTAGTGGACCTTTGGTTGCGATGGCTTTCTGGTGTTGAGCGGCCCGAGACTCGGCGACGTTCAGTTCAGATACCTTATTGTCATTGGCCAATAAGGTGAAGCACCCTTGAGACGTTATGATAACTTTTGATTGGTCCATAATCACATAGTGTACTTGACAGACACCCTATGTGGAGATGTCAGGGGGTACAAATTTACAACCCCCAGTAGTTATGTGGACGGAGTAGGTAAAGCTTAGGTTGCCCCCAAATTAAATGTCTGTTGATGCAGGTGTGCAGTGCGCTTCTTGCATGTGACATCACCATCAAGAAGTTCATCGTTCACTCCATCACGCGCCATTGCTCTAGGTAAAGTTATGGTATTGTTCTCAAGACCGAACTTATCCCCCAGCAAACTTTTTTATCTCCCATTGCCATGATGGTGATGCTTTGATATCTTAGTTGTATTTCTATCGTCTTTCTTTCCTAGAATCTCACATAGACGGTCCTTATCTCCCCCTTCTTCTTCTCTTACTTCCCTAATCTCTCGAGTCATCGCCAGGATGCCTGTGCCATTTATTGGGCGTTTGAACATGTAAGTGCTAGCCCCGTAAACCATTTGGTTACTGCTGCGCGGTGTTTGTGAGGAAATGGATGGGCTTCGAGAGGCATGCCTCTTATCTCATGGCAGAGCTAACAGCAAATCCCATGTAGCACCGAATATGTTGCTCTTGTGGGCTCATTTTTCCTTGTCGGCCTCGAGGCGATTATCCGCATTCTGACCCTCGCACTTCGTATGTCTCGGGGCGACGAGCGATGTCCCCTATTCGTGCCGTATTACGCCGATCCATCTAACATCTAGAACAGCCCGGTCGCTTATCTCCCTCTTCTACCGAGCCTCCCGCCGCCTCTTCCACAGATTTACGACACCGGCGCAGAATAATACTATACAAAGAAAGAGATGTCAGTTGAGCGCATTCCTACGATGAGGATTGGTTAGGCCACGTCTAACTGGGGAACAGCCCTCTCAATAACCGTGAGAGATGCTTCCGATTTTGTTGACCTATGCCGTGTGTTCGGATACGAAGCCGAGGAACATGTCACTCAGACGAAAGACGGATTTCTGCTGGGCCTCCATCGTCTAGCATGGAAACGGGGTGAGGAGGGTCAGAGAGTGAACAGTGGCCGCGATAGTGTGCAAAAGAAAGTCGTGTACTTGCACCATGGCCTGCTTATGAATTCCGAGGTCTGGGTCTCGTTGACCGACGCGCAGAGGTGTTTGCCTTTTGTCCTGGTTGAAAAAGGCTACGATGTTTGGGTGAGTATTGCTCGCTCTGTACCCATAGCCTGCATGGAGCCGCCTTTGGTTTGCTGACACGAACCCCTCCACCCCCCTCGGAAGCTTGGCAACAATCGAGGGAATAAATACTCCAAGAAGTCGATCAAGTACTCGCCGACTTCCGTCGAGTTCTGGAATTTCTCCATGGACGAATTCGCTCTACACGACATCCCCGACAGCATCTCGTACATCCTGGAAACCACAGGACAGGAAAGCCTCTCGTACATCGGGTTCTCTCAGGGAACGGCGCAGGCGTTCGCGGCGCTCGCTATTCACCCAAAGCTCAATGACAAGGTCAACGTCTTCATCGCGCTGGCGCCTGCCATGTCCCCCGCTGGTCTCTCCAACGGCGTCGTCGACGCCCTCGTCAAGGCGTCCCCCCAAGTACTCTTCCTGCTCTTCGGGAGGCGGTCCATCCTCAGCTCGACGACCATGTGGCAGTCTATCCTGTACCCACCCATCTTCGTGAAGATCATCGACTACAGCCTCGGCTTTCTCTTTGACTGGCAGACGAAGAATATTTCGTGGAGTCAGAAGCTTGCGGCCTATCCCCATCTCTACTCATTCACGTCCACCAAGAGCGTGGTCCATTGGTTCCAGATCATCCGCAACAAGGCATTCCAGATGTACGATGACGACGTGCAGCCGCCGGTGGCGCTGAGCTCGTCGAGCAAGTACACCAAGGTGGCGCGGTATCCGACGCGCAACATCAAGACGCCCATCGTTCTCGTCTACGGCGGCACCGACTCGCTCGTGGACATCAAGGTCATGCTGCGCGAGCTGCCCAAGATGACGGTGGCCACGGAGATCCCACATTACGAGCACCTCGACTTTCTCTGGGGCCACGATGTCGATGCCCAGGTGTTCCCGCACGTGTTCGACGCGCTACAATCTTTCACGGATCCCCACCACTCGTCCGAAGAATACGCGAAGTACCAGCTTGCCCGACAGGAGAGCCTCCTGGGATCCGGGGCACCGTACCGAAATCACGGTGAAAAGTCGGGCGGGAGCGGGAGCGACACCTCCACGACTGAGGCGTTGTCCACGGGTATTGCGGACGAGGCGCAGGGAGACGCCGATGCCGGGAGCAGGGTCACTCCCCGGACGCCACAGCACAGGGCTCGAGAAGAAGAGGAAAGGGACGCGGTGGTGTCCCTCAACGCTTCTCCGTTGATAGGTCGGCCTCGTATTGCCGATGACCCACGGCAACTCGTTCGTTCTCGTGAGGGCGGACCCAATGCCGAACAACTTGCTTCGCCGGGCAAGCTGAAGGGAACCGGAGTTCGTAGGAGCAGCATCAGCGGCAGCGGGAGCGGCAGCGGGAGCATTATTAGTCTGGACACAGGCCGCGGCATCAGTCTTGGCACGGGGCGGGCGGTGGGCGGAGTGGTGACGACGGGAGGCGTTGACAAGGGGATCACTACTAGCCCCACTGTGGTCAACGACAATAAGACGAAGGGGAGGCTGAAGCGGACATGATGTAACGTTATAATTATACAGGAGGTAGGTAGTGAGACAACTAACTGTACGATGGACTTGAGAGTTGGTTGGTTTGGTCCCTTCGCCTTTGCCTTCGCAGCTTTTTGTGGTCGTCCCCACAATATCCAGTACCTTACTGAGTAGTTTGGTCTTGTCCGTGTCAGATGCCAATTCGGCGACCGGGTCATTATTCGGACTAACTTGTCGGTGTCGGTCATTGGTCGGGCGGGCCCGTCCAAGACTCCCCATTTGCTCGGCTCGGCCGAGGCCGGCGGATCTCCAAATCTCCAAGATCATGTTCCTCCCCTGCACCTGTTTGCTAATCTAATCTGCCCCTCCATTGTTTAATAATCCTCTCCCTCCAGTTCCTCGGCAGTGGGACCATCGGTAAGGTGTAGACACTCAGCAGGAATTACGAAGCAGTGGTCCCTGTCCATCAGGGTCCCTTGACCCCTCAGAAACGTTGAGCCGAGTATGAGGGATTTGATTACCTTATGTTACGTGTGAGAACGCTTTAGAGGGCAACGGCATGACCCAGTGGTATTGCTACGCGGTCACGCAATACGAATACCTGCACCCCAGCGTTGCTCCTACCTTACGATGATGAGTACAGTATATATAATTGAAGACTAAGGTAACCTACCTTAGGTAAGGTAGCTATCAGTTTCTCTACCTTAAGGTAACTTACTTTCTACTCCACTCGCCGTCGAATCGGTTCGAATTTGACTTGCTGAGACCTATACGAGCTGGATACTTTACTTATTAATTCTTGTGTCATCCACTCTCCCGCATCGTCTCAACCATCTGCTCGTCTTTCACGTCCACCATTAATCCGGTTCAATCAAATCACCCAGACTTTCTCTATTAGACGTGAAACTATACCATCGGCTTCTGATCTACCTATCTATCAACATGTCCGAACTCAAGGCCGGCGATACTTTCCCTGAGGGGGTCACCTTCCAGTACATCCCCTACCAGCCCGACAATGCTGAGATTACCGCCTGTGGTATCCCTATCAACTATGATGCCAGCAAGGGTAAGTGAAAGTGATTTTTGCTCTTCACACATAGTCTCTCCGTTCCCTAATTACACACATCAACAACTCAAAACAACTTCCAAATTTATCCCTCAAAGCAGGGACATCCTACACGAAGTCCTCCCAAACCCTCTCAAATCTGCCAACCAAAGGCCTCCCCCCCCCTTCCCTCTGTCTTCCCCTGCCTTGTCTTGCTTCTCCACCAGACCAAAAACAACAGACCGAAAACTTCAGAATTCAAGAACAAGAAGGTCGTCGTCGTCTCCGTCCCAGGCGCCTTCACCCCGACGTGCCAAGTCTCGCATCTGACCTCCTACGTGGGCCGCGCCGGCGAACTCAAGGCCAAGGACGTCGACCAGGTCGTCTTCATCGCCTACAACGACGCCTTCGTCATGAGCGCCTGGGGCAAGGCCAACGGTATCAAGGGCGACTTCATCATCTTTGCCTCCGACGCCGGCGCCAAGTTCTCTTCCTCCATCGGCTGGGTCATGGGCGAGCGCACAGGTCGCTACGCCCTCGTTGTCGACCACGGCAAGGTCGTCTACGCCGCCCAGGATACCCAGAAGGGAAGCATTGAGTTTTCTGGCGCCGATGCTGTCCTGGCGAAGCTCTGAGGTGGTGGGGACTTGACTTTGGTCTTTTCGGGTTTTCCCTGTGCTTATTTCGTTGTCCTCGCAAAACTGATGCAAGAGACTGGGCACTTATGCCAACGTTAGAAAGGGGATGATCCTGGCTGGCGGTAGATACATAAAACTAGATGCCTTGCCGTATGTTCTTCCACCCTCGTGAAAAGGAGAAGCTGTCCCCGGGTGTCTGGCATGTGGATTGGATTTACAAGTTCGATCGCTTCCAACCCGGGGGAACACACATAAATTATGGATCGCATTTCACAACGCTCGTCGCAAGTTCTTCACTGTCGAAACAAACGCCCCCCATAGGTTTTTTTTTTTCCTTTTCTTCTTCTTTTCATCTTGACTATCCCGTAGGACTTTCCATGACATTCCCTGCTACCGAGATGTGTAGTGTAGAGAACCAGTCGTGTAAGACACAAAAGAAACCTCGACTCCAGCCTTTCGTCAAGCTTCCTTCCCCACGGGAGGAACAAATGTAGGAGGTGAGGACGTCTCTATTTTGTATGACTTGAGATAATCCTCCCTTTTCTTCCCTTGGTTTTTGTTTTGACTCTCCACTCCTCCCTCCCGTTCCGCTGTCCCTGACCGTCGAAGATTTCGCGCCTGAGGGGAACAAGGAAAACGAAAAAATAGAACCCGACACCCCTCCCCAACGCCGGAACGGAGGGGGAAAAAAAGATATCAAGTCATGCCCGCGGAAATGGTTGGGAAACTTTTTTTTTAACGGGTCCTGGCCTGAACCTTGGGTGCCGCACCCTTGGATCCCTGCTTGCTGGCGATCCGGGCAGTCTGGCCCTTACCCGCCGCGGCGAGCTTGGCCTTCTCGGCCTTCTTCGCGCTGGCATCCGCCGCCTTCTTCTCCTTGCCCTCCTGGATGGCAGCAGCGCGGGCCGCCGAGCGGGCCTCCGGACGCTGGTTGCGCCTCTCCTTGATCACATCGAGGGAAGCACCGACGATGGCACGCTGCGCCTTGACGGTTCTCCGGGTGCGCTTCTTGGCAACTTCCTGTAGTGGGTGTCAGCGGGATTATGCTGACCACCATGCTCCCATATCACATTGGGCTAGCAGTCTTGGCCCGTCCCCCTTTGCCCTAATCCCAGAAAGAGTCCTCCTCTTTATGTAAAAACACGCGGGGTGTGGGATCGCCAGAACTGTTTTCTTCAACTCCGCGGCTTGCTTCGAAGGCGGGGTTGCGCAAAGAAAAGCATAGGGCTGAATCGTACCTCGGAGATACCCTTGCGGTGTTGGCGGCGGTAGAGAACAGTCCAGGCAATGCGGCGGGGGTTCTTGCGCTGGAGGAAGAGGGACTGCGACTTGCTGTTCTGGAATCGGAAGATCTTGCTGTCGCCACGGACGTAGAGCTTACCCTACACGTTCGATAAACTCGTCAGTTTCCAAGCTCTCGTTCAATATAGCGACCTTTTCCTCCCTCCTTCTCATCCAAAAAAAATCCAATCCATCCATGTCGTCATCACTATCAAACTGCCGGCATATCCGAGGAGAGGGGGGGCGGTAATGATCGGGAGTCGTACCTTGCCAGGGTAGATTCTCTGGCCCGAGAAGGAGTCGTCGTACGTGCGCATCTTGATAGGGAACTCGAGAGTCAGTAGGGACTTAATGTGAGGAGATGCGAAATCAACGGAAGACTTGGCTCTGGGATGTGTGCGTTTTCCGACTAGACAGAGGAGGTATTTCTAGTCCCCAGTCACGACGTAAAACAAAACCCAGTGATGGATGGACAATTTCCTTTGCGCAATACGTACTTTGGCGGTGTTTGGCGAACGCTTGACTTGTTGGCTGGTCGGTGATGAGGTCGAAAGAGTACGCCTCTCGAAGTCCCAATTCAATTTTCGCCGAACTACCTGTGTCGATGGTGGTGGGCGACAACCCATGCCCTGCCCCACCCCCCCTTCGCTTAAAGTCACGTGTGTGGCTGTGTTCCTTGCCTAGTCCCAACCCGTTGTGGCTTGATGCTTTAATCACCGACCCTACCTCCTCCGTAATTTCAGGAGGGCTTTTCCTGCGTTCCACCCGCATGGAAAACCCCTACCATGATATTCGACCCCGACTCCATTGCGTCAATCGTTCATCAGCATTTTCGGGACCTTCCTTCCAAGCGGAAGCCCCAGGTCAGAGATAATGGCATTCATGAATGGGTGCCGCTGAGCGGTTTCGTTGCTGAGCATTCAGGGGGCTTAAGTTGTCTTGCTGTTGCGTGAGTTCTCTCTCTCGTCAGGGCTAAAGCGAAGGTCATGGTTGATTATCCGTCCAGACTCAGGAGAAGTATGTAGTCTTCTGGTCGGAATGGGGCAGACGTCGAATAGAAGCCTTTGATCCGTTCAATGTCAATCGCATTCAATTGACGGGGGGCTGTAGTTTCTGTAAAGACGACTGACTAGGGAACCAGAACCGGGATGAAATGTCTTCCATCCGCAAAAGTCCCTCAAGCTAACGGAAATGTACTTCACGACTGGCACGCAGAGATCCTGGCCCTCAGGGCCCTCAATCAATTTTTCCTCACTGAGTGTCGCCATCTTCTGGACAACGGCGGTGAACAAACTGATATCATCCGCCGTCGGCCACAACAGGAGCGAAATTTTGCTTCCCAGCACAGGGATACCTGGCAGGCCCAGCCTTTCGCTATCCGGGATGACGTTCGCTTGCACATGTACTGCTCGGAAGCGCCTTGTGGCGATGCCAGTATGGAGCTGACCATGGCAGACCAAGAGGACGCCTCACCATGGGAGATGCTACCGCCTCTGACTGCGACCAATGGGGCGCCCGAGGGTCATGGTGGCAGTGACCACCGGAATGGTGACACTGTTCTGCTCGGCCGGGGATATTTCTCCCAACTGGGCGTCGTACGCCGGAAGCCCGCTAGGGCAGACGCACCCCCTACTGCGTCTAAATCGTGCTCCGACAAGCTGGCCCTGCGACAATGCACGTCCGTATTGTCGTCGCTGACGTCGCTGCTTATTCACCCTGGAAACGCATACATCCGCTGCCTAATCGTGGCCGAGTCACAGTACACGCCCGCGGGGTTCGAGCGCTCGTTCTCTGCCAAAGGACGAATGAGTAGTCTTGAGGGAAGGACGTGGCATGGTGGATATGCCTTCGTGCCGTTCCAAGTCGCTACCACCAGACGAGAATTCGACTTCTCAAAACGCAGCGTGAGACAGCAATCAGAGCGGATAGCGGCGAGTAACTTGGCGGTTGCTTGGAATCCCAGGCTCGAGGAGGGACTTATAGGGGGTGTACTGCAAGGGAGGAAAGCTTTCGACAGCAAAGGGGCGAGTCAGGTTTCGAGGAGGAAGATGTGGGCTCTCGCTCGGGAGATATCTGCTATCTTGGCAGACGATCACAGTCCAATATGCAGCAAGCTCTCGGCAGATAGCTACGACGCCGTCAAGACGGGAGAGTGTTCGCAAGCTCGAAGGGCAGTCTTGGAAGACGCCAAACGGGAGGCCTTGGCCAGTTGGGTGCCCAATGTTCGTGATGAAAACTGGTCTATAGGGTAGCTTCGGATAGGAGGACTTCGCTCCCAGTGGCATACCAAGAATCAACTCTAGTCGGATGACTTCTTCCGTCCGAGCTGATAGATTCCTTCCTGCCCATCTTGTTGCTGCATCAGCTCGGCTACGCTGTTAGGACCACGCAGTGATGCCATCACATCCATCACCATTTAGAAATCTCCCAGGAAGTCACTCAGGTTGTTGCAAAGAGGTGCATTCGTGATGCCAGGTTCATATTCTTAGGGATGTACCTTTTCCCCAAATTCCGGTAAAACCGAGATGCCTAGACCCAATTTTTCCTTTCCCTTTTGCCGCCATCGCCAGGTTCATATGCATCATGGATCCTCAGACGGCTTTGATCCGTTCCCGTTGCTTACTCGACCTTGCTCTCGAAGTTCTCGCCCTCTACAAGGTCAGGGATCTCGTCATCATCTCCCTCCTTCTCAGTCTTCTGGAGGTTCTGGTAGCTCTCGGCAAGCTTGCGGAGAGAGGCCAGCGAGTCGGGGCCAAGCTGGTTGAGGATACCGGGGACGAGCTCGGTAAGTTCCTTATCCTCGCCATTGCCGTAGATAGCGAAGGTGTTGGCGGGGACGGCGGCGTGAACTAGTAGCGAAAGCTCCTGTCAGAAATCGTTCCCACATGGATGTTCAATATCCCGTTCGTTCTCGCCTCCGACACATACCCTTGGGGGCAGCAAAGTGGATAACGTTGCCGTCCGACTTGAACATGTTGACCTCCTCAATGGCCTGGATGGGCTGGACGTTCAGCTTCTTCAGGGACGCCTGAAGCTTCTTGTCGTCGGCGCCGGACCTAACGGGAGCCCGCTTCTGCTTCCTCCGCGGGGTGCCCTTGCCACTATCACAAAGTCAGTATCCAGGCCAGATATGTCGTGATCGTATTCTCTGTCGTCCTAGGCATGGTAGAAGGACTCGCGAACAAAGGACGTCATTTAATGAACCCAGACATACCCTGAGGGGTCAAATGTCAGCCACACCCGTCATACATCGAACTACCAAATATTCAGCACATACCAACGCGCGCAACGGCACCAAGCTTCTTAAGACGCTCTTGAACGTCGGCCATGTTGCTCTGACTGTTCGATGGGCCAAAAAAATTGTCTACCGAGGGATGATGGGATTCGGTGTTCGGAAGGCGGTGGTTCTACTCGTACAATCGCGTTAGTAATGGCAGGGAACGCAAAATTCACGGAGAGACGACCGCCAGTGCATAAATTAAAAGATATTCGTTAAAACTGCAATTTGAACTTACCTTGATTCGTTCGTCGTCCGCTTAACGTCGTGAGGCTGCGCGGCGTGGTGGTGATGACTATTGGAGAAAGATGGTTTTGTGCGTTGCCAAGACTTTTCGCTTGCGGAATTAGTAATATCCGTATCAGCCCCTCATTGTGAGGTGGCTTCACCGAGTCTCACCGGTTCTCACCCATACCTTAATCTACTTGGTACCACTAATATCTTAGGAACGATCGTTTTAGGCTTCCATTCCTGCTCTATCTTGGTGTCTATAGTAGCATACCTTAAGGTAAGGTAGTGTAGCAATACCTTGATGTCTCTTAGTATTCACCTACGACAGAGTTCTTCTAAGAAGCCTATTTTCTAGTCCGCTAGGCTTTGAGTTGTGTTCCGATAGATTTTCAGTCTGGCATGCAAAGGCCAGAGGCTTATGCCAGAGGTACGATTCTGACCAACATGAAGTCACAGATGCCACTCTCTTTGAGCTATTAACGCGCATTGAACATAGCAGTTTTGTAAAGAAATACTTTCTCTCTGCTTAGGCCTGACCCTTGGGTTTTCCTACTCATGATACCCAATTCAAAACGCCTCGTTTCCCGGAGTCAACATATTGTGCCTAGTACAGCATTGTACACGTGTATGTTTTACATGGAGCGGTTGGAGGGAGCCTGCTCCCTACTTGGTCGTAAGACCGGCCTCACGTTTCATGGCTTCTTGTTGTAGCTTGAGCTCCTGGGCCTTCTTTTCGTGTTCCGATATTGCCGCCTCTTGTTTCGACTTGATGTCCTCATCCCAAACAGTCCAGACTAAACAGGTGGTTAGCCGAAAATCGATTACCGCAGTACAGAGGGGAGCGATGGCTGAGCATTTACTTGGCTTGTTCGACTTGGAGTGTTCCTTCAGTTTCTTGACGTACTGGTCGAAGTCGGCTTGAATTTGTTCCCGATTGGCGAGACTCCGTTTCTGTAGGTCGGGGTTGTACCTCTTGAATAGCTCTTCTTCGGTGGGAGTAAGCCACATCGTCAAGGCCGGGCCGCCGATAACCACGACTCCTCCCCTGTACAAGGGCTTGGTAAGCGAAGTGCTCGATGGCGCTGAAGCGGAACGGGGGAACCTACGTGACGAGCATCTTGGACCATAGCCTCCAATTTACTGGCTTCCCCATATTGGCGGATTGCTGTCGAGGACAGAACAGCCAGGCGGAGAGCACTTGAATGGTGTAGCCGAAAGAACTGCAGCGGAATACCTAAACCTTGGGCTTCGCGCTAGGTACCTCATGTATCGTGCCATGACGCTACCATACCTTGAGGTAGGTATGGAGTCAAGATGGAAGGCGGTGAGCTTATTTGCCAAGCCAAGCGATGGGTGATGTTGATTACTCAGCAGATTGATCAGGCACGTCCCGGCTCAACACAACATAGGAAGAATAGGTAGGTATTGTAAGAAAACCGCATGTTTTTCGTACAAGAAAAGAAGCTCTTCTGCTTGAAATCAATCATATAGCTTGGTACCCCAACCGTAACCTCCCTGACGAGCGACTCCATCATCGTTAAGACACTTCCCAGCTGTGAGTTTGTTTGGACACAGCCTGAAATGAATGCGAATGCCGCCCTATCTGAATTCCTTCGACCCAAAGGCATAAAATGGAGGCCATGGTCTTCCCTACATCGAGGTTACCGTCTTTTACGGCCTCCAGAGATCCCAGATGAAGCTGGGAGTCTCGCCAGGGGCTGTTTCGTACGTGTACTGAGCAGGTTACATCTCGCTGTCATTCACGGGAGGCGTATAAGGTACGAAGACGAGACAAATCGGGCTGATTCCCCCGTGCCTACTCGTCCCTCGTCTGATAGTTGGGAGACCTTGGCCTGTCCTCTCTAAAGTAAGGTGCTCTGAAATTACTCCGTACATACAACGCATCGATCGCTCGCTTGGCTGTTCGCTGTCCATGGTCCGCTATTGTCGGCATTTGAATGACAGATTTGAGCAAAGCTCAGTGGTCCAATGACATGCTGGAGGGGTTTCAAGGTTGACGCTGGTGGTACCATGCACCATGCATGATGTCGGATCGACAGGGCCCGTACCAGGATGTGGCAGGCTCTTCCCGCCGTCTGGGACACAACATGTTTCTGGGCATGGCACTTTTTCCAGATGCTGTTGGCCTCCTGGTTTTGGTTCCTTCCGAAGTCATCCGGGAGGCTTTGTCTTCTGGGAGTTCCGTGGGATTTATGTGCTATATTTCTCCAACCGGAGGAACAGCAATTGATCGGCAACGCGATGTTGTTGGATGTGCTGCTCAGATGGTATTTATCACTGCACGTACTCCACATCTCCGTCCTTATTTTTTGTTCTTTTTGTTGGGGTTTGAATGATGGATTTCCCCCCCCAATAAACTTCGTGACTACTACGTAACGAATTGAGCGGTTGTTGTTTTATTTTGGTGGAACACCACTGAATGAGCTGGTTGTCCCAAACTGTCAGTTCCCCGAACCTCTTCAAGCAGTCAGCTCCGCCATTTAGCGCCGTATTTCAACTGTTGTGGGCGTTTACAGTACCCGTCACTAAGTGGGACTATGGGATAGGGCGAAGGGCTAGGACTCAGGAGAGGAGGGATGGAAGCTACCTTTTACCAAGGACGGATACTCCTGCCATTCGTCATGCCCCTTTCACGGCTAGCGGCTGCGAGTCACCGTGGGAGGCCTACGGAGTACCTAAGCAAATCATGGCTGCACCCTGCCCTCCGGCTCCAGTAACCGACGACCTGTGAGTTTTTAGTTCGCTTTAGAAGACCCACATTCTTCAGGCCATTGTTCGCTATTCGTTGTTCTACCCCTTCCCGCTATGTACAACTTTATGCCCCATACATACCCCTGTGACCCTCCCCCTTCCACTCTTTTCTTTCGCCGCCCCCCTTTCCCCCGCTCTTTCCGGTCTTCCGTCCATCGCCAGGGTCGCGCCGCAGGAACAGAGGTCAGAGGTCAGAAGAGGTCAGAGGCCAGAGGCCAGAGGTCAGCTGGACCAACGAAATCAGCTGCCAACATAATTTTACTGCCGGACCCTTACAGAGAGTAATGCGTCCTGTCTTCAATTTCTCCCATCAGCCCGTATTTGGTGCCCCATAATCCATACTCCCTCTTTCTTCTACGGAGCACGATATTCTTTCAAGCGTTCTTCAACTCTAAATCGCATTAGTTGCGCCATACACGGCGGTGCAATCTCTGTTTTGCATATTCCTTCGAATTTCTACTCCTACGGATTCCACTTCTCTTTCGGGTCCACGACACTAATTCGCTGACCTAGACTCCATTACGGGCATACTCCCTGCTGACTGTCGTTCCTGTTCTTCCTCACGAGTATAATCATATACTTATACCGACGCACCTAAGCGAAATCACACGTGCCGCCACTTTGGCTGATTTAGCTGTCGCTAGCTACTTTTTCTCAGTCTAGTTTTGCTTCGCCATTGCGTCTCTCGACGCCTTTCGACGCTTCGAACTCTCCTTACCCTGCCGTCGCAGTTCAGATACGCTGCCGACACTGTCCATCGACACAACCCGAGACCACAAAGGCGCACAAAGGACCTCTCCCAACCGAACACCAACCCGCGATTTCAACCTCGATGCGACACTAGGAGCATTCCCGCGAGGTTGCTTTTTATTTTGAAGAGAACTGCGACTCTTGCTTAAGCTTACTTGCTCTTGCCTTGCAGCAGCCGTTCTCTCGGCCGTTTTCCTTTTCCTCCAATAGCCACAACGGCTGTTCGTACAGTGCGAGCCCAAATCGGCGGCCACGAGACGGGGGGCGGGTAAATAATGGCGTACCAAGGCGGATATCCCTCACAACATGCCTACGGTCATGGCGGCGCCGGACCACGTCCGCCGCCTCCACGAGACCCGTACCAGCCTGGACCTCCTCGCCATGTCGAACCCCCGCAACAGCATTATGATCGCGGTTACCACGATGATTACGACTATGATCATCATGATGGCTATGGCCAGGACTATGTCAGACAGCATCAGCACCAGGATCCAGGTTATGGACGGGGTCCTCCCCAAAACAACCAAGGTTATCCGCATACAGATCAATACGGGCCTGGACAAGGCAGAGGTGACAGGCCGCCGCCAATGGGAAGAGGGGGTCCTATGCCCCGGTCGATGACAGCCGACCCATCGCGCGGCGGCCCGTATCCGTCCCGAGGAGGTCATGCTGGACATAGAGGAGGCTATGCCAACCGTCCTCCGCCAGGAGGCCCAGTTAGGCCTGTCCAGTATGAGCGGTCCGCCAATTCAGACCCTCCGCGTAAGTGTCATTTGCCAGCTAATTGGTGTTCTTTCACACTAATGTTTTTTTCTTTCATACTGCTTTAGCTCACCGTCAGCGACCCATGGGGGAGGGCCCCAGGAGCCCCACGAGCCCGACAGGTTTTGGAGGCGCTTTCCCAACCTTCCCCGGACATCAGCGCCAAGCGGATTTCGATCACGAAAATCAGATGGTCAACCAAATGGCCGGTATGGACATCTCGCAGACAACTTCGACAGGCCATCACAGCGGAAGCGTGAACCCCCACAACATGCGTTCTGCTGCAGGTCCTTACGGTCGACCGCCTGTAGATCCTCGAGGACCTCCACCGCAGGGATCTCAGCAAGGCTATTTTGATCCACGCCCCGGCCCAGGTCCTCGTCCTGCTTACGGGGCGGAGTACCGTAGCGATGACGGATACGGACGCCCTCCGCCTAGGGATGACTTCGGGCCTCCTTCTCGGAGTATGACGATGCCGGTGAACGACCCCATGGCCCGGGGGCCGCCACAGCGCACAGGCACCATGCCCTTGAATGGACCCCATGTTACAGGTGGACTGCCACCCCGACCATCGACGTCGAACAGTCATCGCCCCCCGACACAGCGCGTGTCCCCCCTGAACCAAGGCACCCTGCCGACCCCTGCTGGAGGCTACACCGCTGCTGACTCAGAATATGAGAATGCCGATCAGGGATATTATGGAGGGGAAGCAGTCGGTGATGTTCTAGACGCTTATTATACGCCCGCACGCATGAGCAATCCCGAATATTCAAGGAACCCAGCATCCGCGAGTTCTGATGCACTTCAATATGACGGGCCATCCATGCATCGAGGTTCTCTCGGTCAACATTCAGGCCCTGCGGTTCCGGAAGAGCTGCGACCAGGACCTGAGCGTGTCTCCAATATGAGCCGTGCCAAGTCGCAACCCGACCTCAGGGAGCCGGAGACTGCCGTGTTCGAAATGGCTGGCGATGCGCCTCCTTTACCCCCAATGAACAACTCCTACGCGATGCACACTTTCGACCGTCACCCATCGCTTGGCAGTCAATCAGCGACAATGGCACCGCGACCAGGCGTACCATCCAACCCATCACAGTCTCGAGGACCCGATTCCTTGCCCTCTCATCCTACGCCAATACGACCGGGTCACATGCCCAATTCTATGGTGAATGTGCACGATCGCCCTGCCCCAGTGCGCAACTACAACGGGTCGAGCGGTGGCCCGCAGCAAGCTCAGCCTATACCACAGCAGCAGAAACCCCATACGCCCCAGTCAGCCCCTTCATCTGCACCAGCCACTGTTCCGGTGACACCCGAGGAGCTGGAACAGTTGCGCGTTCTCATCAAGAACAACCCGAATGACCAGGAATCCGCTTTGAGACTGGCGAAGAGACTTATCGAGGCTTCCGACGTCCTGGTCTCGCATTTGCCAGACCCGAAAAGCCGTGCCCGGGCCCGAGAACGGTACTTGGTGGACGCCAACAAGATACTGAAAAAGCTATCGAGTGCACAGAACGTAGAAGCGATGTTCGTCTACGCAGACTCTCTCGGCCGAGGGTTGTTCAGCCTCGAGCCCGAGAACAAAGAAGCATTCACCTTGTATCAGTCGGCGGCCAAGCTGGGCCATGCGGCTGCGGCCTACCGTACGGCAGTCTGCTGCGAGATAGGGCACGAGGAAGGGGGCGGGACCAGGAAGGACCCGCTCAAAGCGATTCAGTGGTACAAGCGGGCAGCGACTCTCGGGGATACGCCGGCAATGTACAAGATGGGCATGATCCTCCTGAAAGGTCTCCTCGGCCAACCCAAGAACCCGCGTGAAGCCATAAGCTGGTTGAAACGGGCCGCCGAGAGAGCCGACCCAGAGAACCCACACGCTCTCCACGAACTGGGTATGTTGTACGAATCAGCCTCGCCGAACGACGTGATCATCAAGGATGAGGCGTATGCCTTTCAGCTGTTCAAGCAGGCTGCGGAGCTGGGCTACAAGTTCTCGCAATTCCGTCTCGGTTGCGCGTATGAGTATGGGTCGATGGGCTGCCCCATCGACCCCAGGCTGTCCATCATGTGGTACTCAAAGGCGGCCACTCAGGAGGAGCACCAAGCCGAGCTGGCGCTCAGTGGCTGGTACTTGACGGGTGCAGAAGGCGTGCTCCAACAGAGCGACACGGAGGCGTATCTGTGGGCGCGCAAAGCAGCCATTGCCGGCCTCGCCAAGGCCGAGTATGCTATGGGCTACTTCACAGAGGTTGGCATCGGAACTTCCGTGAACTTGGAGGACGCGAAGCGGTGGTACTGGCGCGCGGCTGGCAAGTGGCCTCTTCCCCCCCCCCCCTGCGAGGCATATGGTGGCAACGTTGGTGTCGTGAAGATGGTGACTGACGGGAAAATATCAAAACCTACAGCCCAAGACTTCCCCAAGGCACGGGAGCGACTAGAAGATCTCAAGCGAACAAGCAAAACGGCGCCCCGGCAGAGGGAGCGGGTTGCGAGAACCAAACTTGGGAAACAACAGGAGGGTGAGTGTACCAACGTGTGACGGAAGCACTTCATCCCTGTGGGTTTTTTCAAGTACTAATAAACTCATGACAGTGTTCCGTTAAACAAACTGGCTGAAGGGGTTCGCCACTATTCACCTCCCCAGCCAGATGATCGGATGGGACTACTGAACTACGCTGCCGCAGTGACCGATGAAACATCCGAAACGAGATTCCACGCCACGGATGAACGTAATGTTGGACAGTGAAGCAATACGACAGCAACTTTGCCAGGTAGTTGCACGATTGTCAAAACAAGAAGAAGAAGAAAACGGGAACGGAAAAGGAAAAGAAAAACAACAGGACAGGCGGGGCATGGATGATGACACTGGTCTTCCTTGAGCCCCTGGACCATGACCTTTGATGGCTGCGGTGGAAATGATACGAACGGGGTGTTTTCCACGTTTCAGGGGCATACTGGCTCCGTCTTTGCTATTCTGCACATGAGGCGTAGTTGGTGGCTGGTCCTAACACCAGTCCTGAAGAAGATGATATATATAGGTGTGTTTTGCACCTATAATGTGAAGCTGGACATATATCTGGGAGGTACTTGGAGTCGGTGTAAGAGTCGGCATTATGAGGAGTTGGATCACATCAGATGTTATCTTGGATGTTATATGCGCGCACTCTATCTAGGTAGTTATGATGGGATTCGGACGAATGAGGGAATACTGAAGATATGACATGAAGCTCCATGGTGCTAGATCTGAGGCATTCTGATATATGTGGTTGGTTTCTGGCGGTCCATTAAAAGAGTAATTTTTTTTTAAAAAAAAAAAAAAAAAAAAAAAAAAGGACTCATGATAATAACAAAGAACTCTTCAAGGCTATTGCGGCGATGGCAACTGAACCACCTGGTCTGTTGGATTCTTCCAGTTCGTGTTTGACGAAGGTCTATTTCTGTGTCCAAATGCAGAAGGATAAGAATGTGAACTTGAATAGTGGCTGACCTCCTACACACAAGGGCAGCTAGGCCCTCTCCTTCAATCCCTTAGAAAAGACATAAGTTTTATATACAACACTGGATGGTTCTCGCATGTCCAGGCTTTTCCGTGGGAGAAACACGTCCCAGATGAGTGTCATGGACGCAACAACAAAAGCAGACTCGTCTTCTCAAACAGAAATGATGGCCCCTGCTTTTACACATGCATGTGGGTTGCAGCCATCTTTCGCCTTTCCTTCGAGCCCGGCTTCTACACCCACTATTCTGGGCATCGGGTGTCGGTCAATCAAGATTTCTAGTTCCGCGGATTTGAGTATGGCAGCGGTTGGCTGAGCGTAGCTTAGGAGGAGGTAGTCTCCTTCTTGACCTCCTGCTTCACCTCCTCCTTGATTTCCTGGACGGCACCGACGACGCCCTTCTTGGACTGCTCGTGGAGGAAGATTCGGGTGAGCTGAACGATGCCGACCATACCCATGAAGAAGTTGACGGCAGCAAGGCTGTGACGGGAAATCGCATTAGATTAGTTGTCATTCTGCGGAAGGAAACCGCCAGGACCGGCTCCAAGACGGATGTTGGGGGAGGAAGGGGGACGCGGAAACGGACAGGATGTTCCTAGGCTTGATGATGAGGCACCAACGGGTCCAGATGAGTCCAGTGGCAGTCAGCGCACCGTTCTGGGTAACGGAGAGCTTCTCGGCGGGGCGGAAGAAGTCGGAGATGCCAGCGAGGACGATGCACCACTGTGGAAAGGAGTCAGCATAGTCTTCCCTCGCGACAAGATGTTTATTCGCCCGGAAAATAAAGAACGAAAAGAAGAAGGAAGGACAGGAAGACAGAAAAAAAGAAAGAAAATCGCCGTACCTTCATGATGGGCGCCCAGAAATGCACCGTCTTCAGACCGACCGGACTGTCCCACATGCGCTTGAACCAGCTGGCCTGACCCTGGGCCTCGGCGCCTGCGGAGGAGCTCTGCCACCGCTTGGAACCGTTGCGGAAGAACTGCTGGGCGCGGAAGGGAGAGTAGGCGTTTCGGAAGGCGGTGCGAGCCGCGCCGGGACCGGTGAACATTTGCTGTTGGAAGATTGGCCGCGCGGCGCGGTAGAAGTTGGTTGTGGGAGCCATCTCGGTTTTCGGGAGCTGGAGGACGTTGGGGGAGAAAAGGGCGAAATTGGCTGGGGGGGGGGGGGGGAAGGTCACGCGAGGTCCTGTTGGCCTTGGGCTACGGACTTTGCGTCGATGTGTCGATATCTGACGTTCAATGGTGATCCCTGGATAGTGGAGAAGAAGTGACGGCTCTGGAGGTGGTTGAGGAACGGGGCGAGTGCGGAGTGTGTAGTTGCAAGTCAGCAACTTTTGATAGGGACGGGAAGGTGTGGAGGCGGAGAGGAATTGAGATTCCAGATTTGAGCGGAGATAATCGGGCCCAAGAGCGCCGTTGTCGGTGCGAAGGATCCACTTTTTGTTATCAACAGTTAGATAAACGGTTGGGATGCCAGCAGGTGGCAACTGCCCGGATCGGCTAAGAGGGTCTTTGTTTTCGTTCCCTTCAGTATGGCAATGATATCACGTGACCAATGTAGAAATACCGGTGCACGGACCATGTCCGGGACATTTGCCAATGGCCAATTGCCCATAGCCCATTGAGCATAAACTCCTCGGTCGTGATATGCGACCATAGCATCCCAACCAGCCAGCTTAAACGGTTCACCAGCCCATCCATGTCGACCAAATACGCCTTCGCCTCCGCCCTCAGGGAGGTGCGATTCCTCTTCTGCCAGACTTCAGAGCACAGCGCAGCCACTCGGTACGTCCGTTTGTCACTCCGTTGCTTTCCCGTTCTTGCGGCCTCCCTCCACCTCCTTCTTGGAGCCTTGCTCCCGAGACCCCCATCCTCTCCGGTGCAACGACGCAAAAGGATTTAGCTAACTGGGGCACCATTGGACAGGGCATTCCTGACACGGTCATACCCTGTGATGAAGAAGCACAACCCCCAGACTCCGATAATGTTGCGTGAAGCAGCCGGCACTCTTCCGAAGGTCTATGCGAGATACGGTTCGTGCGGCCCATCCTACCTCGCGCTCTGTATCTCTCGAATCTCGAACACATTTTTTTTTGCTCTACGGAGACCGATTTGCTAATAGAACCCTGGGGCATTCTAACAGACTTTGGCGTCGAGAAGGCGAAGAGCCTCGAGGGGCTGTCGGACAAGGAGATCGAGGACACCGTAACCGGTCTTGTCAAGACCGGCGCATGAGAATGGATACAGTGTATCCCCTTGGAAATAGGGAATGAGGAATATGAGAGGTTCTGTATTATACCGGCCGAATTAGAAACGAACCGACTCTATCCGCGTCCACCTGATGAGGAGGGAGATCCGGCTGTGGAACCGCGAATATATTATGGTGAGCCAAGGCGACTCATGACGGAGCAGCAGTCACGACACCGTATGATAAGAACGGAATGCGAGAAAAGCAGTTCCCAGCGCATTTCATTCTAGGTATTGCAGCAGCTTAGTCGGGTCGACTGTCTAACAGCCAACCATGTTGGAACCTCTTCTTGCTCGTAACATGGAACGTCTCAAAGCTCGGCCAAATCCTTCACATAAAGCGTTATCTCCTAGCTAGACCACCTCAGGTAGCTGTACTCACTTATCTCACTTGTGCTAACGCTTCCGATCCCCTAGCTACGAGTTACCGGATAAGCCTTGGCTCCGGGTTTGTTTTCCGTTCTCTCACTCTCTTTCTCTCTTCTGAAAATGAAAACTCCAGCTTACCATTAGCCATCCTCCCACCACCATCACCCTTCTTTGTGTTTCCTTCGCCCACAACTCGAATATCATTTTACTGGCTGCCATCTTCGCCCTCCTTGCCATGATTCTTCTTCTTCGATCCCGACTTGACAGGAGAACCGGCCCGAGAAGCAGACTCGACAACCCCACTCGTCTTTTTCGTAGGACTCGTATGAGCAGAAGAAGTCACCTGCCCCGCGGTACCGTCTGCGGATTTCTTAGTGGAGGAGCGTCTGCTCATGGTCTGCACCCGCTCCGATCCTGCCCACGCCGTGCCAACTTCCGACAGTGGAGATCCGCGCCCTCCCTGGCTGCCTGCGGGGAAGGGAACTCGTCTTCGCTGTTGTTACGGCTGGCACCTGCGCCGTTCTTCTCGGGACTTCCCCCCGCCGTGCTGGCTGGAGGCTCAGTGAGGCTGGTGTCGCCCTGAGTGGTGACGTCGTCCTGCCGAGAAGCACCTGTCTGAGCCGAGGTCGCTACGGTCGACGAGGGAATGGCGTGCGTTGGAGTTGGCCAAACCGCAGGAAGCGGCTTCTTATCCAACGGAGGGGATTCGTCTTTTTTGATGGGCGAAGAACTAGGTGTAATCGTCTGAGACGAAGCCGATGACTCAGTACTTTCTGAAGATCGAGATTGGGCTTGCCCTCTGCCGAACAGATTGTAGGGTATAGCCACAGAAACGTTCCGCGATCGGGGATTCATGCTCACAGCCCTTTTGGAGGAGGAGACGGGCTCAGCTGCGACATGTTCACTGGCTTCTCCCGTCTTGTTGGGCGAGGCGACACCAGCGGCATTTCCGGTACCAGCAGTGGCCGATCTGGACGGTAAATCCTGAGAGTCGCAGCTGGTCTGCCGTGACTTGGAAGTGTACCAGGTCTCCGTGGTGCTCTCGCACTCCGAAGGTGTCGAGCGCCGTGGGGGGCCACTAGTCTCGAGCGGGCGCTCGTGGGTTTCGGAGTTGTCGCTTTCTCGCTGCCCAGGAGCTGCCGGGGCAGATGACGGGTTTGTGACACCAGCAGCCGCTGCCGCATTCTTCAGATTATTGACGGAAGCTCTATGCAGCAAGCTCGTCTCCTTCTTGCCCTTTGGGAATCGGTTGTTCTTCCGCTGACCAAGGTGGGAAGTGGGAGAGACGGGCTCGTTATCGTTTACAGACCGGTTAACCTCCTTCCGGGTTCGAGGATTGTCAACGGTTGCCGTAGCAGCAATGTCAGGCTGCTTTCCGGAAGCTGAACACGTCTGGTCCTCGGCAGGCTTGCCTGCATCTGCCTCAGCAGCATCTCGCGGTGGGTGGCTCTTGACCGCATCAAAAGGCTCGCCAGCACGCTTCTCCGAGTTGTCAGCCTGGTTTATTCTCTGCTGGCCATTCTTCTTGTTCTTCCTGTGTTTGGACCTCTTGGATCTTCCCCCAGAAGCCTCGGAACAGAACGAAGTGGTCTGACTAATGTTGTCGTCATTCTCATTTACCTCCTTGCTCGCAGGCGCATGAGCGACCTCTTTCATAGTGTCTTGTTCTACCATGGAAGCCTGGGTATTTTCCAAGGACTCTGCCGAGGCGCTGGCATCATCATTGCCGACATTGTTTCGCGTTTCAACACGCTCCGGAGTGACAGGGGCGTGTGTAGCCTCCTCGGTGTCTTCCCTGGAGCTGGTGGGCAGCTTGACCTTAACAGAACTGTTACCCTTGATGGCCGAGCTGCCAATGCTAGCCTCCTTGTCGGAGACGGCTTCTTCAGAAGGCCGCTTGGATCGCTAATCCTCGCCGTTGGTCTTCTCAGAAGCCGGAGTCTTGACAGGCTGTACCGAGCTGTCGTTGGATCTCTGGCCTGAGTTGGGAACGGTAGCAGGAAGCTGAACCGCAGGGTGACGGGCCCCTACTTGGTGATAGAACGGCTGAACGCCACCAATGGTCGGAATGAACTGCCCCGAAGGAGTTTGGGCAGCAGCCAATGGATGATGGTAGATCGGATGATACTGGCCCTGCATGATCCAGGGAGCTGGCGAAGTGACATGGGGGGTAGGGATCATTGGCTGCAGAGGAGGTTGTCCAGACTGCTCGTGAAGTGCAGGCCGTGGAGGAGTGATGGGATAACCGGATTGGCCTGGCTGGCCTGGCTGAAGGAACCCAGAGGAGACAGCCAGTTGTTTTACCATGGGTACACCGTTGTTCCCTGGGCGAGATCCAATGGTGCTCGAGCCGACGCGAGATCCCGATTCCAGAGGAGCAACTGCAGAGTTGGAGGACCGGCGGGGCAGCAGACGCTCAGGCGGGCTCTGACTCTGACATCGAGAGTTCTGTCGGTACGACTGAGGGTTCTTCTGCATCGGCATGGTATAATCGCGATGCGAGTGCTCGGGTCGGTCCTCCTCACGGCTCCTTGGAAACCCCTGGACAGAATGCCCTCTTCGGCGAGCCCATTCTTGGCCGTAGGCGGTATTATGCGCTACGCAGGTGGAAACCCGGCACTGGAGCTCATCGCAGTAGATATCTTCCGATTCTGCAGCCTCTAGCACCCGCGATGCATCCATGTACCTGGGAATAGGCATCGTGATCAGCAGTCGCCCCTCGCCAATTTCACCGGGCACGTCATTCGGAGCAAGGACGGTTACTTACTTCACCACAAGCATCCGCCGACCAGGATTGTCGTTCACCTGGCCGATAGTATCAATTGGACCCCAGCGGGACATGACATCTCTCAGAACACGATCAACCTTGAACTGATCCGTCCCATGCGGCAGGTCATGGAGCACAACAAACACCGAACGGTTGCGCCCCTCACAATGAGCGCAATCGCATGGATCGTATCCCCACCTGCTCCCGGGGTTTTTGGAAATGTGACGATATCTGTTTTGACAGGTGGTGTTGGGGTGAGAAGGCTCTTTGGACGAGGCAGGATGGCGACCACCCGTCTTCTGAATATTATTCTTCTTATGAGGGCTGCGTCTGTAGATCGGCCCGTGGAGTCCACTGGTATGGTATTCCCAGCCACGCGAGGCTGTACATAACATTTCTTCAGCTTTGAATGTCTTTGAAAACACGGCGGGATATGACTATGAAGGAAGTTTGAACATACCTGAATTCTGGGGAGACGTCGCAGATTCCGTGGGCTTCTTGCCTGCTGCGGCGTCTGCGTGAGATCCCTGAGTCTTGTCACGAGCACTACCGCTGCAGGCCCGTTGACGGGGGACTATAAGGGGCGAGATCTGCTTGGAGTCCTTGTGTCCTGCTCCGCCAGACCAGCTGGAGTTGCTGGACTCGGATTGGTTGTCACGCTGGTTGGCAAAAGGGTGCGGAGGATGGCCAGATGCATTGGCAGGAGCCTTTCTGGGGTTTCGATGGGTCACCACCTCTGTCTTTTGGGTAAGGCCAATAGACGCGGCTTGAGGAGCGCCACTCGGGACGACAGCCGACGTCGCAGGACCAGAAACGCCCACCTTGGCCGAACTGGCGGACTTTTGACCATTAGGGGGCATGGAGTGGGATGGACTCGACTGAGCTGTGTATGCGCTCTGCGGGAAGCCAGTGCCGGTGCCTGTGGACGTGAAAGGGGTAGCCTGGGGCTGGAGGGGCTTCGACTTGGATTTGGAGTAGAGCTGACCAATAAAGCCATCGGTGCCATTGGCTGTAGCAGATGGGTAGCTGGAAGCGATGACAGGGACACTCTGGGTGCCCATGGGATGTGCATTCGACTGTGGGACGTTGACGACAGAGGAGTTGCTGTTGGAAGGCGTACGAACCTGATGTTCGGCATTGACCAAAGAAGACTGAGCGGTCTTTTCATTCTTAGCCGAGCCAGTTGTACCGGTGGACGAGGCTCGGGAAGAGCCATTGACGACAAGTGGGCGAGGAGAAGATGGGGAGAAAAGCCCGTTTTTGTTGTCACCAACAGGTTGTCCGGCTATATTTCATCGAAGGTTAGCTGGCAGCACCGGAAAATTGGCCACGAAGTGAGGGGGGAAGAAAAGAAAGAAAAAATTGATTTTACTTACCGAGCCAGTTGTGAACGGAGTAACTACACCAGGCAACCTCAAGACCGTTGGCAGGGAACGGCCTGGCGAGAGCGCGTTCATAGCCCAGCAGCTGCTCCTGCCGGTGGATCAAGGCACCGCGAACAATGAACATGTCGACTTCGCGGAGCTCGCTAATTTCCTTCTGCTCCTCATCCGAGAGGACGGAGAGGATGTCAGTGTGCTGAGCATTGCAGGCCAGCAGTTTCTCCTTGTTTCCCTCCTTCTCAAGCCACTCGTCGGTCCAGACGCCAACCTCGTAGCACATGGAGGCGAAAACGTCACGCATGATGCTCCGGTTCTCGTGGCACAAAAGGTGCACCAAGTTCCAGAGGTTGAGGGCTCCATGGGAGAAGATGTCCTGAGCATCAAAGTAGGTGTAAAGGTCGTCCCAGCACGTGGGTGTCTGCATGTCGCGCATGTCAGCCCAGAACTTCTTACGAATCGAGTTCGCGGTGTTCTGGAGCTTCTCGGAATCCCAGAGTCTCAGGTTGCGAGACTCGGGGAAGTCGTTCAGCTGCTTCACCTGACGCGGCTGGTGCTTGTCGTTGTCAGTGCTGAAGATGGCCTTCACGGTAGCGGGGTCACGCTGATAGAAGCTGGGGGGCACATAGTTCTCCGTGTAGTACTGAGGACGGAGGCCAGAGTGGTCATGGACCATAGAATAGTTGTGAGGAATCCCCGTGGGGTAATTGTAGCTCCAATCAGGGACATAGAGCTTGTTCTCGAGCGCTGCCGGCTCGTAGCGGAGGTTGGAGCCGGGATAGCGGCTCTGCATCGGGATAGAAGCCATCGTGACAACCTAGTAGGATCGTGTTAGATTGAGGCGATGGATAGCGGGCCATAGAAGGGACAGGGGTAAAGGCAAAGGTAGGAGAGTAGAAATCAAAGTGAAGATAGATGAATAAACGGGCCAGGGTGTATGCCTCACCTGAGAGGCGCTGACGGTAGAAGAAAGCCAGTCTTTTGCAGAGGGAGTTTAGAAAAGCCCGGGACTGTGCCTTGGTGCCTGTCGTTGAGCTGCTCAACAGCGCGAGACAGAGAGACAATACGCCTGTAGACAGGAGATAGCAGTAATAGAGAGCCTCTCAAGAAGTGCAAAAGACGTGACGTGATATTTGGTGACAATCAACTTCAAGAGAAAGATACCAGAAAGATACCAAGTTGAGAGGGGGTATGGCGAGTAAAACGCAAGTGTTGATGAGTTTGCCTAGGGCACAAATAGGGGTTTGTGTGTTTAGGGTTGTAGAAGAGAGAGAGGTAAAAATGGGTGAGAGTTGAGTCTGGAAAGACACGAGGAGGGGAATTTATGAAGGTCGCAAGGGCAAAAGGGGCAGGCAGAATTTATTCTTCGTTAAGGGTAAGAGCCGGAAGTGATTAGAAGTGCCGGGTGAGTAGGAGATGACTAGGAAGTGCCGGAAAGGTGAACCAGTCTATGAGCGTTGCCGTGGTTCGGTGAAGGCAACAACCTTATAGGATACCGGCGGCCCGTATCCACAGTAGCACTCTGAATTGATGTTGAACAACCGCCGATTCCGATTCCGTTCTTCCGCTTTGTGCTTCTTACCCTTGGGAGAGCTCCTGGTGTCCTGGTGGGCTAAAGCCGGTATAAATAGCAGCCCGTATGTTCGTGTCATAGCAGTTTGTTGTTTTCATGATAGAAGTTGACTATGAAACTCGAACCTTGTGGTTTCATCTCGTTACTGTCCATCCATCCCGCAACTGCACATAACAATGCTCGTCTCGTCTCATCTCGGGCATATGTCTGTCTGTTGTGGAATCGCTAGGACCAGGAGGAAGTCATGCGATAATACGAGTTGAATCTATGGGCACCTGGACTGGGATTCTGAGAGCATAGATCTATGTCTCCCGAACATGGCTAAGCCGTTTTATCCTTTGTTGTTGTGGTTAGCCCATTCAAAGACTGTCTTTCTTATGGAATCCTCTGAAGGAACCCGACTCTTTTGAAACAGAGCTGGACTTGCCTCTACATCGTCGCATCTTTAGTTGGTGATCGAATGTATCTCTTGTTCGAATGTCTACGGAATTGATTCGACTGATTCCCATGGGATGGAATGTTGTCATATCTCTTGGATTACGGGGTAGGTCACATGTCTCTCGAGATGGCATGTATATTGCCAGGGCGGCAAAGCGACATGTACTTTTGCCTGCTCTGCTACGTGGAGGCGTCGAGACAGTCCTGGCATTTCTTTGTTCGGAGTAGCTGGAGTTTTCGAAATTGACAAAAGCCGATGCGAAGTACAATGGGGAAGCTTTTGTATGTATTTGGAGAAATCAGGAGGCGTATCGAGAAGCGACTTGTACATATTGTTACAAAAGCGTACAGAGAATACGCTCCTTGTCTTTATTTGCTGCTGTTCAAGGCATTGAGCATCTTGAGGATCTCAGACTCGTTCTCAGAGGTAGTCGCCTTTCCGTTATTCCAGTCCACAACCTGCGAATTGGTTAGCCCACACCTACTAAGACAAGAAAAGCGGAAGGGAAAGAAAGAGAAAGAGGAGAATATAGAGGAGAACATACTAGTGGCCTCTGTAAGCTGTTCTTGTCCATGTCGAATTTCTTCAGCGCCTCCTTCTCGTTCGATGCACCGGCGATGATGCTCGACACCTTGCTAGGACCGACGTATTCGAGGATGGTCTTGACCTGGTCGGCGGTGGGAGGCTCCTCGGTAATGTTGAGCTCAAACTCGGCGCGCTTAGGCGAGGTCTGGTGACTGTGGTCGCTCGCCTGGTCCAGGGTCGCCGGGTTAGACGCGTTGGCAGAGACCTGCTTGAGGAGAGTCGCGACCCTCTGCGAAGCTGGGGACCCGACTTTGTGGAAGAGGGTGATGATGTCGAGGGTTTTGTGCTAATGAGACGTTAGGATATACCCGATAGACAGGCGATGGGCGCTATGGAAAGGGACGAGGTGGGACTCACGAATCGGAACATGGTGGGCGGTGTGTAGGTAGAGAGTGAGTGGGAGGGGTGGGTGAGCTATAGCTTCTTTGTGAAGACTTGACGTCGATTTTAGAATCTCCTGGTGACGTGACGTTAAAGGTGGAGCTCGAGAGCCCCATGATTAGTAAGCCAGACATCCCGTTTTCCAGTAGTACCGTAAGGTACCTTACCGTAACGTTTTCTGGTATTCCGTATCTGTCACCAAATAAACAGCCCCTTTATCGAGATGGCAAGCTTAAGAATGATAACTATAAACTGCCCGGGAATACTGCGCATCTCATAAAATGCCTTCCGAATTCCTGTCCTTGGCCGTCATATATCCCAGAATCGCCAATCCCAATTCCAACTCTCAAGCCCCCCATACGCCCGCCCAGTCCTTTTCACTGCACAACACATGTTGCTCGAAGTGCGTCAAGACGGCCAAGCTTTGCTTGAGTCTCTGTGTGCCGATTGTCTGCCGTGGTTGTATCCTCACTGTGTGGGCGGTGACATGGTGACTATGGTCACTGTGGTGACTGTGGTGCTTGCCGACTTTTGGCCCGAGGCTTCTCGTCTGGCGGACAGTGCTATGCGTGGAATTCAGAAGCTTATCGGTCCAGGGGCCCAGGGCCTAGGCAGAGGAAACAAGGAGGAAGAAGAACAAGCGGCCGAACTGAGTCCTGCTCGGATTATATACCATCTCAGAGTCAAGGTCTTTGGCAAGAAAGAAGAACCTTACAAGTTTTGCTTCCAAGTCAAGCAGCTGTTGTACTATTCTGGGTTCCAGGTAGTTAGTTGACTTATATCGTGATAAGTCCTTATTATTTCTCTTGTTCGCCCACCCATCTCATCGGGTAGATCCTGCCATACCCATATAACAGTACAGAATGGTGTCTACAGAAATGGCAGAATATTATATGGACCAACTATGACCTAGCAGTGTTCTGTACTCCGTACTCCAAGCTTCAATCCGTGCATGATAGTTAGGTAAACAAGGGTCGGTAAATGGTAGGGGGCTTAAAGGGCAGGAGGGGACAAAAGGGGGCAAAAGGGGGCAAAAGGGGTGAAACTAGGCCTGAAGCACTGAAACGCCTATGCACCATGTTGGCCACTTGCCGGTTTCAATGACGCCCGAGCTGATCTTGTATCGTTCTGGATGCAAGCTTAGTAGGAAGAATCAAAAACCGAGAAGAACCCGTCAAGGTTCCTCAACTAGTCGCGCTTCTTTAGCCAGGCTATAAAACAGACCTTGCCGCCGAAGAAGTTCTGCAGGCGGGCCAAACTCCACCACACGGCCCCTCTCCAGCGAGAGGATGCGGTCGTAGTCGAGCACCGTATCGATGCGGTGCGCGATGGTAATCACGGTACGATTGTTGAATAGCGGGCTCTTGAGCTTCGCCTGCACGCGTTCATCCGTCGCCGCGTCCATGGACGCCGTGGCCTCGTCGAGCACAACCACATTAGATGGGTTGAGCATGACACGTGCCAGTGACACGAGCTGGCGCTGGCCCTGAGAGAGATTGGAACCTATTTTGGTGACGAAATGTCAGTCGCGTGAACTCAGGGGGGTGAGAGGGCGGGCAGCTCAAAGACGACGTGTGTGCCGACGGAGTAACCCCGTCAGATTTACGGCGCCTACCTCCTTCATAGATCTTGGTATCTAGGCCACCTCCCCTTTGGAGAACAAAAGGTGCCAGGCCTGCCTCGTCTGTAGTTTGGCGAGAGAAGTCAGTCACAGGTCATAAAGGAAAACAAGAAGAAGAAAAGAAAACGAAAAATGAAAAAAGAGAAGAAAGTTCCCGCTCACAAATCGAGTTCCAGAGATCGCTGTCCAGATGCTCATTCCCCGGGTCAAGGTTCTGACGCAGCGTCCCCTCGAAAAGCGCCCCATCCTGCGGTATAATGGCAAGCCTGCTCCGGAGATCAGACAAGCCCATAGCCGAGATATCCGCGCCATCGATGTGCGCTGAACCCGCTACCGGCTCGATGATCCGAAACAGTGCGAGCCCAAGCGACGACTTTCCCGCTCCCGTACGTCCGACAACACCGATCTTCTCACCGGGCCGGATATCGACCGAGACGTCGTCGAGAACCAGACCTAGGTCGCTGCGATAGCGCGCACTATAGTGGTCAAGTGTCACCGCCCCTTCGGTCGGCCATCCCATCCCAGGGCGGCAGTCCTCCACGACTTCGGCGGCCTCGGACGGGAGGTGCGTGTATTCCAGCACGCGCTCTAGGGAGACGATGTTGAGCTGCGCCTCAACCGACTGCCGGACCACGGCGTTCAGTGAGGTGGTGATTTGCAAGCAGTAGCTCATTGCGAGACCCACGAGGCCGGGGCTGAGCGGCAATCCGCGGGCGATGGTCAGAACAGAGAACCCGGCCGATGAAAGCAGCACTAATGCGCCGAGCATCTCAAGCCGAATTCCGAGCCAGTGATTCACGCATGCCGAGGGAAATAGGGCACGGAGGTGCGCGTCTACTCGGGCCTCGTTCACACGCCCGAACCGCGCTTGCTGGCGATATGCTCGGATGGTTGATATGCCGTGCAGTGATTCCTGAAAATGCGCGTAGACTGGACTCCGAGTGGCACTTTCATGTCGTCGTAGCTCACGCGACGTTCTGATATAGTACCTTTGAACCCATAGATAGACGACGACAAGGGGTATGATGAGCAAGGTAAAAGCCGGCGTAGAAACGGAGACAATGCCCAGGGTGAAGAAGGTCCGTAGAATGTTGGTCAAGACCATGTTGATCTATTTCTCGCCCCGTGATCAGTAGCTGCGCATTAATCACCTCTCCCTCTGATTCGTCTCAACTTACGCTACGGCCCAAGGCTTCGTCGACTCGGCTCATGTCACTGAATATGCACACGTGATTAGCTTAACCACTCTATAAGAGCCCCGAGAGATCCCAGGCAACGTGGTCATACAATGAGGTTGGGCTGTCATAAATGAATGGATGGACTCTTACCCCAGAAAACGATTTGTTATACGCCCTGCCGGGGTAGCATCGAAGAAGGACATAGGCGAAGCAAACACAGCCTCGGCCAGTCTCTCGTGGATTTTCCGAGATGCCTATAGATCAGGGTTAGCATGCTAGTCCCTCTCGCCGGTATGAACTTGATCTACGCCGTCCTTACCCTGGTGGCGCACGCAATCCAAAAGATCAACGACTGGGCAAACGATATGAAAGAGGACCCAAGTCCAAGGGCCATGTAAACGCCGATGTAAACCGTGCTGTTCGCTCTATTATTCTCAAGAGCGTTTGTCTCGGCCCACCTCTTCAGCCAAAGCGTGCTCCCTATTATGGAATGTCTCGTCAGTTTCGAGGGAAAGGAAGAAGGAGGAGGAGGAGAAGAAGAAGAAGAAGAAGAAGGACCGGCAAACTCCATGTCCCCGCCCTTTGCCTTCACCTCAATTATCCCCAACATAACTGGTATAATTTCCTTACCCATTTGGATGGCCTGTGCTGCTATGAGGCTCACAGAGTACAGCACGACCGCGTCAAATCCAACAGCCTTCGCGTAATGGGCATAAACTGTATGCTTGCGGTCAGTGTTTTTGCGTCCTTGACGGATGCCGCGACGATATAAGTACGGGCATCGAATTCAGCGGGGTCTGCCGGGGACAACTTACCCTCCCATTTTACCTCTCTCGAGGACAGCGATTTCAACTCTCCGTGTATTGGCGTGTGGCTCTCTTCGTCCCTTTGCCTGTCGGAGTGGTTTGTCGACTGCGCGGCTTCTCCTTCGCCTTCTATTAGAGTTCCCACCGTGGTCTCGCTCCATCTCTTCCTGCTCTCCTCGACAGCTGGACCGACGTCCACCGGCAACGAGATTCCACGAACCTCCTCAGCAGCCTCTACAGCTCCGTTCCCGCTATCTTTCGCGAGGAGCCTCCCGATCCGACTCTCTGGATCAAACGAGGCCGTCTTCGGCGAGGAAGCTTCCACGATGGCGCCCTGTTGAAGTAGGTAGATGTAGTCGGCACATGTAAGAACCGCAGTCGTATTAGTTGCCAGGATCCGGGTCTTTGTGCGAAGCAGTCCCTGGGGGCCCAAAACGTGGTAGATCAGGTGCCGACCAACGTGCGCATCAACGGCAGAAAGACAGTCATCCAGCAAATAAACGTCAGCCCGGGCGTAGACAGCTCGCGCAAGAGCAACCCTGGCCTTCTGTCCCCCAGAGATACCCAGGCCGCGCTCACCGATGACGGTGGCATCGCCCTGCGGGAGTTGGGCCAGGTCTTCTAGCAGGGCACAGGCAGCGATGGTCTGCTGGTAAAAGTCCTTGTCGAAGGGTTGGCCAAACAGGATGTTATCACGAACCGTGCCGTGTAGGAGCCAGGGCTGCTGTGATGCGTAGGCGACCGAGCCGCGAACGACGACGCTGCCACGGGTCTTGTGCATCTCGCCCAGGATCGCATGGAGTAAAGACGACTTGCCCGCCCCAACTTCTCCCACCATGGCACACAGCTGCCCATTCCGGACTGTCAGGTTGATGTCGTCCAAAGTATTCCCCAGGTCGTCGTCGAACTGCCACGAAAATTCACCCTGTCGCACAAGCACAGTTTCGTCTCCAGGGAGATCAGTGGCCTCTTCAAACACGGTGGCGTCCTGCTGGACCTCGCCCTCGCTCAGGAAAGCGCCTATCCTGCGCGAAGCGACTCCTGCCTGTGCGACAAGGGTCATGGACATAGGCAGGTAGGCCAGCGGAACGCCGAGCAGCTGGAATAGGGCGAGAACAGGAAACACGATTTCGGCCGTGAGACGTTTCTTATCAATAAGGGCGTACCAAGCAAATGTCCCGCAGGACATGAAGAAAGGGGCGGCCACCATGCTGAGTGTAGCGGCGGAGTGTACGGTGCCCATTTTGAGGAGAGTGCGGAGCTCGTGGTCACGCCTCAGGGAGCCGAGCCTTTTCAGCATAGCGGACGTCCAGGCATGAAGTTTGATGGCCTTGATGTTATTCACCATCTCAGAGACGATCCGGCTTCTCGAGTCTCTGGCGCGCATAACCTGCTCCTGGATATTCAGCATGGCGCTGGTTATCCACCCGTTGAGAGGGAGCATAAGCAGCGTGACGATCGCCGCCGCTAACAGCGCCCACCCAACCAGACGGTACAGTGCCAGGGCACATAGAACTATCTGTAGAGGTGCGGACCACAGCTGATGGGCCATCGGTATGAGGTCCTGGATGTACTGCGTGTCTACTGCCATGTGGTTCACAATATCGCCGGTGGGCCGGCACGACCTACTTTCGTGAGAAAGCCGCAGAGATTTGTTGTATATCGCAGCCATCAAACCACCCTTGGCTCGGATGCTGGTATTCGCCACCATCTGTAGATATTGGTGCTGAAAGGGCCGTCAGTCATGCATACCTGTGAATATGTTCGACAATGGGAGGCTAGAAAGTCGAACCACCAACGGGCTAAGGCTTCGAGATGAGGAAGGGACTCACTGTGAGAACGGTCTGAAGAACGGCAAGGCCAAATATTGACAAGACAATCCTGGCTCCGGTGGCGATCACATCTCCCCGTGGCCGCTCGTCATGCGAAGCTATGAAGGCAAGCAAGCTACTCAGCAGCAGAGGCTGCCCAAAAATACAAAGGTCGCCGAGGAGCTTGATCAAGCCTGCCACCGCATACTGCAGACCGAGCGCCCTGATGAGGGCGAATATTACGGCCGAAGCCGGACGGCCGTACGAGCGACGGGTCCGCCAGCACTCCTCAAAGGACGAGCCAGTGAAGGGGGCCGCCAATGTTCGTGGCAAGTCCCACAGGTGATAGTCCTCCAGCGGCATCTTATAGCCCAGCCTCATCAAGGGGGTAACCCAGGAGAAAGCCAACACGGAAAAAAGATTCGACGAGTCGAGCAAGCACTCATTATTGATGAATCCTCCTTTCTGGGACCTGGTACTGTTCCTCCAGCTTGACTCGAGCAGAAGCTGGGCCATCGCCAGGCCGCAAGCGATGCAAACAGCTCCATAGTAGGTCGAGTTGGTCAAGTAAACTTGCCGAAGGTGCAGAGAATGGAGTTTCGCCACGAGGCCTATGGGAAGAACGAGCCAGTAGAGCAGAGCTACCGTGCTGGCACAGCGCAGTCGCGAATGCTCGAGCCGGTTGAGATAAAAGACGACACTCAACGACACAATTGTCACTAGGGATGCACCAATCTCGGCCCAGGCAGTTGCAGAGTCATCGGCGCGCCGGGAACCACTTGTCAGCTGTATTCCAAGCTGGACTGCGGTTGTTGCCGAGAGCAGGAGAAGCAAGGCCTTCGAGTCGCTGATCAGCGTCCAAATCGTTCGAGGTCCCTCGACTATGAGAACCACCCCCTGTTAACTTACCTCCTTGGCGTGGAGCTGCCAGCAGTTTCGCAGTGGTATGAGCGGCTTGTCGGTCAACGTCCAGACGGCAAACAGGCCTGCCACAGTACCGTAGATCGAAGCTGCAGCCAGCCAGCCGTCGGCGGAGATGTGAGAAACCAGGCTCAGCAAGAGTTCGAGATTTGCTTCCGTCTTCTGCGCATAAATTGACGGCAGCCATAGGTGTCCAGCTGCGGGATGGACAGAAGCGAGACCCATACCGCCTCTACCACCTACATGGGCGGCCTGGACCTGTAACGATGAGGGCCCATCCATCAGCGCAGATGGTAAGCGCTGTAGAGCTGTCAGGGGCGAAACGGCAAGGGGCGTCGGAACCAAGATGATGCGTCGGTGTGGCGTATTCAGTTGAACTGGGGATTCCACGGCGATAACCCAGCCACACAGGTCTGAGCGAGAACACTTTGGGGGCGAGAGGCAATGATGAAAATGTTACGAGGTGCACGGAGCCATACGGACAGCTCGCCAACCATCAGGGGCATGGTGCCGAATTAAGGGCAGTACACTTACTTCGTAAGAGCGAACTGTTCGAAAATATTTTTCTAGTAATTGTAGTTGGGCCTCATTGAGTCGGGCATGTTCATCTTACTCTCCAGGACAACGACAGAAAGACGGTAATTACCATTCGTACGAGAAGCCAATGATGGATCACGTACAGGGCCGGTCCCAGTCTGCCTCGTCTGTCTGAGACATGCATTTGTGTCTTGATGCTTTGTCGGCTGGAGTTCCCGTTCAGCTGCTCCACTTCCACCTTGGCCGAGTCGATCAGGGACGAAAGTTGAGTGTCCGAGGGAGATCGACAGGTTTGATGATGCCGTATATACGTCGATAGGTTTCAGAATTTAATTTGAACGAAATTTACGGGAAGACATGTGCATGCGATGCTGAGGAGCGGTCGTATGCGCTTTGCACTGTGTAGGTAGGTTAGGTCCTTGGAAACCACGTCGAGTATCCTCGAGGCCAAGGGGAGGGGAGAGTGTCCGAGGGACCTCATATATCTTGCTCAGTCGACGTCGGATGCTGCGGTCATAGGTGTTGTGGTGGTATCGGCCTACACAACAGAAACTTCCTGATTAGAGTAATTGAAACCGGACCATATCACCATCTCCCGTTCTTCTCGTCTTTCTTTACCATATCCTCCTAAGCCATTATGCAACGGTTCCAGGCAGAGACGCTATTCCAGCCATCCAACTTGGTGGCTGCCATCCAAGAGGCCAATCAAGTCGACTCGGATGGGAACCGGAAGCCTCTTTTCGGGTCGATCATGGCCTTTCCGCACCAGAAGGTCGCCCGCACCGTCGCGGTTCTCGGCTTGGATTTTGTTATGATCGATGCCCTACATACGTGAGGCCCTCTCGAGGGGGGGCGGGGGGTTGAGTTGTACGGTCGTCGATGGACTGGAGAGCTGACATGCGAATGCCATGACAGTGCTATCGATGCAGAGAACTTATACGCCCTAATACAAACCATCAATTTCGTCAGCCAGGGACGCACCTGTGCTGTCGTGAGGGTGCCCAGCGCAGAGTCCCACCTCTTGGCATACGCATTGGACGCAGGTGAGATAGCATCAGAAAAAGATATATACAAACGGCATCAGTCGGCTTGTCGAAGACTAGTGTCAGCTAACACAGAATCATTTATTTCTAGGGGCATCGGGCATCATCTTCCCCCATGTCGACACAGCAGCGGAGGCAGCGGCCGCTGTGAAAAAGGTGCGCTATGAGTATTCGGGTGGTGAACGGTCGCTGTCTCCGTGTGCTCTTCTGAACGGCATCACGGATATGGCACCACCTGGGTGGTCAGCTGAGAGGATCGCAGACCGGAACATTGCCGTAATCTGCCAGATTGAAAGCGCGGTAAGTCGAGAAAGAAGAAAGAAAGAAAGAAAGAAGAAAAGAAAGAAGAAAAGAAAGAAGAAAAGAAAGAAGGAAAGAAAGAAGAAAAGAAAGAAGGAAAGAAAGAAGGAAAAAACTCTCCCCAAACTTCTCACGACCTACCACATCACATTTGTCTCCAATCTGAAAATCATCGAGTGCTGACACGCGAGGACGCTCCCAACTCTCGATGATAGGTCGCTGTAGAAAACGTGGACGAAATCGCTAGAATCCCAGGCGTGCACTCTCTGATGCTTGGTGCCGGAGACCTACGGGTATCTCTGGGGCTCCCGTCTCGAACACCGCCAGGCACGCCCGAAGACCCGCGTTTCTTCGCCGCAGTAGAGAAGCTCATCGCGGCCGCGAACGCCCACGACAAGGCCCTCATGACCGTTGCCTTCAAGACAAACGCCAACGATGCGGGCTGGCTCCGCAACTTCAGCCTCGTCTTGACCAGCGCCGACATTGTGAGCGTGGTTAAAGGACACAAGGAGGATTTGGCCCGCACGAGGGAGCTGCTCAAGAACGCCCGATCTGACAAGAAGGTAGTCGTCAAGACACGGGCGAACGGCCATGCGAATGGGATGGTGAATGGCCACTCCAAAGAAAAATTGAATGGAAGTCATGCCGAAGACGAGAAACCGAACGGTCAAGTCAACGGAGACCTGTAACGGTCGTTCCAGAGGAGATGCGAATGGACACGGTAACAGTCCCCTTTACAGCGTCTCGGAGTCTCAGCGAGACTGCGCTGTTTCTGGCGCAGAGCACCTGCGCCAGGGCATTACAGCTTGAGTTGTTTTTGATGCGGAAATGAGAGAAAACCTTGACGCTCATTGTCAGTGGCATGTCCATAATGTCGAATTACTTTGTGTCTTGGGTCAGTGTATTCGTAATTAATAAGGTACCCGTGCACTTCCAATTATTAGGTACCTGAGGCCAAGTGCCTTCGCCAAGAAATGAGCAGTCCTTATGTAATGATATGGTCGTGTGATATATCACGGGACCCAACCGACAACTCCCTTCTCCCACCCTGGATAAGGCAAGCGACAAAGCAGTCTTATTACGGTGTACATGAATACCGAAGTATTACTCCCTGTTGAGAATGCAATGGATTGGGTCATTCAAATGCATTCCTAGCAGCCACCTCACTACTTCGTAATACCGAAAATGCTTCCTTCCTCCCTACAATGGTCATCGTCATTTCGCCTCTCAACTCAGTGCCTCTCTTTCTCTTATTTCGAGTCTCCGAAAACTAGCGACAAGGGATCTAATTCTTCGGCTCTTCTACTTCTCCTCCCATGCCATCCGTCGTGCCGTCCGTGGCGAGCATGTGGTCCCGTCGTCGTGTCATCGTTAAATGTCACAACGCGGTCTCTCGACCGTTACCTCACCACTGCCGCCGTCACCACCCACACGAGTCGGATCTGAAAATAGGCAGGGGTTTAAGTACAGTCCGACCTCTGTCCCATCTTCCCTCGGTACCAGTCCGATTCTGCACCGATAAAGGGAGACAGTTTCTTAGCAAGTGCTCTAAAGCTCTTAGGGGAGTTAAGCTTCTCCCGTCACTTACTCTGCAATCCGTCCGGTAGGCTTGCCATCGGCAGGGAATTGACTGGGGATAGGAAGAATCGTGCAGTTAGCCTCGGGGTACCTGAAATATCTGTCGCGTTTCCATGATTCCGCGCCCGGTTGAATTATTTTGATACCTGAATAGGGTAACGTGGCATCACTCACCTTCTCAGACTCGAGCCCGTCAGCATGGGACAGCTTCGCATCAGCTTCTCCACAAGCACCGAATCGGCATCAGCCACCTCACCGCACATGACGTACAGCTTGGCCCCGATGACGGCCTGGCCAGAAGACTTGCTAATGCCCACCTCGTGCAGTAGCAAGCAGTAGCGCGGCCTTCGTCTCTGCTTCTCACAGCGCCCGCCTGTTGCCGGTTCTGCGATCGAGTCCCACACGCGGGCCGCCGTATCGACAAAGTGGCTCGGAATGTCGACCCGCCCGCCTAGACTCAAATGCGGCAGAATGGCGTCAGCGAAGCGGACCGAGTCCGCAAACATGCACCGAGTGTACACCTTAACCCGTGACGAGGGGAACTGAGTGGCGTCCATGGACAGCATTCTGATTTGCAGCGTCTCGCTATGAGAGGAAACGTAATCGCGCAAAGTCGACCAGAGATCCCAGAACCCGGTATGCTCGAACAACGGGCTGAAAGGTTTGGCGCTGTCGAAAAGCCCGTCGAGGTCTCTCAGCGTGGTTGCAGGGGCCTGACAGGACGGCAGGAGCCAGTAGAGCTTAAGACTCGCGTGCTCCGGCGCCAGTTCGCACCCAACAAAGGTAGAGGAGGTTCCGCAGCAAACACAGCGGCCTAGTTCCTTCTCGGTCGGGTGGATGCGAGTCTCCTGATCCAGGAACCACTGTGTGACATGCTTCCACAGCGCCGGAAAGACGTGGACCTTGAACTGGTCCCCCCCAGTGGCCCTTCCGTCATCGAGCTGCTCTATGGCTGCCAGGGCTGCCCGGAGCGTGTCAGATCGCGCGTCTGCCCCGGTAGGCGGCGCCACGTCAACGATATACCGGAAAACTGGCACCCCTGCGCTTTCGGCGCTCTTCCAGCTATAGCTATATTCCAACGGTGTGAAGTCGTTTGTGAGAGCGGAAGCATAACGAGGAGAGAAAATAACGGCCCCATTGTCTGTCACTGTGGCCCGCGGCGGCAACTTGAGCAAGGGCATTAGATTTTCCCGGAAGAAGAGAGCATGGCGCCGGGCCTGATTTTGTGAATAGCCGCATTGTGAACGTAGCACGTAGTCGAGGGAGGGTATGATGATAGAATCCCATCCCGGTTCGTCTAAGTCCCCCACACCTGTGGTATCTGAGGGCGATGAGGGAACAATAGGGCGTAGGCAAGGCAGGAAGTCGACCTAATTTGGTGTTTTTATTGATTAATCGAGTATCTTGTGTGTCCGGGTTTTAGTACGGGCGAGTCAACAGATGGCCAGATACACACCTCTCCTTGACACCCAGTCTCATAAGCCAGCTGCATAGTGAAGAACTTGTATCAAGAACAAATCGTAATCGGATGTTACACTCCAGCCAGCCTTCACTCTTAATATTGCGCGAGCTTGAGCTCCGTGGGAGAACGAACAACTTAAATGAGAGACCACATGGCACTCAGATATGACCGGCAAGGAGAACAACTCCAGCGCCTAGTCGGTGCTTGCTGAGGCCCATGGTTTCACTACGGGATATCCTTAGACAAATGAAGAAACAGTGAAAAAAAAGCAAGGATAGTGAGAGTCGGATACAGTTAGACGCGAATGGAGCAGGACAAGGGAGTCCGGTTCACTCCCCCTCCTCCCCAGGCCAACTTGGCCTCCACAGAAAAAACCAGCGGTGAAGTTGCTGCAGGTCATGGCTGAGATGGGGACCCTCCCATATTGTGTATAAAAGGGGGCCAAGAACCACGTCTTGCAGTAGGACTGGTCATTGAGCTTACTGCACCAATGGGAGGCTGAGACCCTCTTCCACGGCCTGTTATTTTATTACTTACCTTTCCATAGTCGAGGCTTCGTCCCACCGGCTGTTTTGGGGAGATTTGCCCGTCCAATATGGCGATCGATGATGCAGCCCAAATTCGCATCGCAATTTGGTACGTTTAGCGACATGCCGTCGTGTGTACCCGCAGGATGCCAGACACTTCAAACAGGGTGCTAACTTCTCGCGAGCACATAGCGGCGCCGGTATTTCAGGGCTCGCACTGGCAGCCTTTCTTGCAAACCTCGACCACGAATCCCAGCTGTCCGTAGACTTGTACGAGTCGTCGGAAGAAGTAAGAATGTCTGGAGCTGGTATCGCTGTGTGGAAACGGTACTGGGATCTCCTCCGAGACGAGCTAGGATTCGAGCATGCATGTGTCGATCTGGGTTTCTCAGCACCGGACTGGACTCAAGGTACGTACAGTACGAGAGACCCGAGGGTTAATCATTGTCAGGGACTCAGCCCCCCTGTTCTGACAATGGCTTTCTTTCCCCTGCATCCATGCATGTGGATCTACACTTATAGCGAGGCAAGGGGCGGGAAGTGATGCCGAGACAAAAGCGACCGAATGTTTCTGACCTATACCTATGGTGCATGTAGTCAAGGGTCCTGTGGTCCGCAAATCAGATACAGCCGGGGCAGAGGGTCATCACTTCTGCGCGCTCAGCCATGGGCCGACTGTAATTCCAAGGTCGGCGATGTCTAGCATCTTCGCTGGGAAGTTAGACCCTTCCCGATGTGGGCTCCATCTACGCCGGCGGCTCGCTCATTACGATGAGACGACAGCGCCAGACGGTAGAACAACGACTGTCCTGCGCTTCGAGGACGGCACAAAGGCGGAATGCGACCTGCTGGTGGGGGCAGACGGCGTCTTCTCTCGAGTTCGGCGGGTGCTTTTCAGGGATCAGCCCGATCTTGCGCGGCACCACTTCAGCGGACAGCTAGCTTATCGCATGTCTTGCAACGCCGAGGCTGTACAACGACTACGCGCAGCAAAATCAGACCATGCCGCCCTACGGGGATTCACAATTGTATGTACGTCGAGCGGAAAGGCCAGATAACTTAACAGCGGTATGCCTTGAGACGACGGCATGTGCTGACCAGCCGGGGAAAACAGTGGTCAGGCCGGGGTAAGCATGTTACGTCGAACTTGGTCGGAGACCAAATCCAGATGTCGGCGTGGGACAATGTGTCGGAGGAAGTTTTGAGTGCCTGGTCGGATACAAAGGTATGCGACGTCCCCAGAGAGTCGGTTTCCCACTTGTTCCGGTCGTGGGAGCCTGATCTCGTCAGCCTCCTGAACCACGCAGGCGACACGGCCTCACGGTGGCCTATCTACGTCGCTGCTCGCCTCCCTCGGTTCGTCAAGGGCGGCCACGTAGCGCTGGTGGGCGACGCGGCGCATGGCATGACGCCGCACCAGGGTCTTGGAGGTGGCCAAGGGATTGAAGACGCCTTCGTTCTGGCAAGCCTGCTAACGCACCCGGACGCACGTCGAGGCGTTCTGCCTGACGTGCTGGCCACATATGACGAAGTGCGCCGGCCTGCTTCGCAGCGGGTTGCCGACCAATCTCTGGCCAATGGTCACAACTTTGCTTTTCTTGGTTCATCGGGCAACGGTGACCACCCGTGTCTGACGACCATCCGCCAGGAGCTGGTAACAGCCTGCGACTGGTTGATGGATGATGACGGAAACTGCAAGGGGGAGGCTGACAAGGCACGAGCCCTGTTGGAAACGCGGCTTCGAAGGTGTTGCCGGGGATGATCAGACCGGAGTACATTATTTTGCAGCTTCTTCTGCTTCGCATTGAGTGGGCATGGACATGGCTTGTTTGACGCCACCAGGTGAAGTTGGACTTCCAATCAGAGACCAGAATAGAGCAGTCATAATCCTTACGTAACTCTTGCCTCATTTCGGTCGTATGACGACAGGGACCGGGTATATATAATTCCGTTGCCGATATGATTAGTAATTTACATTGTACGACTCATCTCCCGCGTCCCATCTCCATCTCCAATCTCCGCCCCCTCATGATTCCCACCAAGCAACGGCATTCCATCAGGAATAAGTAACAGTCTTGGATTAACACTCAGTCTATATAAGACGCGAGTGTTGAATCCGAGGTTGAATCCGAGGTTGAATCCGAGGTTGAATCCGAAGTATACACTCTGGCTGTACTGAGAGAATCGTCTGTCTCTTCAACTCTTCAGATGCTAGGCAAACCGAACAGACTGAAGAAAGATGGCTAACTCCAACGGCAAAACTATTCCCCCAAATCCCCTAACCGCACATCCTCAAAACGTCTAGGAATCCTTGGATAAGCAAGTTATTCTCCTCAGCTGTGCCCACGGTCACCCTCAGACATCCACTGCACCCGGGGTTGTTTCCTATGTAGCGCACAGCGATATCATGCCGAGAACGCAGGAGCTCGCACACCTCCGTAGCGCGACTTCCGTCGGGCACCTTTACCCCGTCGTCCTGTCGTTCAGACTCGTCTGGATCATCCTCCCTGGGACGCGCCCAAACCGGCAGCACTACAAAGTTCGCAGAGTTGCCTCCAATAGGTGGGCCAGCGCCGAGGGTTCGGAATGACGGCGAACTGAAGGCCCGCACAAGCTCCGTCCGGTTCTGCACCACGCTAGCCACCAGAGCTCTTCGGGCGTCCTCTCTCGCAGGTGACAATGCCGCCATGGCGATGGCCGCCGAGGGCGAGGGGATGGCAAACGGTACCTGCACCTTCTTGAGCACTTCCGTGATGGCCTCATGCGCGTACAGCACTCCGAGCCTGCCTTCTGTCAGCGGTGTAACTCAACCTTTCTTTTTTTTTTTTTTTTGGTTCGCCCAGCGACTGCAAGGAACGACAAATGAAGGGACGGTTGTGTCTCTTGAGCGCATCGTCGTACTTACCTCAACCCGGCGAGTCCGTGAGATTTGCTGAGCGTCTGAAGGATCACTAGATGAGGGAACTCTTCCATGAGTGATACGGCCGAGCTCCTTTCTGCGCCGGCGGCGAAGTCGATGTATGCCTCATCGACGACGAGCAAGCCCTTGAGTGCTGTCGAACAAACGCGCCACCCTCGTCAGCACTAAAATGTCTCGCCAGGCAATTAATCAATGGATTCCGGGGGTCTGCCTCACCTCCGCTCTCCAAGATCTTTCTTATGCTCGTCAGCGGGATCAAAGTCCCTGTGGGGTTACCGGGCGAGGCGAGGAACGTCAGCTTGACGTTGTTCTCTCTCAAAATGCCAATGACCTAGAAACACGACAGAGGAAAAAGCGGCAAGCGAATCAGTAACGAACATCCTCAAACGACCCATTTGGTCTATACTTCAAGGGTTTTTTCTTTTTTTCTTTTTCGTGAACACACCTCGTCCTCGTCCAGATAAAAGTCACCGCCATCAAGTCGGAGCCAGGACGTAAGCACGCGAACCTCGTCCAGCTGAGCCCGCATGGCATAGAGGGGGAAGGTCGGCGGCGTGATGAGAATGGCGTCTCGAGAGGGAACGCAGGTAGCACGTATCAACGTGTCTACCAGATCAGAAGAACCCACGCCGAAGGTGATCTTGCCAGCCCAGTAGGCCGGCAAGCCTCTGGACGCCGCCAACTGTTTCTTCAGACTCAGGAGCGAAGCGGACGGATACCGATGCAGGCCCAGGGAGTTTGAGAGCGCCAACACAGCGGCATCATCGTCGCCTGTCCCCTTTCCCTTTGGTGCCGTGTCCCACTGATTCCATTGACTGGCTGCCAGACATGAACCGAGAGCGCTCTCGTTGGCATCCAGCAGGATGCCTTTTCGTGCTTGGCCATCGTCGATTGTGGGTGATACGAAGGCCTAGTACAAGTACCTAGAATGAGAAATGGCTTTTGCGAAAGAGTATGTCGGGCCGGGATGGAAGATGATGGACTTGCCTTCATCTTGAGGATGTGTGGCCGGATAAAGTCAGCCAAGTTTGGCTGAGACCCGACAGGAAACGCATATGAGCCCATCCTCTCTCGTTGCCTACTCCTTCCTGGTGCGTCTACTAACAAAGACGATGGGGTCAACTGGTAAAGAGATCCAACCAGCTCTGGAGATGCTGATGAAAGATGAACTTAGCGAGGCTTCGCGTCTGTAGGGGCGGGCCGGCCGCAGTTACAGGGACACATGCGATCTATATCTTCGCGTCGCGACTTCAGTCCGACTTGGCACGCGAAACGTCACTTTTGTTGTTCTCACACGTCGAATACCATGACTTTACTTTGTTCGATGGACTCCGTCGGCTCGAACCTAGCTACCTGAGACTGTTTAATGACTCCCCCCAGGCACCTATACAGCGTGGATCAGCCCTCTCAATATCATGACCTCATTCAATTCGGTACCCAGAGGCCCAATTTCTCCTTTTCTTCTTTTTTCTTCCTTTTTTTCTTCCCCTTATCCTCCGACGCAAGTTGTGGACGGTGATCCCGGTTCTCTCTCGTACATATGTATGAGACTTCCAACCTTTGAGCAGAGAGTAAAATCGTTGGAGGGCCAATGATTTACAAAGCTGGATTCACCGCTTGAGGTCATAGGCGCATTTGGCAATATTCCAGTTCAATCAAATGCTGGCTCAGTCTGCCATTGCTAGGGGCCTCGAGGTTATTTGAGACAGGTCATCCAGAACTGTCTTAGCTAATTTCTTCGAGAACCCCACACAGTATTCGAACACGGATTGAGGACATACGCCTCGACATACCCGGTGGAAATATTGGTTTCTGTCCAGCTGGGAGCGGGACGAGCATCCTAACTCCGTTTGTCTGGCGTACAGGATCTTCGCCTTGTCATTCAAAGACATGGCGGCGGTCGTATTACGTACACCACAATTACCGACGATCTTGATTGTGATTTACGCAATGTGCAAGACACGGTGACAGGTCCATCAGGCCGAGACGACCAGTGAGACAAGACTCCGGAATCACAGAACGGGCGGTGAATTTCGAACGGGAAAGACATCCGAGCTGAGACCTTGACCCGACTCACCCGGATTTTGAAGCGTAAGGGAGCTAGAGAAACAGGACGGGAAGAGAACCGTCCGTAGAACTACGAACCCACCGCCGTCGTCCCCCGTCCGATATGGGGTGGGGTGTTCCATATGAAGGAAGCGGTCTGGTGGGAAGGCGACGAATCCCATCGCTAATCCACCCGCATTGTTGGTGACATCCAGCGTAGTCTGGAGAGTCGATACACCTTAGTGTTCAAGCAGAAGAAGTATGGCGAAAATTAACCCAGCAACACAGGTGAACCATCCACCCGTGCTGATTATTGGCGCCGGTATCGCGGGTCTGGTCTTTGCTCAAGGACTTCGAAAGGTAGCTACTACTCCAGCATCAAGCAGACGACGGCTTGAAGTATGCGCGCCGCAATAGGTAGTTGAGACTGACTACCGAGGGAACTAGCACTCTATTCCATTTCTCGTCTTCGAGCGTGACACTGCAGCCAACAGCCGTCTGCAAGGATGGGCTCTAACAATACACTTCGCCCTTGGTCGACTCCTGTCCATGCTTCCAGACGACATCCTCCAGAGGCTAGACGACACGCAGGTCGATCCGCGCCTGTCTTGCGATAAGAGCCACTCCGTCTTCATCAACCTCGAGACTTGCGAGTACAAGTGGAAGCTCCCCCCGGGGTACGGCACTCGAAAGAGACTATCACGGGACCGGTTCCGGCAACTGCTCCTTTCGGGGCTGGAGGAGAGTAAGACTCTCCTCTGGGGCAAGGAGTTCGTCGGTTTCGACGTTGACGAGAGCGGGCTCCCCCTGGCGCGTTTCGCCGACGGGACGCAGTACAAAGGCTGCCTGCTCGTCGGCGCTGACGGTTCCTCTTCCCGCATCCGGGGCCGGCTATACGACCTGCAGGCAGCTCCAACGAGACCCTTGCCCGTCATGTTCTTGGGTACTTCGGTGGTGGTGCGCGAACCGTATATCGCCGCCCTCCGCGCCCTCGACCCGACCCTCTTTCAGGGCTGCCAGCCTCGAACACGCACGTGGATGTGGTTCTCCGTCATGGAGTCCCCTGACATCAACGGCACAGCGTCCCGGCCACCTGAGGAGCGTCTCTGGAAGATCCAGCTCTGTCTGTCGTGGCTCACGTCCGCCGCGGAGGACGCCGAGCAACAGGGTGGAGACTCGTCAGCCCCGGACCTGTCCACCGACGCCGCACGCATACGCGTGATGCGCCAGAAGGCCGCCGACTTCGATCCGCGTATTGCCAGCGTGTTCAGAGACGCCATCCCCGACGATCACGGCCCCGTGCTCAAGCTTCGTCTCTTCGACTGGCATATCCCCTCCCCGTCCACCGGTACTCTGGGTGCTGTCACCCTCGTTGGAGATGCAGCGCACACCATGTCCATGTGTATGTTATTTCTCGCCCCATCTTGCCCCTGGTTTGGTTCCCTCATCTCGCCTCCGGCTGCGTGTTTATTGTGAGTTCCCATGTCGTGTTCTGACATTTTCCTTCGGTGGCAGATAGGGGAGAAGGATTCAACCACGCCATCCTGGATGCCTATCACCTGTGTCAGACTGCCCGGGAAATCTCCAACGCGGCCGGGACTGAAGATGGCAGATGGCTGGAGGTCAGGGAGAAAGCCATTCGCGATTATGAAGGCGAGACGAGAGCTCGAGGCGAGGTAGCAGTTGCTATGTGTCGGGCATCGTGCTTGGAGGTGCATTACTGGGACAAGCTGTCGGAGAATAGCATCGTGCGTCGTACTGGACATTACGCATAAGCCAACGTAGCTGCTTTAGTGGACGATGAGAGAGAGAGATGTAAATGCAAAATGTAAATGAACACGAAACAATGCGTCTCTCATGCCTTTCCTTTTTGGCGGTTCTTTGTGCTCTCCAGACCATTCGGACTTGGGCTTCCACTGTGCAGTCTCGAATGTGCTTGTCCAAAACAACTCCTGTCTTCACGGGCAGTACGTCCGCAAGAAGTCGCTCAATCCTCTCGAGCCATGTCCGCCCGGGGACCAGCACGCGCCCAATTCCTCCGCCAGACGCCGCGCCTTCTCACGCTTCTTCTCTCCTTCCGGGCCGAACGCTTCGTCAAGAACACGGTTGAACTCGGCTCTGGCCGCGTCGCGATCGTGGCCATGGCTGCGACCCGTTGCGAGAACCGGCCTCCTACCGGCGTCGCCGCTTCTCACCTCCCGAAGCTCCCAGCCTATCTCCAGGCTTTGGACGACATGACAGGTGCTGTCAGCCTGGTCGACAGGAAACGGCCAACAAATCCTGTCAGGAGGCTTTTTGTTAGTGGCTGCGGAAAGAGAAAAAGCGCATGGCACTGTTGTAGTCCTCCGCTATACTCACATCGGGACAGACTGGGTTGCAGCCTCCAGTGTGCTGCCTGGACCGCCGTGTGTAAGGAACACGCCACACGCCTAGAGTATAACAACGGATGAGTTCCAGCTCTGGGCTTAAGGGCAGCTTGCATACGGGAGAGACGAGGTCCAAAGGATAAGGGTTAATCAGGGCTATGCGTGCTACCTCGCACCTTGTGGGATAGTATGGACTGCTGGGGGGCCCAGTTGATAAAGAGGTTCAGCCTGGGGTCCCCGAACATTGCTATCAAGTCCCTGATAACAGCCTCCGGGCACCGGGCATGAGCCAGAATCTAAAGTTAGAAAACGGGGTCATTAGTATTCTAAAGCGTCAGAAGGGCGTATACACAGGACCAGTCAACGTGACATGAGGCAACAGTTATCCTACATAGGGGATGTCTTTAGCCTTCAGAGACATGAGAAGGTCGTAGAGTCGCTCGGTGGAAGACGGCCTTGCAGGAAGGCAATAGTAAGTCAGCAGCTTCGAGTCTTCAACGAGGTTTCGGGACGAGACAGCAAAAGAACAGTTCAAAGTGGGAGGGTCTAAACACACCAATGCTCACTCCCAAAGCTGATGTACATTAAGCTCCTTGCACCACGCTCAGTTGCAATGCGGTCGAGGAAGGTCATGGTTGCTTCGAAAGACTCGGTAGGCATGCTAAGTTGTTCTGCCGCGAGACACTGACTATTGAAGTCGGCGCTGCCGTCAATCAAAGGAAGCAGAGGTCCCAGGTGAAAAGCCGGGCGTCCGCGTATCGAGTTGACATAGGCCTTGAACTCTCTTAAACATTCCTCCCTGTCGTAGGAAACGGACCATGTTGTGACGAACCCGTCAGCGTCGTGCACGAACCTGGGAGGGAATAACAGTTAGAAATGACCTGTAGCTGTTGCCAAGCTTCCATTATCAGGAGCCCTTCAAGAACGTACTTCGCCACTCTCGAGATCTTGTCCCAAATGTTCTCTTTCACTGCCAGATTCAGCTCCTCTGGCTGGAACTCCCAGTCATACATAGGAGCAATTCCAGGTAGCTTGATAATGTTCCCTGCGGTCTCAAGACGCTGAACTTGCGCCGTCGTGACCTTGCCATCATAAAAGTCGCGGAGAGCGTCGCCCATCGGCCCGCATTCAGGAGGTCCCGCGAACCGAAGTAGTGAGAGTGGTGACATGCTCATCCACTGGAGAATGGGAGGGGACGGCTTGAAGTCCCTCACGACATCGAACCAGGTGTACTGGAAGCCCTGCGAGAACGTTGTCGATAAGCTTGCCGCACAGAGAACTGAGCTGAGGGGATCCTTAACAGCGGGCGGCATTTGAGAAGGCTGGGCAAGGAAGCTTGCAGCTTACATCGAGCAAAACCAGCAGAGGACGAGGAACGGGCGGGAAAACCGCGCCGGTCCTGTGACAGTGCATAGGTGTTTCGTCAAAGGCACATTTCCAAACTCGCCGGAAGCCTAGCTTCATTTCAAGCTCCGATTTTTCGCCAACTAACTCTCCAACGGCCAGGAGTCTGGCCATATTGAAGTGGTAGATCAGCCCCCGTGCACAGTATTTCCCATACCTTTGCTTGTAGGTGGGGAGTAGGAGACGAGTAGCTCATGGGCCTACCTGATAACGCCGGGACAGGGTTCGTCCGCATCGGTTTGGTACCGGCGTAGCTCGCGGGCAAGCTTGTCGTAGATATCTCCGACGTTGGCGACGAGGAAAGATATGATAACCGGCTGCCTTGATGCGATCTTGGAAGCAAGAAGACAGAGAGGACGCAAGTGGCCTGCATGATGGAACGTTTCATCAGGATATCTGCCTTCTCCCAGGAACTGTGTACGAGGACGACAAAGGCCACATAGGGAGGAGACGCACTCATTCCCGGCTTGGCCGAGAAAACCATGTGAGTCTGCCTCATCACAGCGAAGGTGTCGAAATGCAGTATGAATCGAAAAAGTGCGATAGATCTCTGGTGATTTACGGGTTCTCTTTGAAATTTAGTAGAATAGAGTGCATTGATTGCCGATGCTGTTCCAATTCCGTTGTCAATACTGTCTCCAAATGCTGTTGTATACGACTTATATGCAAGTGGACCTGCTGTGGTGATAGAGACAGAGGCAGCTAGCTCTCCTGGCTGAGCGCTGGAGAGGAGGCCGACCAACATATGCATGATATTTCTTCTGGGTCCCTCCAACAAGAACGACGGTACCCACTGGTGATGTTCAGGCAAGCTGCGTTACTAGAGCATGCATGCAGCATGCTCAGAGGGGGCCCGCAGCGGTCGCAGCGGTGTGTAGCTAACACCTTCCTCTGCAGAGGGTTTCAGCAAGGGACGAAAACGGTCCGTCTCACGGCCCCTGTCCTGGGTGTGGATACTACTCAGTAGAAGCCGATCATAAATCACCATTCTCGACACAGCGGACGGACGTGTACGACAGAGGACGGGAAAATCTGTAGCCGTAGCCGTCAGCGGAGACCTCGTCCCGGGCGGAGAGGGCATAGCAGCTCGCGCAGCGTGAGAAAAATGCCGCCGCGATGACCCCATGACATCGTAAGATATTCCGACTCGGACGTTGCCAATATACGAATAAGTTGGCGGCATTGGGCATCCAAGCCTAACTAGCCGTAGAGCCCAGAGACGCTGCTTCCCTGACGCCTGCCCCTCGAGGGCGCTGAAGTGCAGTCATGCTGACAAGAGTGGACACCGAATCGCTCGAACCTGGTTGAGGACAGCACTCGCTCCTCCTGAGTGCTGAGTGGATATGATAATGCAGACTCGCTACCTATTCTTGTGTTGAGGGTAATTCGATTTTCACGAGAGGTCGAGTAGATTTTAGATGAACTGAACCGTCTTAGCTAATCATGATGTACTGGGGTACATCCAAACCCGCAACTCTCCCAAGACTGTATCAAGTCGTGGATACTTATCGTGGATACTTGGACTCCTCTATGACGTACAAGGTGTTTCTTTGTCCAGAAAACGTCAATCCACGAACACAGATACATGATATGGGGACGGACTCGGGGAAGAGGAACGGGTAAGAGCGAGGGGATGATGTAGTGACGTAACTAAGGTACCTTACCTTAGGTACGGTGGGAGAGCTCAGATAACGGAGTTTAAAGGAGACGGCGTTCGGCATTTATTAACACTTGATACCATCTTTCTCTGCTTCACGAAACACTCAACAGTAACGAGAATTGAGTTTCCAATTCTAATCCAATCAGCTTTTACACTGCCACTCCTCTTCCCTTTCTCAGCTCATTTCATCTTACACCCACTACCACATCACCATGTCTGGCTACTCGAACGTTGGTAACTCCCAGGTCTATGAGGCCGGCGACCAGAGACAAGTCAAGGCGTCCGAAATGCAAGAAGCCGACAGGTACAACGAAGGCCAGCCTCACTCCCACAAGAGCCTCGATTCGAGTACGTGACACGACCATGCCACCCTACGAGAGAAGATGGGAAGCATTACCATTCCTTTGAAGGCCAGGTTCACTGACATATTTTCAGAGGATGAGCGAACCATTGCCAACAAGCTAGCAGCAGCAGAGGTAAGCAACATCCCACAACGCCGCGGGAAGACCCATTCCCGCCTTCGGTTATACTGAACTGACACTCAAAAAACCACGACACAGAAGAAGGACGAAGACCGTGAAGACCCCGAAACCAAGATGTCGAAGCGGGATCCAACTCTACCGGTATGACAGGCATTGTTCCCCTGACCGTACAAGCTCGCGTCTGACAATCAGTGTCCTCCAGGCGAAGATGCACGGCAACGACCCGTCTAAAGGCGCAAAGATAGATGCGGAATTGGCCGCAGAGGAGGAAGCCGAATTGAAGCGGAAGGGCAGGGCGTGAGGGCAGGACAGAACACAGCTGTCAGGTCATGGACCATTGTAATATGTGAATTGATACAATATTGATGAGGGCATCCCAAGATCGATACAGCAAGATATCGGCTCGAGGCAGCATTCCTATGGTGCAGAAAGTCTGGGTCGTAAACATTTGTTGAGACGAGCTAAGGTCAGTACTAGGTGCTCAGGAAAGACATGTTGGGAGTGCATCGATGTAAAAACGATTCTTTTCGTCATTATTTTAGGGCGACTAGCTATCAATTATTGACGCCTCAAAACAGCTTGCTCTTGTAGCCTCAGACAGATTTCAGTTTGTAAAAACTCTTCGAACCTAAGAACAGTCAGTGCCTGGTCATATGCGTTGCTAGATGCCATGTCTGGGAACATAAAGTAACAACATAAAGCGTCAGAATATGTAAGAATTGAATATCATATATTCACATGATATAGCTACTCCGGCGAAAGAGAGCCATCAAGTGGAATCAATCGCAAATTACATCATCATACGCGAGCAAGAAAAAGAGGGAAGAAGTCTTCACAAACCTTTTCAGAGCGGCTTCGCTATTTTGGTCAATCCGATTGACCTGATCTGTCTATCAACCAGGCAGAGTGATAGAAAGAATGGGAAGAAGAAGAGAGCTGAACGGGAGGGAGTAGGGCAGGTCATATAGAAGAAGAAAAGCTCTCCCTGAAGCCAAAGAGCGGGTCTGGATGGGGACACGGTAGAACCTCGGCATAGTACCTGACCCCACCTGACGGTGAGCCTGTTTGATGGTCCGTGCCACCAGCCACTTTAGGGCCTGGATTGAATTTCGTCCGCACAAGTTACACCTGCCAAAAAGTTGTCGATTGGTGTGCAGCTCCTCAAGCCCAAGTCCCCGACAATCAACACACACCACCAAGCACTTGATCGTCTTCGGGTAAGCAATCAACAACACCTGAACACGCTTTCGATCTTGTAATATAATATCATCAACGATTCTGACAAAACACCCCCTTCTAGATCGACAATAAAAATGGGTGACGCTACCATCGAGGGATCCCAGTGGCGCCTGGTTGAGGTCGGCCGCGTCGTCCTCATCCAGGACGGCCACCCATGCGCCGGTCGTCTGGCCGCCATCGTCGAGATCATCGACCACAAGCGCGTACGTTGAACATATTTGCGTCCTGGGGGTTCTCCAATTCGGGCATCTTTCGTGTGGTCGCTTTGTTGGAATTGCACCGATATTGACACACGCTCTCGCACACAGGTCCTGGTCGAGGGCCCCTCCTCAAACCCCGATCTCGTCGTTCCCCGTCAATCGCTTCCCCTCGCCTCTGCCCTCCTCTCCTCCCTCGTTGTCGACAGACTTCCCCGTGGCGTCCGCCATGCAGCCCTCAAGAAGTTCTGGCAGGAGGCCAACATCGACGAGAAGTGGAAGCAGACCAACTGGTACAAGCGCCGGACTCAGATCGAGCGGAGGAAGAACCTTACCGACTTCGACCGCTTCAAGGTGATGCGCCTCAAGAAGCAGCGCCGCTTCGCCGAACGCACCGAGCTGGCTAAGATCAAGGCCTCGGCGTAAAGAAAACAAAAAGGGACTGCCGCTACGAGGTCCTAAAACGAAATCGTGGTAAAACTGGCGAGTCGACTGCCCTGGGCAAATGGTTGGTTCGCTTTAGAGCGTGGACAACATGGGAACCTGGAATGGTCTGCATCACAACAACAACGGCGGCATAAGGCTTCTGCTGCGTTTTTTTCTCTCTTCTTTTCCTCCGCACTGGAAGGGGTGTATGTCACAATCATCACCAGGATGACCGGCGTCGATACGGAAAGAGGAAAAAGAAATGAATACTTCATGGCAACCAGTGAGGGAGACTCGGTATTCTGGGGATTCCCCATAGCGGCCCAGGCGAAAATACTACCTTGTAAAATGCCGTGATATTGTAATTCCTGGAGCGTTCTGATTTCTATGATTTCTATTAAATTACTACTACATGACCCATTGACCGCAGCCTCGTCCTGTCGTCGACAAGGGCCGGTTGGTATCGCGAAAGTGACCCCCCACTTGTTCCATGTGGAAGTTGCGGAGAATAAGTGATTACTAAGCAGACTTAGTAAGCGGGGTCTGCTGCCAAACCCTAGAATTTCGTTCTTTCCTGAGCATCACCACAGCGGCTTGTGAACAAAACAGTGATAACAAGGGACGATCGTTTGACATTGAATCTCGGTAAGTCAATCCTGCGAAACGCACGTTCGAAGTATCCCGGAACATACTTTGTAGCTGCGGGAATTCACATGTCTGTGCCATTTCTCGCTCCACACAAAGGAACCCACCAAATCAAATCATTGCGCCCTCCCCCGCGATCTCACAAATCTGACTGACTCCTCACGTACCACCATTTATTAGTTGAGACAAGATGGCGAACCCCCGTATTGAAGAACTCCCCGAGGAGGACCCCAAGAAGGCCCAGGTTGAGGAGGTTGGCTCCGATTCCGAATCCGAGTCTGAAGCCGAGGGTGAGGGCGAGGCCCAGGGTATTCCTTCCGGCAGCTCGACCACCGTTATCCAGTCCCGCAACGAGAAGAAGGCCCGCAAGCTCCTTGAGAAGCTGCACCTGACCCGAGTCCAGGGCATCACCCGTGTCACTCTCCGCCGCCCCAAGAACGTGAGTACATAGCCTACTGGCGTAGTACTTGTCTGGGAAAGACAACTACGTGGTGAATGCGCACCACGGTTGCTAATTATCGGGTGGGACAATCAGATCCTCTTCGTCATCAACAACCCCGAGGTCTACAAGTCGCCTAACAGCAACACTTACATGTGAGACTTTTTCCTTTTCTCCCCCGCCTTGGTGTATTTTTGCGCTCAGATGCTGATACCCCACCCCCACCTCTCAGCGTCTTTGGTGAGGCCAAGATCGAGGACCTCAACGCCTCCGCCCAGGCGGCTGCCGCTCAGCAGCTCGCCGCCGCCGGTAACGCCGAGCACGATCACGCTGGCCACAGCCACGGCGAGCCCAGCAAGGCCGCCGCTCCGGAGGCCAAGAAGGAGGAAGAGGAAGAAGACGAAGAGGATGACGAGGATGTAGATGCCACGGGCATTGAGGAGAAGGACATTGAGCTCGTTATGAACCAGGCGAGCGTCTCTCGGAAGAAGGCCATCAAGGCGCTGAAGGAAAACGACAATGATATTGTCAACTCCATCATGGCATTGAGTATCTAAGGCAACGGTGGCTGCCTGGGTTCTGGTTCGGAAAGAGTGAGCGTACATGCTCTTCTTGATATGATGACGCATCGGTAACCAAAAAAAAAAAACGGATAGGCGGACCAGTTCGTGCATAAAGTGCACGAGGAGTCTGTGGCACTCAAAGAGATCAAATCAATTTTCTCTTGATAAAGTGTAACATTTGTTCATAGTGGTTCCTGATCGTGGTGTAATTGTTGTGCCGTGTTGTGATGCATTCACTAATGCCAATCTCACGAACAAAACAAAAATGCCCTCGGACCCAGATGAAAGAACCAGAAGCCTTCTGGATGTCCATCTCATTCAGAAACAACACTTGTCAGGGAATGTTTAGCCCGCGATATGAAGATTATCCATGTCGTCGCACTCCGCACGTAGCGTGTACTCTGTAATTACCTGCATGGTTTGGAGGACGACGTGGTTGCGACCCGGAAACGTCACGTGACTATTCACATGACACCCGACGACCCGATTGTTTCCCGCTAACTTCGGCAAAGTTGGCAAAGGAACCTCACGACAACCAGCATCCCATCTCCCCCCCATTCACGTTTGGAATATCGTCCAACAGATCTTCACAATGGCCGCAGTAAGTTTTCCCTTAGCAGTGGAGATCCCAATTGATATCCCGATGAATACTGCTCTATCGACCAAGGCTACAATGGACGGCGCCGCCGGGCCACGATGACGGCGTTGAGCTAATTCATTTCTTCTTCCGAACCAACAGCGAAGCGCAGCGCTCAAGGTCGACTGGGTCAAGGTGACCTCCTCCCTCGGTCTCCGGGGCCAGACGGTGGCCTCTCTCCAGGCTTTCAAGAAGCGCAACGAGGACGCGCGCCGCAAGTTGCAGCAGCTGTCTGAGCTCCCGACCACTGTCGACTTCGCACAGTACCGCTCGGTGCTCAAGAACCAGGCCGTCGTTGACGAGATCGAGAGGCGCTTCAATGCCTTCAAGCCCGCCACCTACGACGTCAACCGCCAGATCAAGGCCATCGAGGCCTTCGAGGTCGAGGCCGTCAAGAACGCCGAGTCCACCAAGGAGCAGGTCGGCCTCGAGCTGAAGGACCTCGAGAAGACCCTGGCCAACATTGAGACCGCCCGGCCGTTTGAGGATCTCACCACGGTATGTTACGAACTCGGGTTAAGAGACGGAAGAAGAGGTCCTCGAGAATCGGATGGGAAGAACAGTGAAGATGATCCGAACAGATCGCTGACCAACGTGACAAAACCAACAGGAGGACATTGGCAAGGCTGCCCCCATCGTCGAGCAGAAGACGGCCGAGCTCGTGTCCAAGGGCCGCTGGTCCGTGCCGGGCTACAAGGTACAAAATTACACTTATTGGTCCCATCTTTACCAGAAAGGTTGGCAGTTTGCTAACGTCCCACATAGGAGAGATTTGGCGACCTGTCTGTGCTATAATCGACTCTGCTATTCCTCGATTCCCTTTGTGTACTCTAGCATTGTAGATAGGAGAGCGGGTGACCTAGGAGAAGAGAATCATTCGCATAGCGGCAACAGTGCTTCCGACTGGCCAGTCGAGATCGCTCTTTTCCTTTCTTTGACTCCGTCCTGGATCACCGCGAACTTGGCCGTCTTGGATCAGGCTGTGACAAGATGAGATGTGACAGTATTGGCTCATGTTGCGTCATCTGGATCAGTATGTGAAGTGAGGCTGGTTGAATTCCTTCGTTCCTCGAAAGACTGTGGTTAATCGTTACTCTTTGGCCTCTTAGCTGTTGTCTCTGGCTTGCCGGCAGGAAATCTGTTCCCTTTGGACCGGATAAGCGGCATGCTGCAGTTAGTGCAAAAGCCCTCCCCACGTTTGGGTCAGGAGTTCTTTTGCCCACTATTTTCTTTGGAACACCGGGGCCCTCCGAGAAACTATACCTGTACAAGTTTGTACTGGCATCAGTTCAGAAGCGGATTATCTTTCCATCTCACTATCATTCCGATCTGACTAACTATAGACCTTTTAATTCTCGTGGATAATTCATATGCAGCACTTTCAGGATTTATATATAGCGTCGAATATATATCAGATCTGTCACACCTCATTCTCACGCAGCCGCTTCCCCTGTATTTAGCATGGCTGCAGCGTGAAGATGTGGCAGGGCTTAGCAGGTCTTCAAAGGCTTTCCTTTGATTCTGGAACGCCTCCCTGCCGTATATGCAATGAACGTCACCACCTGCACACCGCGATAACATCAGGAGCAGCATATAATGACCTTACCCAGGGGATCAACACCAGAAGCCTTACCCTTTCGTCATATCTTAGAAGATTTCCATTCCCATTAATCAATTCCGGCAGATAGAGGAGACGTCTAGACACCCGACTGTTGTGATCTACTTCCATTCATGGACGGGCTTTACCTCAGTGAAGCCGATAACGATATGTTCTCGTGCCGCCGTAATAACGGGCATAGTACTCCGGTACCCAACGACGACCGATGACGACATAGAGTACCTTCCGGCTCATTTACGAGCGTCGACACCAGCAACATAGAACTCCTTGAGACGACTCTGGCGGAGGTGTCCCGGCGAGAGCAGCCGACAGACTGACCGGGGCGGATGCTAGCTCAAGGCGCCGCACCTTGCAAAACCGGTGGAGGCGAAGAGTGACGATGATCCATGAGGTTCGATGGACTTTGCGGGATAACGTGTTAACCGGATAAAGCTTTAACTTCTGGTTAATTAAGGGATGCACGCCTTTTCGTGTTGATATAGCCCCGTCTAAATAGTCTTCGACCTTCAACTCCGTAACCAATACATCGCGCTGGCTATATGTATATACAATAGCCGGTCTATCACATTACATAGTTCAGAGCAGTCATCAATAAAAGGGCCGGGTATGTGTGCTGAAATCAAAGTTGTAGATGGACCATCGTTCAGGGACAGCTCAGGTGAATGCAGTGGCCTTTCTGGGAATCCTGGACCATGCTAGTGCACGTGAAGGCTTTGCTGAGACCGTGGATAAACCATACGAATGAACAATATCTCGCGTTATTAAAGGGCATCAATGAGACAGAACTTCAAAGCTGAATTTGCCCCGGCCGGCTCTCCGACGACGCAACGGAGATGACGATAAGGAAGGGTCGCGGAAAGGGGAATGAAAGTGGACAGGGTATATAAGGGAATTTGTCGACGAATTCCCCAACAAGTCATCCAGCCCCTGATCCAATCAGGGAGACGCGCCGTTGGTCTAGTGGTATGATTCTCGCTTAGGGTAACACCCGAAAGCACTGCTTGCGAGAGGTCCCGGGTTCAATCCCCGGATGGCGCCCACATCTTTTGCCGTTTCCCCGGGACGATATTTTTTTTGTCAATTTTGGTCCTCGCAGACGCCCGGACAGAAGAGGCTTCCTTCCATCGAGAGAATCCCGCCGTACCAAGTAAAGGTCAACAGGCGCCCACCGTCGGCTCAGAACTTAACGGATGAGAGATGGGAAAGAAATCTTTGAAACGTTTGTTCGCCAATATATTACTCTTCGCTAAATGGTCGGCAACAAGTAGATGGAGAAGAAAAGGTCAACCCAAGAAACCCCCCAAGTCAAAAACAGACACAAAAGTCAACAACAATGCTTGCTTTGCACATTCAGATACAACGCCGCAAACCAAAACCCAAACGCAAACCCGGTAAAATGCTCAAATCTCCACAAAGTGGCGGCTCGGATATCCTGGACACGCTCTCCATGCTCTCCCTCCCTCGCTCCCTGTGGTCACACATTCCCGCGCAGCCACTCGAAACTCTTCGGAGCCCTGCTCCGGTCGATCATGTGCTCCCACGGAACAGGGGCCCGGGTCTTTTTGTTGGCGCAGCGAGCGCATTCGTCTTCTGTGAAGTCGGTGTATGCGATGCGGACGGTGCAGCGGCGATGCGTGTGCCCGTACGCCGGGCACCAGGCCGCTGCACCGATGAGGTAGTGCCCGCATCCGTAGTCCCGGCGGTACCACTCACACATTGCGATGTCGGGATGTTGTGTGTATACAATCCTGTGTGTATACGCCGGATTGGTGTTTTGATTTTGGTCTGTTTTTGGCGTCTTTTCTTCGCTCTTGGTTCGCGAGCTCGACGGCCAAATGTGCTGTATTAGAGGTGTCCCGAAGAATCGCGGCGTTTTGACGGACTAAATTGTTTGCGAGCCAAGGTACAGATTCAAAGATAGCCCGGGACGTCGGTTAAGAGACCAGTAGTATCGGTCCAGGAGGTTAGATGAACACTTGCTTGAGGTGGATAAGAAATGGCTGTGACAGGTAGGGAAAGGGCGGCGGGTGCGGCAGCAGAGGAGAGGGGTGAGAAATAACCAGGAGATATAGAGGGGAGATATAGAGGAGTCTCAGGTGATCGTGTTGACGGAGGCGTCCCCATTGCACTACCAAAATCTTCTTCCGGGCCAAGGCTCGTGGAAGCCTCGTGCTGTGTGAACGACGAGGCTTACCAGGTCGCCCTGGTACAAAACGCGATAAGGAACGGAGTAGACGCCGGAGAAACCTTCTGGGGTAACCAAAAAACAAGGGGGAAGCCTGGACATCCATCCGCACGTTCACCACGGCATCGAGTGGGGAAAGTTAATAACGGGATCTAAGCCAACGGCCTGAATTTGTTGACAGGACGTCCAAACGGGTGACCCTGCCTTTGCAGGTTAACGTCTTCAGAGGGTCGAAACAAAACATATCAAGGTTCGAACCAAGACTGGGCTAGCCCGTCTCTCTGGGCACATTTCCATGAATTTCCTGGATCTGGTCCTGCGGGGGAGATGTCAATGCAAGCATGGGAATCTGAGAGTGAGTGCGTTCTTGCTTTTCGTAAAATGTCCGTCATCATCCGCATTTCCTCATTTCGTACCTTACGCAGAAGACAAGCGGGACACAGAACAGACAGCCCAGCGCAGTCTGTCTTTCACGGAAGAATAGCACAGCCCAGTGGCATTGCAAGGTCTTCGCCAAGGGAAGAAGTCTGAACAACCAAGCTTCCTCCTGAGTCGATGTCAACGACGAACTTAATTTCGCGGCAAAGACAGCCAGATTGCTGTCGGTGCCTGACCTTGGCTTTTGGCCTTGGCTGAAGCTATTCGTCGTGCCCAACATCAATTCCGCACAGCACGTGAGTAGCCTACCGGCTTGGCTGATCAGTAAACAGAAAGGGCGAGAAATTGCGTGTCTTCGTGAAGAGCGCAATTGGTCATGAGGAAGAGTCCAGAGTCAGGTCCGGGGTCCTGGCATGAAAGGAAGCCATTCACCGGTCCAGGTTCCGTTCCAGGTGCGCTATTCAGGATTAAGGATAGCCAACGACGTTCGTCTAAACGTACCAATCGCCTGGTGCCTGGCTCGATATGATTGGCATCTTGGCAGTCAGATAGGATGGTCCTGGATGGATAGGGAAGCGGATGCTCTGGCGAAGAGCTGTCAGTTCTCATGTATACCAAAAATTAGTTAATAATAAATGGAATGCGCCACAGTCAAAACGCTCCTGCGGAGGGGAAACGATGATACAGGAAGAAGAAGCGTGCTAACAATAACACGAATGCGTTGGCCAAAAGATATAACGGATAACGGTGGGAATGTATGGTGCCAATAAAAAAAAGCAAAAAGCAAGGAAAGGTGGCGCATAGCGTCAGCTGGATGCTATTACTGTCTGAGGCCTCTTTTCTGTGTTGGAGAGTTGACGAAGACCTCATCATGGACCGTAAGACTTACCATAAAGGTGGTGCTCCTTCTGTACTCCGTGCCGGAAGGAGAGGCGTTCGATTATGGGGAAATTCGGTGGAAGTTGAGGTCTGGATTGGGGATGATATCTCCTCAGAGAAGGTGCAGGAAGAGCGTAATTAACAGGGAATGTTGGAGCGGGAAAAGGTGGAAAAGGTAGCGAATCGAGATGAAAAGATACCCCCACGATCCCGGGGGAAGGACATGGAGGCGCGAAAAAAGAGAAACAAGGTCTTAGGAGCATCTCACAGCGTTCTGTAATCCCTGCCAAAATCTGATCTCGTAGCAACCCACTATCACGAGTGCTGCATCCATGTCTACTGGATCACGATTTTGGAGCAGCTAAGACGCCGGAGTGCGACTTCTGGGATACTGGAAGGGCTCCGGCTATCTAGATGCCCCTGGCGAGGCCCAGCCTACGTTAGGGTATCTTAATATACGGATAGGACAGCTGGTTTTGCATCACCATCATCATCAGGGTGGCCGAACCAAGAGTCCTTATATCCTTCCAGACTCCACCACTGGGCGCTTTGTACGAAGTAACGAGACCACCTTAAGCGCATCACAGGTAGCTGTGGATATTCTTGCCCACTTGAGTCGGACTTCCTCGTGAGTACTACCGCGAGTACTACGTCTACCGTGAGGAACTCTTCGAAGGGGAGATTCCTGAAGTGTTGAGCCCTCCTTGTTCGCACTGCGGCCACTCTGAGGTCGGAGGTGCCGTTTTGAAGGAGGGCTCGAACATGTGCGGGTCAAACCTGTGATATTAGAAGGAGACTGGGATATCCGGCCATGTATGATGTATAGCATTGTAATGGTGATGGAGGTTCTGGTAGGTAGATATAACGGCAACAAGAACTTACAGAAACACACCGGTGGACAAGGAAGTTGGTTGTCACATAGGAAGAGGCAATCGGTACATGACAAAAATAACGATATTATGATGAGAGTACGACGTGTCTTTAATATTGTGTCCTGGGAAAATCGACGTGACCATACATGACCGAGGTATCATCGAATAATGCACCCGACACGGACTGTTTACGGGTGAGCATGTGGAGTGGGAATCGAGAAGCCGGAGTCGCAAACGCAAATCCACTGAGGTTTTGGAAAACATTGAAAAGGGGTCAAAAATGGCGAATTACGTAATGGCTCTGTTGGACAAAACAGCTGCCCCAGCGAACCCACAGCGTGGGACAAAGGGGGGTTTACTCTATAAATAGGTACTGAGCAAGTGTACCCGTGGCAGTAACTGCCGCGTGTCCACTCGATTAAGTTGGTGACCGTGAAACGCCCATAATTTTCTGGCCCAGCTCCTTGAATTCGTCGTACCCTCGTACTTGTCAACATTCTGTGCCTCACTTTTTGGATCGCGAAATAGTTTCTTTGCAGTCCCCCCGGGGCTAGAATTCTACCATTCTCTTGCTCTAGCGGATTACTGAATTCTACTAACTTTTCTTTTCTTTTCTCCTCTCTTCCTTCATCTTTACCCGACTCCTATCCACCGTGCCATCCAACATGAGGCTTCGCACCCAACCCTCCTCCCTTTTCCTTTTCCTCGTCCCCTCCCTCGTCGCCGTCCTCGCCATTGACCCATCCTCATCCACCGAAAGTCGGATCCGAACCATACCTGAGCCTGCGGATTCTTCATTCAACTCCATCCTCAAGAGACAACTTGCGGCCGGAGGCACTAGGGATGCCCCAGTCGATGGCAACGATGGGATGCCCCATCAAGGCCCCTTCGTCGATTCCCACAAAAGCCGCGACGAGGACGACGCGCAGACTGATGTTCTCGAGGAAAATCCAGACGACATAGTCCTCCTTGATGGGAGACCCGTTCTTGAGCCTCACGACGGCGTCATGGACGACCCCGACCGGCCCAAACCAAGGGAGGGCACCACCGGCACCGAAGGGGGCGTGAGCGAGAAAGAGAAGGAGCGCAAAGCACAGGGGGGTCGGACAGGCGACACATTCGACAATACACCAGAGAGCCCAAAGGAGGTGCCACCCTCACCCCAGAGCGAGGAGGAGACGATATTGAATCACAGTGGCCACGACGACGACCATGACGACGACACAACAGCTGACGAGGTAGCCGGTCTTCAGGTAAGCTGAGCTTTACTTTATTTCCCGGCCCCATCGTCTACCTTCAACCCTCCCCACCTAAGGCCAGCGGAAAATGCTAAGCTCGATGTTTGCTCTCCCCATAGAAACCTGCCCATCTTTCTGATACCTCTAGCGACGAACCCCCTCCCATCCCCGACTCCGCCATCAAAGACCACCTCAGCGTGTCCGAACCCTACATCCCCGTCACGGCGCCTGGAGGCGATGAGGTTGACGAGGGCATCATCCAACCATTCCACTCGTACATCCTCTCCTTGACCATGATCCTCGTCTCCGAGGTCGGCGACAAAACCTTCCTCGTAGCCGCCCTCATGGCCATGAAGCACGACCGCATGGTCGTCTTCTCCGCCGCCTTCAGCGCCCTCCTCGTCATGACCGTCCTCTCCGCCGTCCTGGGCCACGCGGTCCCCACCCTCATCCCGCAGCGCCTCACCGCCTTCGCCGCCGCCGGCCTCTTCTTCGTCTTCGGCGTCCGCCTCTTCCGCGAAGGGCTCGCCATGGATCCCAACGAGGGCGTCACCGAGGAACTACACGAGGTCGAGCGCGAGCTCGCCGAGAAGGAGAAGGAGGCCGTACTGATGGGCGCCGGCCGCCACCGCAGCGACTCGGCCTCCGTCTCGCCGCATGCTCTCGAGATGGGGCTCGGCAACGGTCTCGGCAACGGGCACGGTCGTGGCCACGGTCACACCGGTCGTCAGTCGCGCTCGCAGAACCGCTTCCCCACCCCGCCCCGTTCCCCTTCGTCGTCGCCCTCCCGCAGCCCCTCGCGCACCCGCTACGGCCCCTCCCTCACCGGCGCCCTCCAGGGCCTTAGCAACCTCGTCTCCCTCCTTCTTAGCCCCGCCTGGGTCCAGACCTTCGTCATGACCTTTCTCGGAGAGTGGGGTGACCGCTCCCAGATTGCCACCATCGCCATGGCTGCCGGCCAGGACTATTGGTGGGTGACCTTGGGAGCCATGACGGGCCACGGCATCTGCACTGGTGTCGCTGTCATTGGAGGTCGCGCCATCGCTGGCCGGGTCAGCCTCAAAGTCGGTAGGTAGTCTTATCCGATTCTGTCCCATTGCCCTCATATGTCCTCCCTCATCTGTTTTTCTTCTTCCTGTTTGCTGTGCTGACGTATCAACCACTGCAGTAACCATCGGAGGCGCCCTGGCCTTCCTCCTGTTCGGCTTTATTTATTTCTTCGAGGCGTTTAACTCTTAGATTTTCCCGTTACGCAATTGCAACGATCAAAATGAAATTATCCGCGACCGCATTGTCTATACTTCAACTTCCCTTCGTCTCTTTGTGTTAACTTGCGACATATACACACGCCACAGCGTACCTCGACGGCCGGGCCTAGGAACGACCTTTTTTTTTTTTTTTTTTTTAATTCCCTGATTAAGACGCCGGGGCTAATACATCCCATCTGCGCCGCCCCAATCGTCTTTCTCGCCATTGAGTGTACAAAAGCAGCCGTGGCGCATTATGCAACCCCTCGGCAACAAGAGTTTGTTTATACAAGGGGAAAGGGTTGGAACGGATACATTCACAAAAGTCATCGATGGGGACTGAGTGGGCCATGTCTGGGAGAACAGAAGGAGAACGAAGGAAAACGAAGGAGAAGCGACAGACCCGGGATTCAGGCGAGGTCCATGTGTAATAATTCTGACGAATGCCTTTCGATTTGCGGATTTAGAAATCCTGTTGGTGGGTGGGCTTAGAGTGTTTGTAAGGTATGGCGCGACCATCATGCCATGGTTAGGCGGTAACAGAAGCGAAACAGAAACGGCGCCAGGAACCTATATTGACCAGGGATTGTTCCAATGACGTTGAGATACGTGAGATGCTTAAATATTGGACACTATGTGTTTTTAAAGTCATGAGTTCCATAAACAAACACACTGTAGGTGCTCTGAGGTAACGATGTGATCTGCAAAGATCTTCGCAATGCCGCCCAGCCTCCTTAAAGACAGAAACCCAGATGCCACGAAATCTCTCTTGAAAATCAGTGCTAGCATATGCTCCATGGTTCGAAAAGAATGCGCGCACTAATGCTGAGATGAATAGACAGGATAAAGATAGTATGGAATGAGTGACGCCCGAATCACAATGCAAGTTGGCAACCATGCGATGTATATGAAGATAATCCAGACCCCGACAAGGAAATGAACAAGAATCCAAACTGTAGTCAAACTGTGGTCAACGATGGATATCGGCAAAAGCAGGAGGCAGGAAGATAGACAGCAGCAAGTGCAGTACAGAAGCTCATCAAAACTTCTCCATCAGATTCTTGCGGACGGTCCACATGCGAGCCCTCTTCCCATAAATATACATGGGAATCGAAAAGAGGCACATGATGAGCTGGATGACGCCTAGCCAGATGTACATGGTCCTGGGTCCGTCGTCGGCCATCCAGTGGGTGACGAACAAGCTGAACACCAGGCCATGCAAGATGTTCTTGCTGAAATTGAGAGTGACAAGGGCCTCGCCGGCGTACTGGCGGTAGCTGTCGACGGCGAACGTGATGGACGTGGTGGAGCCGAGGGTGCAGCCGAAAGAGATGACGCCGAAGAAGAAGGTCGGCACCATCCAGTGGTTGCCAGCCTCGGCGGACCACCCGAAGCCCATCAACCCGATGACGGTGGTGATGAGCACAGGGCCGGCCATGACGAGGCGGAACTCGGGCTCATACAGGCCGCCGTTGCGGCGCGCCATGGCCTTGACGATGATGTCGCTCGCCTTGCCCGCCACAGCCGTACCCAGAATACCGCCGATGAAAGGAGACAGGTAGACGAGGCCCGTCTGGATGGCGTTGAAGTTGTAGGCGTCGCGCGTCCGGAAGATCATACTCATGGTGTTGCCCACCACGATGAGCCAGCCGACGGAGCACGAGTAGATGACGGTGGACCAGAGGATGGGCGGGTACGCGAAGAGGATGAAAGGACGGAGCATGACCTTGAACCAGCTGTCGTGGCAGAGGCGACCATTCCAAGGCCTGATTTGTTCTGTGAAGGACTTGGCCGGCTTGTGGCGAAGCTTCTGAGTATAAGCCTTGACCTTCGGCGGGCCTCTCAGGTCGAACTCGGGCAATTTCAGTTTTTCGCTGTCGACATTGGGCGCTCTGGCAAAGTAGTCCGAACTCGGACGGGACTCTTGAGGGGCGCGATGCCCATCGTGCGGCTCGACAGCATGCGTACCGGGTGAGACGGCAGCACTCTCCGGAGGCTGGACGACGCCGACTGAAGTCGGATCAGCTGACGCCGCGGGAGGGCTCGCAGGATTCGGTCCAACGTCGGAATTTTCGTCTGTTGTCGACGAAGACTGCTTCTCGTGTCGGCCAGGGTCGGGGGCAAACTCGACATGAGCTTTTCTAGGTGGCGTCGGACCAGCGGCGGTCAGGGACGCTGCGGTAGCCGTACCCTGTCCCCCGCCGGCAGTGGTTGGGGGACGCTGATCGGCGGTGCGAGACACAGACGAGAACCTCCGAAGTAAGCCCGGTCGCAAAGACGGTCTTCTCGACCTCGCCTGTGGGGTTCGATCCCAGAACGTTTCCGGAACGAGGAAGTACAAGAGACCGAAACCCAAAGCCACGATGATGGTGACGATCCTGTCAATAATGTTAGTCAATGACGCAGCCCCTCCCCCCTGCGGTAGAAAGACACAACAAAAGGTCCGCGGGTGGCCTACCAGAAAACCCATCGCCATCCGAGGCCCTCGATAATGCCCGCGCTAACGAGTGGGATAAGGTTCTTTCCGCCAAGCAGGAGCAAAGTATATATGCCGATGCGGAATGCTCTCTCATGCAGGAAGTAGATCTCGGCAATAGTGGCCGAAGGCAGACATTCAACAGGGCTGATGGCCATACCCTGAAAGACCCGGGCCGCAACGAGGGAGCCGAAAGTGGGAGAGAGAGCACACCATACGGATGCGATCATGAAAAGAATGGCGCTGACCAGGTACACTGGACGTTTACCGTACAGGATAGCCGTGGGGGACGCAATGACCGAGCCGACGCCCATGCCCATCATGAACAGGCCGGTTGTCAACGAAACGTCCTCGACACTGATGCCGTAATCGTCGGCAACATCATAGAAGCCCGCGGCAAGGATCGGGGTGATGCCGCCACCTATCAGGCAGTAGAATCCCAAGGAGAGCAAGGCAGCATCTCGTCGCAAGGTGGGCCAGTTGAGAGGATCATTCTCCGAGTCCTCTGGCTGAGGGTCTAGGATGATCGTACCGTCCTTGGTTTTCTTCTTGTCCTCCACCGGGGGTCTGCCGTGGCAGGAAGAGCGACGACCTCGCGGCGTACAACTGGGATCCAGTACGAAGCCTGCCGGGATTGAGGAGTGGGAAGTCCGGGCCGGGGCATTCTGAAGGCCCAGGGGTTCATTGCGGTCATTGGCTAATAGCAGGACGGAGCCTAGACGGGGACGAAGGGTGAGGTGTGAGCCGGGCTGTAATGGGTAGTGCAACGACAGAAAGAAGGGGGTGGTTTAGCCACGTACCTGGAACTTCGATGGTTTCCGGGTCGTTGAGGACGCCTAGGCTCCATTTCGGGGGGCCAGTCCTGGTGGCTCCTCCGTCCTGGTCCCCTGATTGCTTCTCTCTCCCAAACCAGGCCCCGAAGCGGGACCTTTTCGGCGTCTCTGGCATGTCGGGTCGCTTTATGAAAGCTTGTGATTGATCCAAGTATATCGAATGTCGGCGCGAGGAAAAAAGGGAGAGAAAAAAAAGAGACGCTTTACGAATCTTTATCCAACCTCTTTTCCAAGTCTCAATGACCCTCTGGATGCGTCTGTTGAGTATAGGAGGGGGGAAGACGATGGAAAACTCAAACGCCAAGGTCTAGTCTCATAGAAGCAACCAATATAGACTGACGAGAGATCGGTAGGACAGCAGATAGACAAATGTAGGGCGCGAGAGAAGGAACAGATGATGTTCTGGGTGGTTTAGAGGTTGAAGGCGAACAGCAACAACATAATGGGCCTTGGGACGTTGGAGTTGAGGGACGAGACAGGCCTGGATACGTTCGTGGAGGCGGCGAACGTTGAGGAGGAAGGGTCTAGTAATAGGTAAGAGGTGAAATACCTCCTAAGAGGCGACCCAGGGCGAAGAGGCGAAGGTGGAAGGCGAAGGTGGAATGCGTCGATGAAGCCGGAAAGAAGAGGTTGCGTACGGGGGGATACAGTCCGCTTTTTTAGGCGGAGAGGGACGAGGAGACATCTTCCTCCGGTGCGGTTTCCCCAGACCGGTAGCTCGATACTCCGTACCTTGATTACAGCTACGAAGTATCAAGTACCTCACATCCAAGTACGAAATACCTTGTTAGAGGTTTGAAGTGAACCACGTGAAGCTGGTTTTCGAAAAGGCCAAGAATGAGTAGCATTGCAGGGTCGTAAAAAGAGGGCGAAAAAAGGGGGTTGCCAAGCACGCTCCTCACCTCCCAAAGTACCTAGCATTTTCTTGGGCGAACTTCCTGAGTCAGCTGCCTAAGATAGGTGTATATATAGTGCCGTGGTAAGTGATGACCTGGTGTTCCAGCCTTGTCGATGTACACTCGAGGTAGACATAAAACCGGGGGAAGAGGGGGGCGCGAAGTGGAGATTCGCATCCAGGGTTCATTTCCCTTCCATGTTAGTGTGGGCCTGACACTGGATCCAAGGGAGGTTGGCAGACTGATAACGCGACGATCCCAGGCCTCTCATCTCGTAGTATCGCTCCAAACATTCCCTGGATAATTAATAGTGTACAAAGACCGTGCAGTACTTTTCTATGAAGAGAAACCTAGCTCAATGATACTCGGAGATTTAATGGATAACGAGGCGAAGGATAAGCGGGAGACTCGCGATGAGACAGGGAGATCGAGTGGGGGTGGGACCTGCAAAGAGACGAGTGTGGAGGTTGTATCGTCCCATGAGGCGTCATAGCATGTACAATGTACGAAGTATGTACGGGATACTACATAGTACCAGTTTGGGGTGAATATCAACACCTCCCAGCGTTTAGCATGTGCGAATGACCCTCTTTGTGTTCCAAGGCGCGGCTCTATACGAAGTATTCTAGCAAGTCCAGTATCAATCGCCAAAAGCTTGGCAACCGAGTCAGCACACCTCCTAAATAACAGAGTATAGCGAAGCAAGCGAGTCTAAACCCATCTACCATCTTCGTATAGATACGATGTTAGTGTCTCAACCAGGTTGGATTACGTGTTCATGCCCTTCCAAACATTCAAGGGTTCAGGGGTCTACCCTAGGGATATCTACTGATGGGAATCGAAAACAACAGGAGACGAGATCCATAAGCCTGTACTCAGTAGGTTCTCTGGACAAGTCATACAAAGAGCTCGGAATGGTGGACCAGAGCACCAGCCGCCGTGAAGTCGAACTTGGGGTCATCGAGTCGGTCACACATATCATACTCCAAAAACCGCCGGGCGCAACTCGATTGCAACTGAATGTCAGAGGAACATATCTCGGTGCGAGCCTTCGGCTACCTTACTCAGGAGTCAGAACGCCGTAGTTAGACCCAGAAATTGTACCGGAATCTCGGAGCAGGTAGCCCGAGCATGTACTGCATACATCCACCTACCAGGTACCTTTACCTTATGTACCGCCCGTGATCTGAGAGAACTGGGTTTCCTCATCACATGAGCATTGACCCAGCTTTCGCTTCTACCCCCACAACTAACGCGTCTCTTTTTCTACACTATCATCTGTCAACAGGTCGAAGTAATTAACCACCTGACCAATGCTAATCCTGATCGCGGGGCATGTTCCCTCGCTCTTCGTTCCTACTATACCTTCTGCCAATTGGTCTCAGCTGACGTCGGCAACCCACAAGAAAAAGATCCAAGTAAAACCGTTGCCAGGACACAGGCGTTCAGCTGCCTAACCCGCGGACGAACTTCTTCGCTCTGTATAACTACACATCAACCACCCCTGTCCACTCGCCTCCTCCTATCAAGACACCATACCTGACTTGGTCTGCATCCCAAGGAACTTGAAGTTGTTGGATATCGACAATTGATTCGTGCAGTCCTTGTCTTACGTTTCACACCCACACCCGCTAACTCGAGCATCTCGCATTTCTGTCACGACGTCCCACGCCCACATACGGATTCCATCTCCCATTAAACTACCAGGCGCACTACGTCATCGTGCATCTCAAAGGGTTGCCGACGCGATGAGGACCTCACGATGCACTACCAGCATCAACTGGCTTTACGAATTGGCAGCCAACACATCTCGCCACCAGTGTCCCTCGGCGCCACTCTCTCTGCTTCACCGTCCTGCTCGCAAACCATCTCCCATCTCCTCTCTCTCCCCAGTCTCGTTCTTCTCCACCTCACCGCCTCATAGGGCCAAGAACCAGCTATATACTTCGTAAGTACGCTAGTCCCGCATGTTGCTCTACCTCGCCATTTCCTCCACCCCCCCCCCCCCCCCAGGGCCCAAGGTATCATTGATTGTTTATTATATTTCCCTGATCGACGAGCACATTGCTGTCGGTCTACGAAATCCCTTGACCTGAGGGTAACCATCCATCAATCCCTTGTAGTGTGCGCAGGCCCGACGACTTCCACACCTACCTGCTGCTTTCCTCGTCATCCCGCGTCCCTCTCTTCACCTTGTGGACCACCTCATGGTGCTCGACCTGTCGGGTCGTCGCCCCTCTCCTGCAGTCCCTCATCGAGGAGGGCGTGGGCGAGGCTGAGGGCGGTGTCGCCTATTGCCCCGTCGAGTACGACGCTCCGGACATCATGAGCCAAGGCCTCGGAATGACGTATATGATCACCTCGATTCCGACCTTGCTTAGTTTTGATGCCCAAGAGGCACAGGTGCAGACCAAGGTGCACGATGCTCGCAAGCTGACGGACCGCCGCTTCCTCGAGGACTGGATTCGCAACGAGGCCCGCCGCCAGGGCAATCGCGGAGGTGGAGGAGGTGGTGGTCCCTCTGGAGGCTCGACTGGCATCTTGGGAGGTTTGTTCGGCAGTTTGAACTGAATCTTGCATGGGTGGGCCGCTCTTTGTACAACCCAGACCACAGCCCGTTGGAGATGTGCCCCCGGACGAACCGGACGAACTTCTAATTACTTGCTCACTCAACCCGGTTCGAACATGCTGCCACGCCCCGCCCTTAATTAGTTTCCTCACATGGAACGCTCCGCCTCCACGCCACTACTGGGCCTACTGGGTCGTCGTACGACGGGCTGCGCACGCGGCGGACCTAGCCGGTCCCTTCATTCATCAAATCAATTTCAGGAGTTCTTTTAAGCAGAGGCATGGCAAGCTTAGCTCCGAGTCAGTGCAGGTTTAGAATGTCGCTACTACGATAAGCTCCGACAGCTCGTAGTACACGACAGACAGATACCTGGTGCGCACATCACACACATATACCCACGGACTCTGCTCTTTTCCTTCATGCTTCCTTCCCCCCTCGCTGTTTATGTTAAGGTGCTTTACGCCTGATAAAAGACCTCTTCTAGCGGCTTCCACCACGAGGGCTCGCCAGCCTCGCTGCTCGTGGCGCCCGGGACCAGGGACTCCTGAAAACTGTCCGTCATGGCCCACCACTCGCGAACCTTCGGATTCTCCCTCATGCGCTCCATATCGCCCGCGTAGTCGTAGCCAACGTACTTCATGGTCGCGAAGAGAATTCCCGTCTCGGAATCATGAAAGATGCTGTCTGCAAAAGGCCCCAGTTAGCTTCAAGGATGCCTTCCGATTTCTCCTTCGGTTTTCCCGTTCCGCTCTCAACCGTCTTCCTTATTGATGCGTTGTTTTGACATACAGTCCTCGATATTACACTCCTTGGTCTGCTTCAACACCTCGGGCCAGACTTGGGCGTGCACCTCCTTGTACTTGTCCACGAATTCGGGCTTGAGCCTGATGATCTGCGCGATGCGACGGCCGGAGTTCTTCTGCCTCCAAGGCGCGGTGGCCGACGTGGTGTTTTGACGTTGTTGTTCGGCCTCCTTGGCCGCGCGCTCGGCTGCACTCGACGGTGACCACATTATTGGTGAGACCAGTTGGGGCTAGCGACCCAAGATGTCGAGCTTCTGGGATTAGACAGCGGAGATTTTCGTGTCGAAAATTACGGGATGTGTACCTTTTTTGCAGGGCAAGGGAAATTCAGTTTACTTCTTTTCTCAACCCAGCCGTACTTTTATGCGCGGTTTGAGCGGAATATGGCCACAAACCCGCACTCACGCAAGGCAGCTCGCATACCGTATCGCAACAGAAGGAGGGGCGCTGCGGGGTAAAAAAACACGCAGGCTGTAATTACGGAAATGATCTGGACTTACCCGGCTCTGTTTCCTCTCGCCGTTGCCTCTTTGCCTTGAACGATTGGACTCGAAATTTGAGGGAGAAATTGTGAAATGCGGCAAGCAAGGGAGAGATGGTAGCTTTCGTAGCTCGGAGTCCCTGCTTAAGAACTTTCCGAGAGCGTAAATACGTCTTTTATATTAATCAACATCTCGAAAGACGATGCCACGTCAGATGCAGCTCCACGGGATTTGTACTATGAAATAATTGCATACGGATACAACGTCGTACACTTCCGAATCCAAAAGGAGACAACACGTCTAGGAGGAAGGGGAGCGCTTATTATTATGATTATTAATTCGCATACTCCTACTATATGCACCAACCGCCCCATTCATGACGAGTAAAAGGAAACGACAGATAAGAATAGGAAAGAAAGAAAGAAATCCCGACTGGGGGCGCTGAGCTCCATGCAAGTGCGCGGGGACTCGAGTCAATTGGACGGGTAATTGTGTTCGGGCTGGGCATATCTAGCCGTCTGCTCTCTCTCTCAGCGCTGCATATTGCTTTCCTTCTTGTTGAGGTTGCAATCAACACGTTGCTCGAGTTGTCTACTTGATGGCCTGCGTCCCCACGGAATCCAATGCTACCCCGTCCTGGTGCATTTGACTCAACATGACACTGCGCTCATCCAGTATTGAGGCCGTGAGTTGAAGGCAAAAGCCTTGGACCTCATTTGGGATATGTATCCCATGCGGTTAAGCTCAGGACGGAGATAAGAGCATATCACAGAACCTTCGGGTGCGGTTGACTGTTCATGTCCAAGATCTTTCAAATCATGTCTACCTTATGTAAAACCAAAATACAGTTCCATGAGTGATACAGGTCACTAGAAACCACTATCTAGTACTCTGTAGGGCTTCGGGTGTTATGGCACGGAATACGTGTTCGTAAATTCCTTACCTATACATGGAATTCGCGCAGATGACATCTCATCCTCACACTCACAAAGTCCACTTTATATGTGTGCCTCGCACACGTGATATCACGTGACTCCATTTTGCTTCTTTCAGCTCCAAGGCAAGCGCATCATGGGCAAGTTCGTCCACGGGCTGTGACCTCTTTATTGAAGGTGCCCTCACGATAATGGCAGAGAGGAGAAAACACAGAAAACCATGGCAACCCGCATTCCGCCTCTGATAGAGCCGTACCTTGGCCTCCCTCCTGAATGCGCCCACATTGTCCTTACCAATGTTCTTGGCGCCACCACCAACTGGCTCATATTGCGATACCTCTATTCCTATCTCCATAAGAAGCCAGCCTCCGCCGGGGCAAATAGCGATGGAAATGACGACCCAACCGTCAACGTTGTGCTCGTGAGCTTTATGCGGGATTTTATTTTCTGGAAGGAGGGGGCCGGTAGATTGGTATGCCCCTGATCGTTCTTCATGTGGACCCCGCTTCTTTCGTCTTGGTCCCGGATAACTGACGTTGGTCTCACCAGGGACTGGACCTCGAATCCCTCGCCCGCGCAGGCCGTTTCGTATTCGTCGACGGCCTGACGGGGCTCTTCACCCCGCCGCCAGCAACCACCAGAGCGGGCCCGGTTCCCAACCCCAGGGGCAGACGCACATTGCGGAGCGTCGACCTGCCGGACGTTAGGCGGGAACTCCTTGCCGCCGTGTCCGACATTGGGGCGGGGACAGGAGCAGGGTCCACGCAGGGCAAGACTGTTCTCATCATAGACCAGCCGGACATCCTCCTTGCCATGATGGCAGACCTTGACCCGGACCCGTCAGATGGTGGTGCGACGACCCGCGGTCAGGCACTACGTGAGGCGTTGCTCGACGTGCAAGAGGCTGTCTACGCCTCCATCTTTGCCGTGGCGGCGGATGAGCCTCTCGTGGCCGCGCAGACAACGTTGCTGGAGAGGGAGCATGCAGCACTTGTGCTCTCGTTGGCGCATTCGGCACTTTTGGTTCTCTCACTGCGGCTCTTGGATACGGGAGGCGCCAGCGATGTAAGCGGGGTTTTGCGGGCTACGAGGGGTGGAGACTTGGAGCATCACCATAACGATGGGAAGGCCGTTGAAGAAGCCGAGTTGCTATATTTAATGGCCACGGATGGGAGCGTTAAGGTGTTTCAGAGAGGACAGTGAGCGAGTTACAACAAAAAATTCTCGTTCTGCAAGATGGGTAGCTTCTGCAGAGGGGTGGGCTTTGCGTCTGTGGCTGGGATATCTATTAGGCCGAGAAGAAATATAACCAGGCGGGATCATGAACCATCTAACTTGTAAATGGTATTTGGGCATCATTCCCTTCCCGGCATGATGGGCGTGAAAGCGGCTGGGTGATCCCGAAGTAGTCTTGACGACGCGAGTTCGGGGTCCACGCCAGTGATACTAAGCACACGACGCTGGAACAAGGAATTTGTTTGAATCAACCCCTCCTCGTTATCTCTACACATCAGACATGCAAGCTCGTTCATGTTCACTCTGCGTGCAGAAACACGCCAATCCATGTTCCCGTTCCCCCCCCGGAGACCAGTCATCTCACGAGGGCCACTCAGTATGTGTCAATGTCATTGTGATTTTGCGACCTTGCTCAGTCCATATCCCTAAAGCAAAGCCATATTCGGTATCCATCCAGCCCAGAGCAGACCTCGAATGCAGCCGCGCGGTTGTTTTTATCTCATGCTGTAAACACCACTCCCTTTAAGACCGGACCGTCCCAATGCAGAGTTCACTCATTTGTGCAAGGAGCCTTCCCTGATTTTGTTCTCCTGCTTCTCATCCATCGTAATCGTTCTCAAACATGAGAGAAGGCGAGTTTAGGCGGCGATGGGGGCACGAGTGCCCTTGGGAACGCCGGTCTGGAAGCCGTTCCTGAACTTTCGGGGAATGTCGCCGAGCTTGCGCATGCGACCGGTGCCGGTGGTCTTTCTCCGCTTGGCCTTGTCGGACCAGTTGACTGCATTTTCCATTCGTGTCAGCCTTTTGATTCATCCAACGTCCTTCTCCAGGGCACCTCGTCTTGCTTGGTATTGAACGCGACGAGTTCCATCCGTGGTATCTACCGTGATCGGGTGAAACGTACACTTCCGGATCTTGGCCGAGGGGTAGCCGCACGACGAGCAGGTGTGCTTCTGGATGTGAAGAGACCGGCGGCCTGCAGAGGAACTTGTATTAGTTCTTTGTTCTCCCTCTCTCCAACAATTTCTGAAAAGCTTGTCTCCGCCGAACGCGTGAAGAGGAACGTCGTATATTTTCGACTCGCGGGATTCATTGGGATTCATCTGGGATTCGCTTCGAAGTCGTCCAAACCGGGGGAGTTTACGTACCGCAGCGACGGCACAGAGTGTGCGTCTTGTTGTGACGCTTACCAAACGAGGAGGTTCCCTTCGCTATAGGTGAAAAGAATCAGTGATTAGTCCAGGTCGATATAACAGCCGTAGCTTCAATGGCCGAGAAAACGTACTCATCTTGGCGGTTGTGCGGTGTCGACGATGAGGGTTGTTCTGTGCTGGTCGATAGTGTTGATGCGGTAAAGGGAAGTACGTTCGAAAATTCCACGACTGCGACAGGCCCTAACCGAGCCCACCAAAGCGATTTTTGGCTGCAGTCACGTGGTTGTGGACTCTCTAAAAATGGTACAGGTCTCGGTGAAGGGCCTATGCCTGCCGAACCCCGCCTCGGCCAAACCCGATTTCTTAGTCATCCAACACGAAATCAACCAGTCCGTTCCCTGATCCCAAGTCACAATATAGCGCCATACGCCTACCCCAGTATTCGCGTCCAGCGCGCCAGAACTTCCTCCCAGGAGTCCCAGCAAACCCCCATCTCAGCTAAATGTACACGTGCTGTGTTACTGAATTTCGAGCATACTCCGAAGCGTAGCCTCGCTGGCTCGTAACCAGCGGCCTCTCGCCTCCAAGTCATCTTCGACACCATCCGGGGCGGCTTCCTTTCTCCTTTTCGCCTCCTTCGCCGCAGCCGCACTGTTTTGCCTCTTAGTCTCCAAGGGCTTGAGTTCCGCCCGCAGCCTCTCTGCCTCTTTCATCTTCCTAGGTACTTTGGCTTGAAGCTGCTCCAACTCGCGGTCCAACTCTTGCTGCTTCCTCTTCTTCTCATCCAACAGCTCTAGCATTTTCGCCAACGGCATGTTCATCCGCGGGTCGTCGCCGGGCGCCCGCGCAGCCTTCAGTTCCGCAATGCGCTCCTCCAACTCGGAGATCTTGGTGGGTAGCTCTCGCAGCTTGGCTGTCTCGAGCTGAATATTTTCATACCGTTGGCTTAGCTCGCGGCCTTCCTTCTCCAGCGCAGCGACCATGTCGGCCACCTCGAGCTTGAGAGCCTTCAGTTGCGCCTTGGCAGCCTGGTTTTTCTTCTCGAGATCCAGGTTTTCCTGCGGCGTGACGATCAGAGGCGGATCGCCAACAATGGCGCGGATGAATTTCTCCTTGGTGACTTGCTCGACGTAGGAGAATCGTAGTTTGGAGAATAGTTCTTTGTAATGTTGCAGGTCTGCGTCCAGGCTAGCGGGTGTAGGAGTGTCCATGGAAGCGTTCGAGGCATCTGATATTCTCTGTCTCGAGTCCGGATTGTACGTGTTTGAAATGGGCTCGCTGAGTTTGATGATAGAGAATTCGTGATTCCGATCCATGTCCTCGAGGGTTTCCAGCACCCTGTCCACCTTTGTCGTGTCCATTTTGCGCAGCTTAGGCAATTCTTGGACTCCAGTGTTGGCTTGTTGGGGCTTTACTGATGCTGCAATAGATTACGGCGTACCAGAGACTTGACAACGTGCAGAGGGCAGATGACGAAGTAGAATGTGTAAGGAAACGAGGCATCACCAAGTCAATGGCGATGGTGGTCCAACGGGTTGTTGTTTACTCGTCGCCGAATTGGGATGATGCGGTGGGGCTTATCTCTTATCTGCCTTCGCGGCGTTGTGACCTGCGAGGCAACTTTCACCGTTCCACCAACCACGGGCGTCCCGTCCCCCTTCCAGTCTCCAATCTGCATTCGTATGTCAGGTACAACGTATACTCAGTTTTCTTCTTGGTGCGAACACAGTTTTTGCGGGGATCCAGGGCTATCTTCTAACATCTCTGTGAGAGTTGGAGGCTGGACCATTATTTTCCCTCCGGGGCTGATTCTCCCAATACCTTAAAGAGCTCTCTATCAACAATGTCCAACGATGAGCTCCTCACCGACGAGTACGTGGCAGAGCTGTTGAAGAAAGAGGCGGCCGACTGCTCTCTCAAATACTCAAGCATTGGAATGGAAGCTTTCCACCCGAGCAAAATGTTTGTTGTTTCTCTTTTACTAGTGCTTGGCACATCATCTGACTCCTGCTCCAGGCCATCGAACATGCTTAGACCGAACAAGCGATTCCTTCAACACATCATCCGAGACACCGACAGACATAATTCCAACCTTCTCGCAAAAGAAACTGCCGAGTCACAGGCGCGCTTGAGAGAACTTGAGAAGGAGGAAGCACGGCAGAGGAGAAAGAAAGCAGTACCTCAAGATGTACGTCGAAGGCAGATGGGAGACATTATGGCGATACTGGGCAGAGGCAACGCAAAAATCCCATCCAGCTCTTCAAGGAGCGAAGGGCGGTCTGTACCACAATGCTCTGCGGAACAATCAAGACATCGTCGCTCTGCTCGCAGCACGTCTCCGGGAGGCGAACGACCTGATAGGAAGAGACGTCGCCGGCGGGATGGCGAGAAAGATACACCGTCGGATCGCGAGAGTCGTCGGAGAGACAAGAGCCGCAGGTCGCGATCTCGGTCTCCCAAAGAACGGGATGCGAAACGACGGCATCGCGCCCGCTCACCGCTCGAGCGCGACGATCGGCTAACCGGGCGGAGGTCGGAGAGGGCGAAGAAAAATGGGAGCACGGAAAAGGACAAGACACATCTTACGTCTGCGCATTACCGGGCGTCGAAGGAGAGGGCTTCCGAACCTGAAAGCCGCAACGACTCATCCTCGTCGTCCCGCCCTAGACGCGAGGCCGCTGGCACATCAACGTCCGACACTGACCCATTAGATGACTTGATTGGGCCTGCGCCGCCTCCTCATGTGCGAGTACGAGGCCGAGGGTTCCAATCCGGGGCATCGTGCATGGACAAACGCTTTGAGGAAGATTACGATCCAAAGGCGGATGTTGACATGGAGGAGGATAATAGAAAGGGCAACTGGGATGATGCAGTGGAGGCTTTCAGGGACCGGAGGAAATGGGAATTACATCAAGAGCAGCGGATGAGAGCAGCTGGATTTGGCGATGAAGAGATTGCCAGGTGGAAGAAAGGTGGCGAACGCGACGAAAAGGATGTCCGGTGGTCAAAAGCAGGTGAAGAGCGTGAATGGGATCGTGGTAAAGGAGGTCTAAGTGGGATCTTCTCGGAGGACAACTGAACCAGGTTATATCAGGGAGAGATGATTGAGGCCAGCACTGGATGCCCAGCTGGTCTTTGGAGCGTTTGGGACACGAGGCGAGGCGCTTCGCATGGATATACAGCGGGTCAAGGTGACACCCAAGGGGGGCTTCTGTTTTCTTGTCTTTTCTCTTTCTACGATACGGGGATGCTCAGTGCCGGCGTTCAGGATCGTTGAACATTAAACCAATCGAAGAATTGGCGCCTTGCTGCCTTCCGGTCCCTTCGTGACGAAAGTACTTGAGGCCCAGCTTACTTCGTGCAAGAATTTTGAGGTGATAGCCGAATCTTCGGGAAGCTGAGGATATCCTTCCCCACAGCGTCAACTTATCGACGCCAGTGATGCCAAGTCCCTGTAGTTGAAAACAGTCCTCGTTTTCCTATGACTTAGAAGCATTAGGCTTTAGGAGAGCTCGCGACAGAGAGAAGATAAAACTCGGATGGATCGTGTTGATGATTCCGGGGTCTTGTAATTGTTCTCCTGCTTATGAGTACTTCATAGGTCTCGGGAATACGTACCGCGTACGCATTACGAAGAACGGGTACCTACCATATAATATTTAGGTGGACGGTGTTGATTTCTGGATCTACACGTGTAAATGAGACTGACAGGGGTTGATGCTTCGGGAGGCAATGATCAGACATCTACCTACCCGGGAGGGGGGGGGGGTCTTGACAGTCTAGCCTTAGCATTGTCGCACGTCAAATAGGCACTTGAATGATCAACTTAGTAGAGCAGAAATCTCGTGTGTGTGTATTATATCATGCCCTTAATTTAGGTGGTGAAGACTCTGTTATGGGTACTAAGTCATTTAGATCCTATCCGGTCTTTTCCGGTATCCGCCCCTATTATATCCGAAGCCATTAGTTATAGCGTGGATCCCCCCTAGATCCCCTATAGACTATGTCGTGGTCCGTGTGCCTATACGATACACCTCCTTAGTTAAGGTGGGTCTTCTCAGGTTAACTAACTAATTAGAGGCTTTAGTTTAAGGTAAACGCTCTTAACTTTTCTATCGTAAAATCGATAGTCAGGAGAAAACGCCCTTATAAAAGGGATCTAAATCCGCCCTATTTAACCGTTTAATTTAATTCTATCTTAATTAGTTCCTTAATCTTGATTAGCCGGATCTGCTTAATCTATATCTATCGGATCTACTACGCCCTTAGGGGCCTTCGTGGTCGCTACAGCTTTAGCTTTAGCGCATTTAATCTCTTCGTGTAGCCGTTTAGACTACTTAATACGATCCTTTTAATCCGTTAAATTAAGCTATTACTATAGTCTTTTAATCCCCGCCTCCGGTAATATCTTCGTTAAACCGTCCGCGATTATCTCCTTTATATTAACGTATATAACCTTAAAGAGACCTTATTATACTAACTAGCGCGCTTACTAGTTATATATATTAACGTGCCGTAGCCTTGTCCGTAGGCGTTATGCCTTCTTATTAATAAGGTTAATAGTCTGTTAATTATCGTAGTGTAGCTGTAGTTACTGTTAGTCTAACCGAAGCTCTAAATCTCTTAATATCCGGCTAACGAATAACGTCTCTTTAGCGGCCTCTATAAGAGTAAGTAGTTCCGATTCTGTTAACGATATCGTGACCGTCGGTTACTTACCCGCCTTCTAGTTAACGGTTCCCCGCAGAGCTTTATCGTATATCCTTATAAACTTTTACGGTCTGGATTATCCCTAAAAGACGCGTCGCTTACTATTAGGAAGAGCCTATCCCCGCCGAATTCCAGGTAGTAGTGTCTTATATAGTATAGGAATAGCAGCACTTATTAAGCCCTTTTAAGATAGTTAGAGGAGGGATTAATATTATATTAGGAAAGCCTTAAATAGGCGAACGCGATATCGGGTCTTATTATAATAGCGGCGTGTAGGATAGAACCGATTATACCCTAATACTAGCGGACCTCGGGAATCGATACGCGAGTGCCGTCGCGGGGTATTACCGGCTCCGTAGATAATAGGACTTTTAGTGGTTTTCGGCAGAGTATATCTACGTAGTATTTAACCGCGATCTTCTCTACGTAGGAGGATTATAATAGCTATAGCCTACGAGTAGCTCTATCCCTTAGGGCCTTAATTCCTAGGAACTAGCGGATTTCTTTACCTCCTAATAACCTATAGCTTCGCTTAAGAGCGGCCTTAAGGTCGTCGGCGTTAGTCTTACGGTCTTTATAGTATAGAAGTCCGATATCGTCGATATAGAAGAATAGGATTAAACCGTCGCGGATTATAATATAGGGGTTATTAGGTATAGCCGTGAATCCAAGTTATTATCGCTATAACTAAGGCACGCCTCCTTTAACTAAGTAAAAGACTCCTTTATAGGTAGTAGCTAAGTAGTAACGCCTACTATAAAGGAACCCTTAAGGTAAAGACTACCACGGAAGAAGGTATTTTCGAGCTTATTAGAGGAGGATAAATATCCTCGACCTCGAGCTCTAAGGGTCTTTTTTCCTCTCTCTTTTACTCCTTAGTTTTCGATTAGCCCTTCGCTCTCGGATATTACCCGTAACCATTAACCGCTATTTTATAACGATAGCTTTTTCTATTTCTTTTTAACTATTTTTCGACGTCCTTAAAGCCTAATCAGGGTAACTAGCTATAGTTTACGCTCTTACCGGCCTTTATTCCTCCCCCCCCTCCTCTTTTTCTCTCCCTCTCCCGCCGCGCACGCCGCCCTCGCTATGAATAACTACTAGGCTACTACCCCTATAGGGAACTTACTTAAGCGCTATATTCACCCTAAAGCACACGCCGTTATTAATTCTCGTATTAGAAGTCGTATAGAATACGTCCTTAAGAAGAGTAGATAGGCTTTCCCCTTAATAGGTCTCCCTTACCGCCTATTCGATATATCCGATAATAACCCCCTTTTTTTTAGGTTTATGGTAGGTAGTATAAAGGACTAGTAAGTAATTTAATAGCTCCTAGGATCTATAGAAGGAGAGTATATAGGCGGAGAAGTTATAGATAATATAACCCCGTTAACCTCCTTAGTAAAGGTTCGTGGAGATAGTATTATAGCCGCCCGTATAGCCTTACTAGCTACGTAAAAAGTGTATAGTAACCTCTCTAAGGGTAAGTGGTTAGAAAAGTCTATTATAGAAGACCTGATTAGGGTAATAATCACTAGACAGATCGGTAATACTAGGCCTAAGGCCTGGATTAATAATATTAACTTATAGGGATACGACGCTAAGAAGAAGAGGTTTAATTATCTAGACGTAAGCGAGAGAAATCTTTTTAGGATCGTAATATCTCGGCTAATTCACTTTATATACTATATTAGAGGTAACTATTTTATTAGCCTGATCTTAGATTAGGAGACGTGGGTTATATACGTATACGATAGTATATAGCATAACGGAGGAGCTAAAAAGCGTCTATTAGAGAGCTTCCAAGGAGCTATAAGTTAGCTACGGTATATTAAAGCCCCTAAAGAGGCTATAGACAGCCTAGTCAGGAAGTTTTATATCGTTCCAGGCCCTTAATAGGAGGATAAGTATTCGTGTAGCCTATTCGTTAGTGAATAGATTCGTTATGTTATTTAGGAGGGGTACTTATTCCCTGCCTTATCCCGGCTATACCGGCTATAAGATAGCCGCTATAACGTTAATAACGTAACCAGCTATACTAGGCATATTAGATATAGCTAGTTAAGTTATATAGGCCAACTCTTCGGCTTTGGCTATTAACCTAAGCTTAAACTGGCTTCCGAGTAGTCTACCTTATCTCCTAACCCCGCTCCTACTACCGCTCCTATCGCTACTCCCTCTTATAATCCGCCTAAGATAACTGGTTTTACGCCTATTAATAAGAAGTAGAAACCTATTAACCCGCCTAAGGGTCCGAAGACTCTAAAGGCTCCTAAAACACCCCTGCCTACTAAGCCGAAGTCCTCTTCCCCTAATTAAGGGGTAATTAAAGGACTAGCACTTAGCGAGGATAATAGGGATATATTCCCGGAACTAGGTAATCTTAAGCTTACCACCTCTAAGGCTAAGGAGGTTGGCGAGGGTACTCCCTCGACTATTAAGCCTATACCTATAGCCTCGCCTAAAGCCCTTAAGGTTTATATCTTTATGGGTTCCCCTGATTAGAAGGTGACTAAGCCTAAGAAGCAAATATAGTAGCCGTAGCCCGCCCTAGTTAAGATTAGCTTAGCTACTAGTTACTACACGCACGAGGGAGAAGACCTTATTAAGTTTTCCACGAGGATAGATATATAGAGTAAGTGGGAGAAGAACCGAGTATACTAGGACCGCGGTCTAGAAGTTTCCCGTAGCCTGCTATTCTATAGGCTAATCGAGATAAGGAATATACCGTTTAGACCGAGTAACTATAGCCGGGAGGATTAGGTCTAGTCGTTTAATAACTCCTATAGAGCCGCTTTATAGGATACCGCTACTAATAGTAATAAGTATCTTCCGCTATCGCGAGTAGTGAAGTAAGGAGGCTAGCATCGTTATAATACCGCTATTAAGTGGAAGGCAGATAAAGCTACCGCTAATTAGGAGGCTAAAATGGCTAATAAGCCGGACTATATAGTCGGGGGAAGGACTTTACGAAAGCGTAAGTAGAGGTATATATAGAGGATTAGATAAAGGACGTCTTAAGGATATAGCCGATAAAGATAGCGAGGGAATAGTATATACGGAGGAACTAGAACTAAGAGGATCCCTAACTTAGTATACGTGGAGGATAGGGTGATTAGAGGAATAAGGGTGTACGATAGCTCTTTGCTTAGTTTATTTACTTATATCTACTTGTTTTTAGAAGTTATCTACGTTATAAGAGCGCGAATAAGATAACTGGGGCCGTGTTATAACCGCGTAGATACGGCTTTAGAGTGGTTTAGTAGGTGGTCACGTGACTCTCTTTTTAAGGCTACGGGGTCTACCTCCTATATATATATTAAGAACAGGCGCCGGACATCCCTATTAAGGGACTAGGCGATAATTATTATCCTCTTTTATAATTGCTTATTCTACGTTTAAGGTATCTTTCCAGTTTAACTTACGTTGCCCTGATCAGAATAGTGACTACCGATCTACTTCTTCGCTGAAGGTTATAGCGGTGTTGGTTATGTTTTGGTTATGCATCGTAGTCTTACTGGACTAACCTCTTTATCTGATCTTTGTCTTGACGATCTGGTGCCACTACGTCTTCATCCAGTTATAATAACACGATAGTTATTAATAACACTAGCGATACTAGATCTAATAGCGGCGTAGATACACTAA